GAAATGCTCTATAATTTGAGAGGTCACTAGAGATATCGTGTTATAACACGGTTTGGATAAGTTGCATTGAATAAAAGTAAGTTTGATTCCTTTAGCCTTCTGATCCCGCCATAGTTAAAAGGCTTTTGCTGTTGTTGAGCTTGTAATTTTAAATCTCTTTTTTTTCTTTTTTTTTTTAAATCCACAGAGCCATCAACAGTGAGAATGACAAGGCTAACGATGTAAAGAATCTGCTAACTGGAGAGTATGGAGCCGTGCCTGACACCGCAAGGGACTACAAGGTGAAAATTAGCCTTATTGACGAAACAAAAATGATAAAATTTCCTTTTCTAGCGTTGGAAGCGGAGAATATCAAACTCTACACACAGAGGGCATTAACTCTCTCTTTGTCTTTGAGTCGTAAAACTCCGCGTGGATTACTCCCATGCCGAAAGGAGATCATCAAAGTTTTGAGAAGATTCCACAAGACGTTGTAGAATCTCAGTTGGTGATTGGATCGTGTTTTTTCTTCACCCATGATATGCTTAAACACGTGGATGATGACGAATTGTGATTTTATCGTTATGTAAATCTCTAACTTCGCAAAGACATTATAGATTGTTTCTTTTCAAGTTTTTTTACGTAAGGATAGGCAGTTGAACTGACAACTGTCGACACCAGTTTCACATCTGTTAAAAAGCCGGAGGCGCGGCATTTTCGAGGAAATAGGCAAGGGAATGGAAAACAGAGACAACATTTCCTGTATAGTCTGCGCATGCGCTCTGTTAGAACCTAAGTGATCAGAGAAGCTTTTATTTTCTGGACACTCCAAGCGACATGGCACAGCAACTCGGCATGGTGATAGGTCGTAGTGTAAATTTGTTGCGTGTGAAATGGAAGATTTTTGTGAAAATCGTTGCCTATGCTGCTGAATGACATTCGAACTGAATTGAAGTGCTGGTTTGATTGTATGTTGTAGATCTCAGCGTTAGATCGAGTCAATGCGACAGTAACCGTAGCGAGTTGCGGTCCTGTGTTTGAGGATCTTCACATCCCTTTGTCGCCGTTCTGTATTGACTTTGTTTGACTTTTTCTTATGTAGTCAAAAGGAGTAAAATGGGTCGTAGTTGGAGATGAAAACTACGGTGAAGGAAGCAGCAGGGAACATGCTGCCCTAGAGCCAAGGCATCTTGGCGGACGAGCTATCATAGTCAAGAGCTTTGCTCGTATTCATGGTATGTTGTCACGTTTTGTTAGTGTTTAGGATATTTAATCCACTGCTGTGCTTACATGCAAACAATTAGCCTTATCGATCTTTCTTGGCGTGTCTTTAAATAGCTTCCTTAAAGACAATAAACAAGCAATTGCCCAGCCCTTATATTGCCATCTCTCGCCGTTACCAAATGGTACAAACAAAGATCGGTAGCAAGTTCCAAGGGAAAGAACTCTCAACTTTTGGTTGCTGTCTACCTCTCAACAACGTCTGAGCCGTAGCTCCATATTAACCCTTAAACTCCCAAGATCTGATTGTTAATTCTCCCCTCTAGCTGCTACACATTTTCTTATAAATCCGTCATGAGAATTTAGTGTTAGATCAAGATAACAACTTCTACCTGATAAGTTGGATTTTTTCTCAATACCTGTTTGCTGGATAATGTATGGATATTATAGGGAGAAATTCCATGTTAATAACTTCTGGGAGTAAAAGGGTCAAAAAACACTCCTTTCATTGAGTTAACCACCTTCCCAACTAACTCATATGGTTCTCTTTCAGAAACAAATTTGAAGAAACAGGGTAAGATTTTCAAACTTTCTTCTTTAAAACGACCTTTAGATCAAAAGCGTCTTTGCGCATCCTTGATTGTTCGCAAACAAAATTGGGGTGAAAATTGAGGACAAAAATAATATTGATTTCCCTGTTATACAAGTGTAGTATAAGCGTTTAAATTCCAAATGTGCCTTATTCGTGTTTCGTGGACTGGTAAAATGTTTTCCGCTTTGTTAATCATTCTTTCAGCTGACGCTCATTGAATATTACTTAAACTAGAAATTTACTCCTTTCACTCCAGCCATGCGCCAATTTCTGTTCTTCGTTTTTTAATTCATTCGAATTATCAAGTTACTATTCACCCACTCTGAGGTAGTTGCATTTCCTTCATTAAAGGAGCAAAAGTTCCCGGCCGAAATTTCAATTATATTAACGCAGAAATCTGTTCTGCAAAACAAAATGATATCCAATCGCAAAATTTTTGTGCTCTAGAGAATACGACGACCATTTGTACTGTATTTCATGAAAAAGCATTAAAGAGCATCTAGGCCTTTTTGGTGCTCCTTAAAGATCTTCTGACTAATATCTTGGTTATAACACAGTGCACGGTACGCCGTCAAAACTAACGTCTCCCCCGTATTTCTCTCCACTTTTTTTACCTTTCTGTTTTTTTTGGAACAGGACTTCTCCCGTTGACGTTTGCTAATCCGTCAGATTATGACAAAGTTCAACCTGACGACAAGATATCTCTGCTTGGTTTGAACGACCTCGCACCTGGGAAGGTAAGTTGAATAGGTTATGTCATCTTTTTCATGAGCTTGTTTACTATTTAAAGCGTCATCTATCGTACCCAATAATTACTTGTACCTGTAATACCATTTAAGTAGATACGAGAATTATCGATTGATTGCTTCATTCACTTTTGTGACAATAGTCCATTTTACAGTTGTGTGCTTAGTTGCCAAGCCTTTGAACAGGAATGAGGCTAAGGGTGACCTTGTTATGATACAAACCTTGCTGCTTTTCAAATGCAAATTACTTTGTTATCATGCTAATTGGATACTGGTCTCTATCACAACAAGGTCACCTTCAGCCTCACTTCAAATCAAAGGCTTGGCAACTAAGTACACAACTGTAAAATGGCCTATTGTTCCTCATTTTGCTCTGGACATTAATCGACTTCTCGTTCATAGAAAGATAGTGTTTGTGCTTAATTTCAAACAAGAGAAGAGGAGGAAGAGAAGCGCTTTCTGACGAGCTCTGGTCGTAAAGAAAAAGCCCCCGTTTTATTTATCTTTTGCGCACGCGTCAAACACGCAGTTAAGACAAAACCAAGGATGCACTCTGTAACGCTGATGAATGAAGACGATCTTAAGGAAATGAGTGACGTTCAAAACTTCCTTAAAAGCGGAGAAACACGGAAATGCACGAAAGTCGCATTGAACGGAACATGATTAAATTAAGATTGAAAGATTACCATGAGGTACAAATTGATCAACATATCTCTCCCTTTCTTTCACTCTAAAGCCTGTGAAGACTGTGCTGAAACACACGGATGGAAGCCAAGATGAGATCCAGCTGAATCACACCATGAATGAGTCACAGCTTGAGTGGTTTCGAGCTGGCTCTGCACTCAATAGAATGGCCGAATTGTCAAAGTAGGCTCCGTCAAGAATGCGCTTCTGACTTACTAATTTCAAGATCGTCAGCTTTGTTTTGCAGCGCTTCAACGCGGAAATTATTGAATGCAGTGACAGACGAAATAATCAAGATCCTTTGGTGAATGTCATTTTAACATTGTGTTGGTTTTCAAGATAAAGCCAAAATCTGGTCAAAATCTTGGCAGTTTTCTGGATGATGTATTCAATGGACATTTTTTAGCTCATTTGCTAGTTCGTTCCTAACAGAACTATCTTATTCCATGTAGAGATTAAAAACGTTGATTGAAATCAAATGTTATTAAAGAAAGAAACTTTTTGACGCTGGTCATGTTGTGCTTTTAATTTTCCCCCATTGTATGAAAATTTCTTTTGCGTCCTGTGATAGAATAAATATGCAGAATAATGCTTTGATTTGAAAATACGTTTTTCAGTATAAATCGGGTGCTTTTAAAGATTTCTGAAAAATTTTTATGGGAACGTTGGATTAAATGATAGAATTCAGTTTAGTGAAGTAAAAGAAAAAACGGTGTTTTCGGCCTCTGAAGGTGGGAAGTAACCTTAAGATATTTTTGCAAGGAAAAGCTTCGGAGATATTTGTCGTCTTCTGTAGTACTCCGAAACAAACGATAAGTAGCATCGGGGAAACATCGGGTCAAAATAAGGTCCTGTTCGGAATTCTGTTGATACCATCACTCACTCACTCATTTCAAGGACATTTGAGGTTACGCATTCAGTCTCTACAACAACAACAATCACTTCAGACGCAAAATGTTTGTCTCGTACAGCTTTATCGTGGGCTCAAATCCCCCACGCTAATTGCAATTAAACGGAGCAGGGCGTGCAAGGCTCGTACATTTACCTTGGAAGCGTCCTCTTGACCAATTTGAACCTTCATTTGGAAAGTTTTATAGTCTGTGACAAATTACTGGAATTTATCCAAGCCAAGGTAGGTAATTCATACTTTTGAATAACTTACTATTGTATTTAAATGTAGAAAATAGCCCTTCTTAAGTTAATGTATCGAGTCACAAGGTATAGAATCAGGGCCTAATGAAGACAGTCGCGTGAGAACAACATTCTAATTGCAGCTTCGGAAACTCAGTGGCAGAAATATTTCTCCTGGTCTACACAACATTATTTATACAAGCAAACAAAAATCAAATTTAATTGTGATTTGATCGCTCGGTTTACGTGATATAAGCTCAATTGCGGTCAGAACCGTGGAGTACGGACTGGATGTCTAAGGTTGATTGAACTTTCATACAAACAAGTAAACCTTAACCAATACGATTAGTTGTACATAGTAAATAAAAGAGGCTATCCAAGCTTTACTGGAAGAAAAGAACCATCATGAAAAAAGATCTACCTCGATTTTTGAGAATAGTTTATCGTGGTTCATACAAACACTCTATAAAGCAACTCGGTCTCATCGTGGTCAATGTAGAACGCAGACTGTAGTTTTCAGACCGGGGGTAAAATGCAGACTGAGGGTGAAATGCTGACTGAAGACTGCATATCAGGGGTAAAATGCGGACTCCGTTTTAAAACAACCCGCATCCCCGGGAAAACTTCAAGAGTCAGTTGGGATCGAGGCCGCGTATGTCGTGAGGGGTTGGCAATAATCGTTACGGCGATTGATGTTTCGAACTTCACTTCCTCAGATGGCTTTGACGTTGAATTAGTGTTTTAAGGTAAGAACGATTAGAAACGCAAGTGTTTGAATACACAGTTCACAGCCAGTTAAATACATTTTCTTTGTTAAGGAATAAACAGTTCTGCTGAGCAACACTAGATAGCTTAAACAAATATGTAGCTCGTGTATACTTTGTTCGGCCTTGAAAGTAGTAGCGATAGACTTTCATCACACATCAGCAATTTTTATTACTTGGATAATAACAACCTGTTTCTCGTACCTTTGTTTTGCGCTGCGAAGTTAGGCGTGCAAATTCTTTAAATTTAATGCAAATTTGTGGGTGCGAGATTAGGATCTAATTAAAACCTCCAAACATTATCCTTAGGTGTTTGCCTTTCTTATTCCGCTCGGTGTTTCACTTCAGTATTGACCGGAGGTAAATATGTAGCTACCATGGTCAACTTAACCTATGTTGGGCTTCTTGTTGGTCGACAAGGGATGCCAAAGAAATTTAGTTTTGTTGTGACATGTCTTTATTCACTGGAAAAATTAATTCCTTGTAAACAACATGCATTTTAGCACGTATTTCACACTCAGAGGGTAAAGTTCAGATTGGCAACAACCAATCAAGGAGCCCTCTTTGAAATTTTATCCTTTTCTCTTGTTCAGTGTACTTTCACTTATTCAAGATTGCAATATATCTTTGGTTCGGGTCTATTGGAGATACGACAGAGTTTCAGTTTGCTTTTTGTGGTAAAATTACTTGTAATTATAGTTTTGTGGCAACTAACTTTAGACAAATAATTTTGATTTTCTCTCTGTTAGAGGAACAGTAGTAACCGTAGTCTCTTTTGCAACTGCCATTTGGTCTTGTCACACAACGCTTTCTCTTAAGGGTGAAGTAATGCAATATTTTTGTCCGTTTGAAAGTTATGGTCTTTTTCTGTTACAAAAATGAAAACATTAGGTGCACAAAGTGTCCCATCTCAACCTGCCCAGCTAGAAAAAAAACTCTTGCATGTTACACATGTCTATGTTACCCTGGTTTGCAGTCTTCAATCTGCATTCTTCCCTCAGTCTGCCTTTTACGCCCAGTCTGCAGTCTGCATTTTACACTGATGGTTCTTGTCGTTCATGCCTCTCAGGTGTAATGGTTGTGGCAGTTTCAAGATGTATGTTTTTTCCAATGACTTTTTATTATCCTTGTGTTACTTTTCTCTGAGAAAAAATGTTTATTATTTCGCCCTTTACACTCTTGCATCAGTTTGCTTGTAAGGTACTGTCAAGGGGAATTTGTTTAACACTCAAGAGTATCTTTAGTTAGTGATCATTTCCTTTGCTCTTGTGACCTTAATGTGTGATTAACGGATCATATTGCAGGAAGAAACAAGATACTATTCACACTTAGGGGTTACATGGTTCATGTTTTGTGAGAAAAATTTTTATCTAAATCTGTAATTTTACTATCCCTGGAGAAAGAATTCTAAATAAAAAATAAAATTGACTTGTAGGTTTTAATTAGTGATCTATTCTTTAAACAGGGTTTTCATACATGAATGCTTCAAGTGAAAGGCTTTTTGAATGTCCTTCCTGTGACAAGAGATTTGCATCGCAAGCAAAGCAAAAACAACATTTAATTACACACACTGAGGAAAGGCCTTTCAGCTGTTCTTTCTGTGTCAAGACTTTTCAACATTCTTGGACCCTTAAGCAACATGAAGCAATACATGGCAACAAGAAGCCTCACAAGTGTACGATGTGTGATAAGAGTTTCTACACTGCTTTTAAATTAAAGACGCACCTTCGAGTGCATAGTGATGAGAGGCCATACGTTTGTAACCAGTGTGACAAGAGCTTCCGTTGGTGGAATTCATGGAAAGTACATCAAAAATGGCATGACGGGTTGAAGCCTCACAAATGTTCATCATGTGACTACAAGACATTGTATAAATCACATCTTGTGGAACACAGAAGACTTCATACTGGTGAGAAGCCTCACAAATGCTCTCACTGTGATAAAGAGTTCCGCACCAAAGCATCACTTCTCTTTCATATAAGAATACATAGTGGTGAAAAGCCTTACAGTTGTCCTCACTGCGAACGACGATTTTCTCAATGGTCAACACTAAGAGATCACATTAGTACACATACTGGTGAGAAGTTATATCAATGCTCAATTTGTGATAAGGAATTCAAAAGCAAAAAATGTGCTTATAAACACTATGCTGTAGTGCACAAGAATGAGATATCTAGCTCTGGGAAAAGCTACAGCTGTAGTCAGTGTAAAAAGGTTTTCATTGACTTGGCTGGTGTTGAAACTACGATCCGACTTACTGAACCTGTACAGCAATCTGATGCTGGTGAAAACTTTGGACTAGTATCAGATTCCAGTCATGCAAATGTGTCAAGCACTGGTGTGAAGTATTTTAAATGTGATGTTTGTAGCACATGGAACAACTCAAATCAGGTTGGTCTAAAGTTGTCTCATCACTCGTCACACCCTAAAATCAAAGTGAAGAAAAGGCAGTTTTCTGAAAAGACCTTTAAGGGTGAAGAATTTTTTGGACAATCATCAGCTGACAAACCATCATTTCTCCCTAACAAGAAGGATTTCAGTAACAAGTGTTCTAAACAACCAAAAGTTGTAAGGACTCAGATTTCGCTGAATAATGAAAAACAGAAAATTAATTGTCATATTTGTAACAAGCAGTTCAAGAAGGAGAGTCTTCTCGTAAGCCACTTGAAAACACACACATGTGGCAAGTGTGGTGACGTGTTTGAAAATGAGGACAATTTAAGGATGCACAGGAAAACCCACAGGGATGAAAAATGCTTTAAGTGCGATTTTTGTGAGAAGAAGTTTAAGGATAAAGGACATTGTAATAGACACATGTGGATCCACGCTGAAAGCAAACCTCACAACTGCTCTGAGTGCACAAAGTCTTTTGCTGATATAAGTCAACTGCAGAGGCATAAAAAATGTCACCTAGAGAAACGTTTTCATTGCAACGATTGTGGTAAGTGGTACAGATGGGAATTCTACTTTAAAAAACATAGATGTAAGAAAAGAAAGGAAGGTCAGAACTCTTTCATGTGTGACAATTGTGGTAAATCTTTTGATAAGGCGGCTTCTCTTAAAACTCACAAAAGTTCTCCGTGTCTAAAGCAGCTAAAAGTTGATACAAGTGCCCTAAGTGTTGAGGTGGTTACCTTGGTTTAAGTGAATTTATTACACTAGATAGTGAATAAAAAAAGTTAACGTTTTATTAACACTTTTTGTTACAAGGAAATTGTGAAATTAAGGGTCTACATAATAATGACGTAATTTTAGCAAATGTTAAGAAAAAGAAATACGCAATTTTAATTGATTCAATGTTTCGATGTAGCAGCTTACATTATAGAAATTTTCAGTTTCAGATTTGCATAACCCATGCTGTTGTACAATACTTAAGGATTTTTGATTGAAGGGAATTCATTTGACCAATTAAATTCTTAAGAATGGCCAGCATCTAATTCCTCCTTACAGTAAAACTTAATCATACATTAAGACCATTAGAACAAGGGAAACGATCTCCAACCTAAGAAGCTTGGATTGTGAAACAAATTCTCTTTGTCAATACAAAAGAAAATGTATATAAAAGGGTATGAAAAATATGGCCACTAATGTTAGACTGTGAAGTGTTCAATGAACTGTTTGATTCATAATGGTAATTGAACTGATTGGAGTGCAATTTAGGCTGAAATCATACGCGTGATTTCAAAATCAAACGAGCGCGCAGCGCGAGTTCAATTTGAAATCACAAGTATGATTTCAGACCAAAATTGTACGACACGAGGTTCAATTACCGCTTTATTACATCCATTTTGAAATCACCCAAATACAGGACTTGGTAAGTTCAAATATTTTATTGATGCAGTACTGAGCCGGTCTGAAATTTAATTCATCCATTTTTGGGGGGGAAAAAGTAAGAGTTTTGGAAACAAAAGTTGCAAAATTTGCCACATGATACTCTTTGTCTTCAATTTTCCTGCAATTTGATCGGTTACTTAAAACAAACTTGAAATCTGATTGGTTGTTTTGTTTTAAGTGTAGCCACCTCATTGGCTGGAAAAAAGATGCGACTTAAAGCAACAAATGGTGCGATTCGTGAATAAATCGCATCAATTAGAACCAATCAGATTACAGGGACCACCAGTGATTTCAAAATGGGTGTAGTAAAGATTGTAACACTTTTCACATAGAATGATGGGGCCTAATTCTTTTACCCTTTCCACCCTAACATCAGTATGCATATACCTCATGAAGCTTTTGAACTGTTCAGTGTAGTATATCAATTTAGTTGGTTAGAAATCAAAATGTTGTTATTTGGTGTTTTTTTTTTCCTATTAATATATTTTTATAAAATTAAAGTCTTTATACTGATTGTGTTAGCGTTGAATTTTTCTAGTTTCGCAAATTTAGTCTAATAATGAATCTAATCTAATATGTTCTAGTAAGTAAAGCAAACATCTTGATACTTCTGCACCTCATGCCCGCTCTGGCTCTCAAAAAGCCTCATTTTTTCGTTTTGACTGTCTTTTGTCGCATTTTCTGACTCTATTGCCGACATTGTCTAAAAGCTACGAACTTTGTAATTCCACTCCAGGCAATATTTTTCCTTGCGTGGGATCAAATCGGGAAATCCGAGAGGGGCGGCTATCTGGTGGCTAATCAAAACACAGGACTCGCTTAATCTTGCCAATAAGTGCTGCCCGCCATATGATAAATACCCTTTCAGTTAAAACTCATAGACTGGGCTTCTGTGTAGGCGAGGCACGATGGCGAAAATGATGATACCCTGAGGTACCTCCAGTGCTGCTTTCCAGGTAAGCTGGTCAATCCGGTGTAACGCGTCCTATTTCCTCCTCTCCTTGACACACAGGCCACTCACAAGAGTCTCAGTAATCTGCATCTCTTTCACTGAGTTTGTTTAAAAGATGGCGTTTCGTACCTTAGTTCCGTTTTTATCTGTTCCATCTTTCCGAGCTTGCAAATACAACTGCGGAGCGATGAATTTCAGATGCCTCCTTTCTAAATGTACCTGAAGTCTTTTGAGAGTGATTCTCTACAATGTCGCAAAGCTATTGTTTTAAGAGTATTTTCTCTTCTTTACTCAGCCTCTGAAGAAATCACTTTAAAAAATATTTGGGCGTTGTTGACTGCTTCTTCTAGTTTTTTTTTTTTTTTTATCTGGCAATTAGTCTACAATAGCCTTGATGAATTTACACCAAACTTATACCAACCTCGTTTTCAAAGTTTTTAATATTTGCAAGGATGAATTTGCACGTGCGGAAACCTTTTCAACTAATTTCCATTTTACGAATCCTCGTGGTCTGAACTGTATCACTCGTAAGGTAAAAAGGCCAAGGAAACTCGTAAGCTTATTAAGCTTAGCGTCTAAAGTGGCTGAGGGGCTATGAAAACCGTCAACTGACATGGAAAACAGAACACACGGTGAGAGTGTATAGGTTCAATTCTTAAGTTCTAATATGGCGCACTTGGTAAAGATAGGAGAGTTCCAAATCAACAGAGGAAAAGTTTCGAAGAAGCTCTCGAAAAGCACCGATACCACACTCGTATCAAGGGAACGATAGAAAATAAGCTGAGAACAGTTTTATGGCACATTAAGCCATTGATTGTAACATGCCACAGTCCACCAGCAGCTGGGTAAACATGAACATTCTTTGCTTTGCGAACAAAAAATTCAAATCGACTTGAAAATTGTAAAACAGTTAAAGGTAAAATTTCCGCACAGCCCCATACTATTGTAAAACAAATCTGTTTTCCCAATGGCAATGTATTGTTTTGTCATTGTTTTCTCTATCCAAGAACTGAATGCATAATGTAGTATGGGGCTGTGCGGAAATTTACCCAGATAAAGAGTAATTCTTGCTAAAGAGGCATTAACGAAATACGAAACAAATTTTGTCTTAGACTAAGGAATATCAGAAATGTTTAAGCGTGTAGATTTCCGATTTAAATATTTAACGCATTAACTATTTCACTATTCTATCGAATTCTAAAACAGTCTTTATTTTTAGTCTCACAGATACACTTCGTCGATGGAAGTATTCATAAAAAGCATTAGAACGGATGAAAACGAAACGAAATCTGCCAAGGTAACTGCTTTAAAAATAGTCTCATGAAGTGTACATGTGGCTAACCGACCCGCGTTAATCCCACGTTTATGGGTTAAGCCAAAATAGCAGAAACGTCACAAGTCGGCTTTTGTCAGTCAGTTGCAAGTTTTCAAAGTGATCTCGTATGAGGAACCATCAGGCCAGCGTCTTGAACAGTTCTGAGTGTTTTAAGAATCAGAAGGAAAAAACATAATTGGAAAAAAATTGTTGGTATAAAGATTTCAGCACAGCCCCATACTATTGTAAAACAAATTAAATCCGTAGTCCCAAAGGCAATCTATTGTTTTTGTCTATTGTTTTCTTTATCAAAGAAATGCACGATGAAAATACGAGGCTGTGCGAACATTTTACTAAAGGGTTTTCAAGAGTTATTTCGTTTATAACATATTTCGTTCCACATCGCCAGAAAAGAAGAATCATACAAATTACCTAAAACAATTCTCATTTTTCAATATCCATCAAGTCCAATTATAATCAAACTAATTAGGCAAACTTTTACGAGCGAACTTTATGCAAATATTTGTTTTTTTTCACTGGTTGACTTTCTGTCGCGAAGATTTATCATCAACAAAGAATGATCGGAATGTAACCAAACGTTTCGCGCACTTTGGAAAGAACTGTTGTGACTCTTATTAAAAGCTTCTCCTTTCGTCCCCGGATAAAATTTATTTATAGCTTTTTGCAAGGTGAAAAAAAATCTGAGCGGAGAAATTTCGCAAACAGCTAAGGCTGTCTAAGTTTTACGAGTACTTCAAAATAAACTTGCAATAGAATAAACACTTTATTTCAAGTATTGTCTCCTTCCTTTTATTATTTTTTATTGAGTGTACAAATATAAAAAAATCGCGTTTTTAAAAGGGCCTGGTAACAAGTCAAAATATAGGCTATCTCTTTTACATTTTTTTGCGTATGGAGGGTTGCCGAGAGGGAAAAAAATTATGCATATTTGAACAGCATCTAGCATTAAAACAAAAAATATACTTGACTTTTGATGGGAGAAAATCGTTAGCATTGAGCAAGATTTTTCCTGCCAAAAGACTTAGTATATTTTTGGATCAACATTAGACACTATTCAAAGAGCAGACTTTTTTTTCCATGGTCAAATTTTTCCAACAAACATTCCAACAAAATTCTTAAGAACCGAAACTTGTTTTTGGACTTGTGACAGGCCCATTTGAAAGCACAAGCTATTTAAACATCCGATCAGTTACAATTATCTATTTTCCATACGTGCATTTGCAGTTTAACTAGCGTTTTCGCGATAAGTTTGGTAAACTTTATTCAGAAAAATCTATTTCTTGAATCGACTGGTAACTCCTTTCCTTGAATTTTCAAGCATTATCTGCTTCAAACCTTAAAAAAAACAAATAATTTTTTGTGAGAATCTTCTGCTGACAGTGCTATTTTAACTTGTTCTCACTTGCAGTATTTATTGTAACCTCCTCCCTTAGTTTTAATTTCCGCAAGTATCAAGTGGAGACGAAAATATTGTACACGCCCAGACAAGTAAATTCAAGTTGTATGAACGGGAAGAATTTCCCTTACGGTTAAAATATTTTATGATATTCGAGCGGGGCAGATCTCAGGAATATACAGTCTGACAAGATCTGATGATAAATGAGGTGACCTGCGTTATATGAATTTTATTGATCTTCATCCTGTAACGATGGAGTGGTGAAGCATTTGTTCTTTCAGGACAAATGTTAATGAAATGATTGCAACGTCACTCCAGTGAGTTGGATATTAAGTGTAAACAAACGACAAAAAATTACCTCTGGTTTCGCACAATTGCACCCACAATCCTTACAAGAGACAGAAATTTGATTTTTCATTCTCGTATGATTCTGTTCATTGATAAAAGCTTCGTCTGCTCTACAGCAAGGAAATTTCAAAGGCGAGAGGACATTAAATATTGCAAGCCACTAATATGGTTAGACGGGTTTTAATTGAAACCAATTGCAAACCAACGGATTGCAGTTAACTTGGTTGCCTTCTTAAATACCTAGCAATTTTTTTGAGAGTCGAAGGGGCAAGATTTCTGCGTAACCCAATATTTCATTACGCGTAGAATTTTTTGATAAAAATTGCGGAAAATAAAGATACGCTTTGGAACCGAGGCTTTGTTTCTGAGAGAGCAATTTTCAATTGAGTGTCCAGAGTAATCCGGGATTGCTTTGGTTTTGCTTTACTTCGTTCTGTGATTGGTCCAAAAACTCGCGCCACTCTCTCAACCAATCAGATTCAAAACTAAAACCAAGTGCGACTTGGTCAATCGCGCTTCAGGCAGTTTGCTTGTTTAACCTCGAGTTCTCATTGGCTTCCTGTGATATTTTCCCTGCTCTGATTGGCTGTTGTTATTTCGATTTGGTTTTGGTTCCACGACACTCGATCCGAAAGCACTCTAATATTGGGAGATACGGAAATCTTTGCGTCGAAAGTGGTCCAGGATTAATTGCTTTGGTTTCGCTTTACTTTCTTCTGAATTTGGTCTAAAAAAAAAACACCGCCATCCTTTCAAACTACAACCTCTTGCAGCTTGGCCACTTGCATTTACTTGCGCCTCAGGAAGATTGCTTGTTTTTAATAATTTTCAGTTCTCATTTACTCTTTTTGATTTTATTCTTCTTTCTGTTTGACCATTAAAATAACTTTGGTTGTGGTTTTTATGTCAAGCGAAATGCTCTCTATCGATTTATAAAACTGACCTGAATTAACTGTGTCTGTCTCTATGACCTGCATCTTGTTGATGTTCCACGGTCCTCTCTTCTTGATACACTCTTGCCTGGCAATAGATGTAGAATTCCAATGACGACGGACAACTTAATCACTAAAGAGGGTGGGAAGGGTGGCGGGGGAAGTTGAAGAAGAAACCTTGTATAAAATTTAAGGGGGTGGAACAACCAGTAGGAGGAGGCGGGGGGGAGGAGGGAAGGTTAAACTTCATAATGTCGTGGGGCGTGAATCAAGTTCATTTCTCTCTCCAAGCAGTGCGGTCTAACAAAGCCTCTATTTCAACCTTTAACACCCAAAAGTGATCAACATGTAACTTCTCCCTAAATTAGCAACACATTACGCAACAAACAGGTAATGAGAATGTACTCAAGCTCATCAGGTTGAAGTTGTTATCTTAATCTAACACCAAATTTTCGTAATGTGTAGCATCAAGAGGGGAGAATTAACAATTAGATCCTGGGAGTTAAAGGGTCAATGTTGCATACTTCTATAAATATCTAAAATGGTTTATTTTCGTTCCTTTTTGTCCCCGACGAATACATTCCAATAATTATATCTACATTTTCATGTTCTCCTCATTCTAAGTAAGAAGCAAAACCGTTAGAGATAAATATCCAGCCACAGCCGGCAGGTAGCTGATGTAAAGAAGAGATATGGCCGTCGCTCTATGCTTAAAATTAAAGGACCATTTCTTTCTCAAAAGCCCTTTTAATTGTTGATAGCTAAAAGCTAAGCGCAGGAGAACGAAACTAGATAACTCACCTGAATTCAAAGAAGATCAAGACGTCGTTTCTTTATGCCTTGACTGAGTCGACCGGGCCACGTGCAAGGATCGTTACTTAAAAAAAGCAATGTTACAGACCAACGTACAAGTTAGCTCCAACTGCCAGCCGTTCGGACTATCTAAATCATGCTGAGCCATCATTTGTCTGCAACTTAAATTGTAACCAAAGGCAAATAGCTCAAAATCAAGCAACCAAGCGAAGTTGTGCGCTGGGCGTGCGAAGATCTTTGTAAAACTCAGTGAGATGAATATCAAATGAGGATTAATATATTTGCAATGTAAATTTTTAAAAACATTTGGCGTACATCAGAATGAGTCAAGATGATTAGGAGGGGTCAGAAAAAGTGTGACTTCGATCTGCTTTTCAACTGCTCTTTCAAGCCTGTATGTCAAAAATTTGTCTGACGCAAGGGCTTTACAGAAAAACCTCGACGGCGATCTGTGGCTGCCTACAAACGAGCCCGAATTTAAACTTAGGCTTCCGACAAAACGCGGAATACTTAAAGTTTCATATACTTCTGAAGACTCTGAAGACTCGCCTTGTACAAATCAAATGCAAATGCTGTAACAAAGTTTTCCTCGCCTCAATTCTTATTCACTAGCTTAACACTAATCCTTTCCACCCTAACATAAGTATGCCTAATCTCCATACTGTTCTCTATACATTTCCTAAGGTACTGATGAGAAGAATTTGTTTCATAATCCAGAGCTTCTCTGGTTGGTAACTATTTCTTTTATTCTCATTACCCTAATGTTTGATTCAGGGGTGATATTGTAAGGAGAAATTAGACGCTAGTCACTCTTAGGGGCTAAAGGTTAAGAGGAATGGGTCGGAAATAAACCATTGACATTCATTTTATTCACTGAGGAGGTTCACATATAATTAAAACTTCTTCGGGAAAATTATTCCATTTTGCTTACTTACAAATTACACTGTACCAATTTTGTGAATATAAAAAAATATACAGTATTTTCATTACAGCAGAGACTCTTGCCTCTTTTTACCACTTTGGGATCGTTATACAATTATTATACCTTAATTACACGAGCATGAACTAGACAAGAATAGTTACAGATATATAAATTACACGAGCACAGGCAACTCGATTAAAAATACATAGAAGTCATAATTTAAACAGCCTTAAAATACATCATTTTTTCCTTTTTTTTTCCCTTTTTTTTTCCTAAATAAATTTGTTCTAAAACTTGACGGTTCCTGAAGGCAGGCTGCTGTTACAAAGTCTGTAGTACCGTAAGTCGCCGACAAATCGGTGAATACTCTGAGTAAAAGATGGCAGATCCTATTGGAAAGATACAATAACACTGTCAGACACTAAATGTAAAATGAATAACAATAAGGGGTCAGTCACTTGTTATTGCCGGAAAGAAGGGGGGAGGGTCGGGGATCACAACTTAACTAACTGCAAACGGCGCGAGACAAAATGAATATCACAGAGCCTTATGTGGGATTAGGTAAATGTTCTAGTAACACAACCGAAATCTTCCGCACCTCTCCCCTCAGCGAAAACTAATGACCGGTCGCTATGCCAACATTTCCCTCCACGTAAAATTAAGACAGTAGTTGGCAGACCGGTAAAAATAATGTCGAACCATCGGACTTGTGGTTTTTCTGAGTACAATGACAACATCGCATGTTTCCTCCCTTAGCACGAATTTCTAAGCTTATTCTGGCTTTACTGTAAAAAAAAGTCCTGCGTTTTCTGAGTCGAGGTTTGAATCCACCCCATCTGAGAAATTCTTGGACTCGTCCCTACTTATCACTCACTCTGTCTCTTCATAATCGTTTTTAGTAACTACCTTATCAGGTGTGAAATTATTTCCCAGTTCAGTCTTCTGTGAGTCGGTAAGCCCTTCACAGCCTCCGAGAAATTGAGGTAAGAACACTGAGTAGAAGGAGTCAAAGTCCACAGCCGCCATGTTGTACAGAGTGATCGTGATCTCTTCTTGTAACAGGTCATGTGATCTAAACACCAGCGCTTGAAGGAAGACGTTCACGAATTGAAGAAGCATACTGTCTTTAAAAATGCGCTGAAAAGGAGGGAAAGAGTGGTCATTTCCAGGGAATGTAAAGGACGAGTTATCGTCATAGCTTAACTTTGGTACGATATAAATTGCAATTCTCTGCAACGTGTGCCGTAAATTTTAGATAATTTTAATCATGGTAATCTGATTTTTGATGAGACGATATTCCTTAAAAGGTCCTAGGAATAGGTTGGAGCTTCGCTGACACTGAAACAACTGGAATTTTGATAAAAAAACGAGCCAACATAATTTGTGATACAAAAACTTCAAGCGCGCAATCCGTATGCTAATTCCATTCCTTTCAGCAAAACCGTGCCAGAACCGCAACGGGCTCGTCTACTCTTAAGAAATAATGAGGGTAAGTTTCTAAAGTAATTACAAGATAGAAGTGGCTGCCGTAAAGAGTTTCTAGAGCTGACATTTCTAGAATTAGCCCTTCGTCAGAAAGATTAGCTTACTGAATTCTGACAACAATGAAAAAGCTTGTGCTGGAGTTTGTCAGAGGGGTGAGCAGGACAAACCTTTTGATAAAGTTTACACTTAGAGTTTAGGTTTTCTAAAGCTTCAATATTCTGCTTGAAAACCGTGATGTCTGGTTGAAGAAAAGACTGTCCAAAGGCCTGAAATAAAACCACACATACATCAAAGGATCGTAAATCATCAAAATACCGCTACTCTAAGGATGCTTCCTGCATCTAACGTGCTTTAAAATTAAGGAACGCAGATTGAAGTTTTGGTCCAACTATAAACAGACAAATCACAAGGGCAATCCAAAACAAATGAAATTTAGAAGTCTCGAAGGGCAACTGGTTTTTGTTTTTCATCTCCTTTATCGAGAAACCAGCCTTAGTTTTCTACAACAATCGAAGGGCGTAATAGGGCACACACAAAAAAATACTATTTCAGAATATTTTCGACACTTGCCAGACAATTGCTCTTCGTGGAAATTCTAGTTTTTTGATATGAGAGAACGGCAGCGTCTAATGTGATTTCAAGCTTTATTTGAAGCACGCAAGTTACAGCAAGGATCAAATCTGTTGCAAACCTGCATAACGGAGTTAAACTGGGCCTGGTTCTCCACAGTCTCCTCGGCCATTGACATATAAGCCAAAAGAGATGCACGAAAGAAGTAACGCCAGTTGTGCAGTAGTAACTGATGGAGTAACTCGTAAAATTCACATTTGATGTCGGGGCACGGTTGCTGAAGAAAAAGGAAGGAAGAAAGAAAAAAAAGAGAATTAATCAGCATCAACAACACCACGGTTTCTTTGTCATGAAATGAGGTGTTACTTCTTTGATCGAAACTATGAAAGGTTGAACCAAAAGATCAGGTAGAAAAGATTCCCGACGCATTCTTGTTTGTGTGAAGTGTATGCAAAAACTATTGAAAATGAAAAAGAGAAATTTACCTCGGCTAAAATCGGATATAACTGCTCCATACATAACCCGATAATGTTGGGGAGGAAAGCCTTGAAAGATGCAGCAGGTTCCTGCACCAACAGCTGCAGGATCTTCAGGAACTTGTTGATGACCCGCGAGCCAGCTGTACTCTCATGATGTAGTATTTCGGACAACTGTTGGCGAGTGAAGGTGTGAAGCAGTGGTTCAACGATCTGTTCTGTCACCGCTGGACCAAGTTGAACCTTCAAATTCTCGAACAACGTCAACAGGAAGCCCAGGAACTCATCGGTTGTATCTGTGACATGAGTAAATACATATGTGTTGATGGTCGATATATAAGCGCTTCAAAGGTGTCGTTTGCCTGACTTTGTTAATATTGTACCTTACCACGACTTTTGTTGCAATATTTAATCATTAAAGTGATGATAATGTGTAGAACCTAATTAAAAATACTTCGCTCATGAAGCGAGTTGCCACGGTAACGTACAATAATTGTTTCATACCGGATTCTGAAAGGAGAAGGTGTATAATAGTGTGAGTTAAAGATTAACCTTCCTTCCTCATGGTGTGGTATTGTGTTTAAATCTTCCTACAACTTTATTCAAACTGTGTAATATCCTTTCTAATAATGCACTCGTAAACTCTATCGTCAGGGCCCGCGCAGAAGATTTTTGAGTAGGGGACTAAACACGAACGCAAACGTTTCAGCCGGCACGGCAGGGGGGATGGGGGCATGCCTATCAGGTCGAGTTTTTTTTTTCGCTTTTCATTTTGGGTACTTACATCTCTAACAAGTAAAATACTCTTTTTTTTTTGCTTACCTGGATAGTGGATGTAGACCGGAAAAATATTAATTGTGATTTGAACTACGTCTGAGATGGACTGGTACAGAATGAGTTTAGTCTTGGTAACCTGGTCTTCTGTTGCGGCAGACATCAAATCAGCCAGCACGTGCAAGGTGAAGTGAAGAAGAGGCTTGGCTGTGGATAAATCGATCATTCACATAACATCAGTGAAATATCATGAAAAATGTGATAACACTATCAATAATTGTCTAAAAATGGAGCGGTTTATCGTGAGACAGTAAGCAAAGTAACAGCTTCGTTTGTAATTTTTTTTTTTGCGACGGTTCTTTGCAAGTATTTCTTGAAACCGACTCTCTTGAAGTGTTATATTAAGTTTTGTGAATATGAAAGCGATCTCCGCTTTCGTATGTTCACAGTTATTTATAGTAAGTTTTATTTGAGCCCCCCTCAGCCAAACCATTGATTAGACCAACTGTCACTATGAACCAACAAGTTAAACCGTACAGACTCACCATTTTCCTGCAGCTGTTTGTTTCCAGAAAAACCTGGTGTTTCCACAATACTCTTGAAAGGCTGTTTGATGCTATGCATTAAGGTTTGATGACTTTGAGAGCGCACCTCCCATTCCTGGACATAAGAATGCGGCAATATTATCAAACTAAAAACTTAAAAGCGCAAAATAGAACAATTCCATAGTGCCATAGAACGGGTAATATCCATATGAAATCTCACATTAACTTCAATCCTTACCTGTTCATTGTCAGCTTTATTTGGCCAAGGTAACACTAACGCATTTGACAAAGACCGTATAACTAAGGTCTGGACCTGTTGAGGATAAATTAACCACACTTTTACACAGGAGAAAAACCTTTTTCGAAGTAAGTCGAGATACTACCAATAATAATATGTACACTTTAGACGGTAATTTGTACCTCAAGTGGCAAGTCAGATAATGAACCACTGCTAACATCATGGAAGAGCTTCTGTACTTTATCCAGAGCAGTCATAAATGATGGACGTACAGTTGTTGCCAAGGAGTTGAGAAGGTGGGAAGCTGGTAAAGAAACTCTTTGAGGAACCTGAGGTTAAAACGACTTGTCTCTTAGACTTTTTTTGGGGATTGTATTGCACGGTGAAAACTTAAGAGAGGTGGCCAGTTGTAACAAATACACGGTACACAAACAAAAAGACGAAGCAACAAGAACTTACTTCCTTGTTCATCAAAGGAACCAGAGAATCGATTGCATTTGAGACAAGCGTCACAAACTTTTCTTGATGCTGTTGTTGCCTGTGTGTTTCCAAATAATACTGTGCCATCCAGTGGCAGTAAGCTTGAAATGCAGCAAGTCCTTGGGCGTGGCTTAAAGAGGCAAAGAAAATCATCAAATACAGATTACACGTAACGTCAAGTCTGCACACCAGCTAAATTGCTCTTGATGGAAATCACAAGGTAGAGAGTGGTACTGTGAGAAACAACTGCCCAGCACAGAAGTACCCTGTCCTGTCCTATTAAAGCTCAAACTTGGATAATTGTTCTGGGCGTGAACGAAAATGTTTGGGTTAAAGTCAACCCAGGGGTCATTTTATTGCGCTCTTGGGCCAGGCAGTTTACTCCCACAGAGCCTCAATCAAACCAAAAATTTAGATGAGCAACAGTTTCCTTTTAGGGAGACCCTGATAAAATGCTGGTGGCTATCTTTCATCCAAAATGAACTTTTTATTTCATGATTTAAAAACTTCTGTCTTACACTTCAATGAGGTCAGGTTGAAGAATATTAGGCATGGCTGTATGAACTGCAAACAACTGACTTTGTGTGCCAAATAATGCAATCTGTCCAAGTCTTTCAACAATAGCCTCCCCATCACTAAATCTGTTGGCAAAATTCACTTCACCGATAAAGTGTTCTGACAGTCGTCCCAGGGCACGCTCCATAGTGGTCAAGTCTCTGAGTGAACAGTGCAATTGATGACATTCATTTTCACCACTGATCCCAAGCTGAAGGCCTGGGAACAAAAGGAAATGTTGAAATTAATGTCAGTATCTGCACAACTGCGCACCTACCCCTCCCCTAACCCCAACCACAGTCAATTGATAACAAGTTGGGGTTAAGGGAAGGGTAGGTTAGGAGTTGGTGCACAGTTGCTCAGATACTGACGTTGATCCAAATTAACCATTTCACTCCCAAGATCTAAATGTAGATTCTCTGTGCTGTCTACCATACATTTGTCATAATTTGAGTCTGAGAATTATTATAATATTATCATAATTAACATCTACATTTCTGTGACAACAACAACAATCTTACCATGTGCAGTTTTGGTAACAAACTCTCCAAGACCAATGTACACATCACAATATTCACTAAATAGAGGGAACTAAAAATAATAAAAGAGAACAAAAGATTAACTACCAGTACATGTTAATGAAAAATTTAACTTTCTGGTAGAGGATGCAAAACTTTTACTCTTATTATAGAGCACCAGTGCATAGAGCAAGAAAATGAAACAAATAACTTCCTCTTACCAGCAGGGAGAATGTCTCTCCAGGTAGGAGTTCTGCTAACTTCGCTACAATTTCCAGGCAATTTCTTTGAAATGCTTGCCACTCTGTTTCAGACTGAATTTAAACAAAACACCAAATACTGATAGTTCCTTCAATCTTTAAAGAATTTTTGTGTAGTAAAATTATTAAATATCAAATGATTAAAGCAATTGATTTTCCTAAATTCATGTGTAATAAAAAAAAAAAAATTCATTGTCAACTTACATCATCATCTAGTGTTTCATCGTCCAACTCCTCAAGTTGCTTTCGATTATGTCGGAATTGAATTTTTTTCAGCAGCTCTGTTATCAACATCAGCAACACTTCTTTATACCTGAAACCAAAAGTACAAAGCCTGTTTGTTTCTAGTAACACACAGTACACAACAAAACTTTTTAAAACCCTGAAACCAACAACGGGGCATACATGTGTGAAAAAAGCTTTCTGATAGCCTAGGGCTAATAGGGATAGCTTTGTAAGCTGGTAATTCTATATTCGAGGTCACATGATGGAAAAAAACCCATGGTTCATCTTTTGATCATGAAAAATTTAATTTTAGTTTGATGAAAAAGTAGGTAAAAAACTTCTTACAGGAACAGATTGCTTGAGTGATGGTTAAGTTGATTGTAAAAAACATAATTTCCATTTGAAATTGTAAGGAGGTGATGAATCTTTAGGCGTTATAAACATGTCTTCATGTCCACATGACTTAATGGTAGTGAAACATTAAAAAATCTGATAACTTTATAAGGCATTAACTCACTTAAATGTGTGCTGCCAATACTTATTTTGTTTCAGTTCTCAAGAGTATGTTGGATGATTGATTATTATTAAACAAACCTGCTAACAGTAGCCTCTGCTTCTGCAAGCTTATCACTTCTTGCATTGGCCACTTTTCCAATAAGATAGTCTAGAAACACAGTCCAAATGTCCAAGCAGGCAAAAAAGCCTTCCAGCTGAGGCTAAATAATGACAAGTACTCTCAATAAGAAGAAATTAACAGTCAGGTAAAAAGTAAAATTTATTTTAACTGCTAAACCAGTAAACAGTGTCTTAAAAGTTTTTTATGAAGATTCTTTGTCCCTTCATCCATTTATATCCCAAGAAGCCCAGAAATTTGCAGGAGTTTTATAAACAAATTAGACTTTCATAGCATGAAAGATTTAGCTTTATTCCAAAGCATAAGTAAGGGAAAAGAATTACACAGAAAGAGTGTTCAATTCTTTTACTGACCTGTTTGAATGTATATTTGAAGAGCAACATCAACAGCTCAAGAACTGGGAAATGGGAGCTGTTTTCAAATCTTCTCAAGTGTATACTCACAAAAAGTCTCAAGAACTCTGTAAATTTATTCAAGTAACTGAAATAAAATGAGTAAGACAGACATGTTAGAAAATTTATTTGTAGTTACAGATAACAGAAATCCTGAGGAATTGCCGATGGCATTCTGAAAAATGTGAGGGTAAATCAGTGCAAAAAAAGTCATCACATTTATAATAAAACAGTTCCATCAAAGTGCATTATGCTGGTAGGATCAGTGCAAGGGATACATTGGCCTGATGGTGAGTACATCACTGGACCTAACCTGGTCAGGCAGGCCATTTTGCAATATTATGTATTTTGGACAAGACCATATTATCTCTTTTGGAGGAAGGGGGAGAAATGAAAAGGGCACAGCAAATAGTTCAGGGGAAGAAATTGCTCTAAATGTCTACATAATACTTTTTACATCCTCACCTTTCATCTTGTTCTGTGAGAAGGTTTTCCACAGCTTGAGCCCCTGTATCTTTTGTTATTCTCTGCAACAGCTGAAATGTTTGCTGAAACAACTTCAGCAAGAACTCTTCAAACTCTACAGGCACACAATTCTTAGACAACAGTTCATTAATACAAGTCATTGCTGAGACACCTACAGGAAGCAAAACACAACAGGACAATTGTTAAATTATTATAGAATATGTTGCTCCATCTCATTAGTAAGGAAGTTTGACTTGGGAAGGAATGACAGTTTTTGGCTAAAATAATGGGGATTTTTTAGGAAAATGAGCATTCAAGAAATTAACCGCATACTTCCAAGGACTTAGGTGTCTCTCTAGATATTTAATTTTTCCACTCCCATGATCATATTAGTATCTCTCCTTACCATTTGCCATACTGTACAATTCTAATGATGTTAAATCAGAAAATGTGGCATTGGACTGACTTATAATCCCTTAATTAATATTTTTCTTTATTCTCATCACTTGTTTACTTGATATTGTATTTATAATGTAAGGAGAGATTCTATCTTGGTCACTCATGGAAGTTGTAGGGTAAATTGGTTAAATGGTGAAACCTTTAACTCCCAAGATCTGATTGTCAACTTTCCCCTCCAGCTGCTACACATTTCCTTGTAAATTAGTTATCAGAATTTGATGCAAGATCAATACAACAAATTCCACTAATAAGTTTGAACATTCTCATAGCATGTTTGCTGAAAAATGTATAGATATTTTAGGGAGAAGTTGCATGTTAATCACTTTTGGAGTTGAAGGGTTGATCCCTTTTGGGAGTTGAAGCACTATTACTAAGCCCCACAGTTGAAGCTTCCAGTTACCTCAATAAGCACTAATGTTTGAAGTAACACTAAAAGTTTAAGGTAGTTAATTCATTCTCACCTAGTTCTGCATTACTCACAACACTACTACCAGAGCTGGATGGAACTACACTGCAGCCAAACTCCGCAAGATAAAACACAGTGGACACAAGTGAAGGTGTAATGGTGGACGACAGAGGGATCCAGCTAAACAGATGTGCTAAACATTTAAGTACTAGAGAACTGATCTCTTCAGATTCTGAGTCTAAAGGTGGCAGTGGATGTCCTAAATTCTGTCTAGATTTCATTGGTGAATTATTCAATAATCGTCCCATGAGGTTACTACTCCCTGCATGTTGGAGTGACAGATCTGCAGAGGGCGCTGAAGTAAATATTGACAATGAACTTGATCCTGAAACTGTAGGACTAGAACTCCTGGCTGGTGATATTCCATGAGTGGGGGAAGGAGGTGGGGTAACTGTTGTTGCAAGTCGACGGTGTTTTTCTAAGACTCTGTCCAACAAATGAGTCAGTAAAGAGAGGATGCCAGGAACTTCATTAAGCAACAGCCTATGTACTTCAGTCTTTCTAGCAATACTCAAATCCTCCCTGGGTGAGGCCAATTCTTCTGACGTTGTCTGAAGCATGAGCAAGCCCAATGCTACTGTTGAAGGTTGCTGGAGTAACTGAAAAAATGAATACTTGTCACTTGCAGGGTACAAAGAACAGTTTTGAGTCTCCTTAAAAAATTTGAAACCCTGCAAATTATGATTTGTTGTCAAATGCCTTGTTTACCAGGCCCCACAGAACTTGTTGCCAATGTACTTCATGTGCTAAGTTAATTAATTAGTTTGCATTTGGTACAAAGATCTGCAACATTGAGCACATCTGAGAAAGATGGTGACCTTTACCTACATGTAAGTCATCAAATGAAGGAGTTATGTTTTCTTTATAAAGTAACTGAATTATGAAAAAGAAAAACACAACATGGCTCTGAGATAAACTAATCCTTGGCAGTGAATCATTCTCAGGGTTAGCATGGTCAGTGCATTTTAAATCTTCAGTAAGAGGGAATTACTCATAAATATGTACATGTGTGTACAGTATGAAAGCCTTAATAACTGTCAGTTTTTGAATGGGAGAAAACCTTGAGAGAGGACTTATTTATAGGGTGAGTAAAGAGTAAATCATTTATAGGGTGAGTAAGAGTAAAACAAAAGACTGCCACATACATATTAATACACTTCTTTTGAATGCATTTTTTGAATGCAGTTTGAAAAGTTGCACGCATTTGCACACTTTCTTAAATAATTATGCTGTTCATGTGTATTTTAGGCTAAGTACCTCTGAGATGCACTGTACAAACTACATGCAAGTGAGAAGAGTGACTTTAATTCAACAGAACTGAGAAAAAAGAACTTACCTCTATAATACTTGAGAAAAAGTTTGGGTAGAAATGTGGCCAGTCAACCCTTCCAATATCGACAATAACTTTAATAAGCTTGTTTCTGATGTATGATGGCAGCTTCTTGTGATATGACAACAGATAATCATTGAGAAAATGACGGACCTCAGCCTTATCTCCAGCTTGTGTTCCTATCCATTGTTTATTAATGAGATTCTATGATACAGAAATCAAGTCAATAATTGATAAAGTTTCCCTAAGATACTGATAAAATAAGAAAGTCAGACTTAGTATTGAGTGATAATGATTATGGCTGCACCACTGGTTTCATGATTCACATCATCCTTGACTGCTTCCTGAGTTATCTCACCTTTAGCTCCATATAAATGAACCTTCTACGGGTTTGTCCTGACTTAATGGTCTTTTTAACTACAAGTGGCACTTAAGAAAAGCCAATTCTAGACAGATGAGCCTTGTTAGAGGGTATTTGAGCCTCTTAAGAGGATATTTGAGACCTAGTGTATAAACAAAAAGCACAGGTACTGAATAGATATTTCATGATTATATAATAAATAGATGAAAACATTTTTGACTAACCTCAAACACTGAAACTGCATACATAAGAACATACTGATTTGAACAGTTGTTCATAAAATACACACAGTGGTGCCATGCTCCTGATTGTTGGCTAAAGTTTTGTAAAACTTGTTCTAAGAAGAGACAAAATCATTACTGTTAAATTATTAAAACAACAGTCTTTGTCCACAGCTAAAACTTTGTTTTGAGCCTGACTCAGAGTCATTTTAAACCATACCTAGTAGCTCAGGGTAAACTGAGACAGTCCCAAAACATAAATGTCAATATTATTATAATCACTTAAGGAAGGTACTGAGAAAGTAAAAACCAAAAAAAAAAAAAAAGACAACAAAACATTCCTAACAATCAACCAGGGTACAACACGGCTAAAATGTTAATGGTAATTTGGTATCATCAACTGAGTTGATAATGTTAAGCTCTGAAAAAGGGGTAACCCTCAAAATGTCAACTTTTAAACTCTTTATGGTGGCCAATTTACATTATAAACTCAGTTGATAGTACTAAACTACCCTGTTAAACTTTCCCACCAATGCAGTACCACCATAACAGTTTCTTTACAAACTTACTCCCTGTATTAAAATGTAAATGACCATTTTAGCCCTCTAAATGCACCACAATGCCCAACAAAGCAGTAATAATATTGATTATCAGGAGGTAACTATAATTATAATCGAAAAGGGTGCATAAAAAAGACTTAAGTGACTATGATAGCAGCTAGATCTTCCTCCAAAATTTCTAGAATTTCTTTGTAAGACAGAGAGAATTTGGATGTTATGTCAAAAACCACTTATGACTTCATTCTTTGTACCCCTTGTAATACAAACAAATTTCTTCTGCCTGTAATCTCAATAGAATCCTCAAAAATCTGCCAAATAAGGGGAATACTTTGTACCATTTGCCTGGACAAGAATAATGTGGTAGATAATTTGAAAGTCTTCCTGCTTCACCCCACCATAACAAACTTGAAACATATGGCTTGTAGAATAACGAAAAAAGTAAAACCTTTATTGCTTATCATTGAGGAGAAGTAGATCACTATTTTACAATCATAATAATACCATTCAAAAACATGAAATCACTAAAAAATGATTTAAGGACAATTATGTTAACTTCTCATCCTTTAAAACAGTGCATGAAATAATATCATATAATTCTTCTGTTAGACTATCAATTGCTAGATTCTCCTTTCAAACTGTCTCATATTCCATTTTGAAACACAGCGAGAAGTTGATGCTGCATGAAAAGTCACATAGGGCTTAATCCCACATACCCCTTCATTTGCCAGTAAGTTTACCAGTTCACTTAGTTAAGTCAAATACCTATTTCTCTTTTGCGATTGTTGTCTGTAGAAGAATCAAAAAATTCATTCATAAGCACTTCCAAAGCATGAAGGGATGCTGCATCTGAAGACTGAGGAAAAAAAGAAGATATATCTGTGACACCATAACAAGTTTTATTATTATAATCAGCCATCTTTAGGTTCTATGGACGTGAATCATTGTGTCCACTATGAATTCCAAGCACTTTCAGGATAAAATTTTCATAGCTTCGAGTCACCAATGGTTGGTATACATGATGAAAGCATCTTGACAAGCTATCCTTAGGATTAAGATGAAGAGTTATTGTATTTCAAAAGGTCTGGGTACGTGCTTGAGCCAGCTTGTCATACTGTTTTCTTATTCTCCTCTCTATAAAGCGAGGAGAATAAATGGCTGCCAGCAAAGAATCAGGGAAACTTAAATTAATGTTTGGGGATAAGTTTTAAATGGTGTTGCATTGGTGGGGGGAAGGAGAGAGGGTAAGACAAAATAACTGGCTTCATCAATTGAGTTGTCAGGGGGAATGACAAAGAAAAGCAATACTCTTAGTCATCAATGCCATGGACACTGCTAAGGGTTCCAGCAGCATGAGCTGGCTTGGCCTCTTCTTTCCTTCTGTTCCTAATAAGTAGGTTTAAATTATCCTACTAATTCATACAAAAAGCATGTGGTGTTCTGAGTTGGCCAAAAACTGGAACATATTTTTGTCTTAAATTAAAACTTTTGGCAGTTTCTTTGCTATGACTCACAGATCATCTGATTTGCATCATTTATCAGACATATAGGTGATAGATACTGAGTGAAGTGTGACCATATTTGGACAAGAAACAGGGCAACCAACAGAACCAAGAGGTATGTATATCATGACCTAATTTAATAATTTGAAAAATGAATAGATGGCAAGTCCTCACTTTTCCCAAAATAAAGAGATCAGTTTTCTACTAAAAATTGTCAAATAAAGCATACTTCCCTTGTATCCAATTTTGGTTATGATGCAAAATGTGAAAGTAGATGGGAATCACGCCATCATTGACAAAGGTCAAGCAATCGCATCTCAAAGTATATGAAACACAACAATTTGGCTAATTACAGACATGACACATTAAGTCCGTGATCGTTCATATTTTCCAAGACCCCATGACGATGAAAAGAGAGTTTACTCACCATGATCAAAAATTTTTAGGTTTACGTCTGCACGTCGCTATAATTTCGTGTTTCAACTGTCATTTACCACCAATCTCTTCCAGAATGATTTAGTTGACCACAACACATCTCTTCTACGATAATCACAAATTATGCTTCATGTACAAGTCCTTCCCTCTCAGGAAAATGCAGGGAATGAACGCAACGTGGAACCGCTATCTACGGCATAGTAACTACGAAAGTAAAATTCTCCCAGGCTTTCTCTGTAGTAGAGTCGAGTCCTTGGCCGAAACTTTGAGCGTCACACCTTTAGTTTCGTTGCCTCGCAGAGAAAAAGTACAGATTTTCACCGTAAAACAAAGAAGTAAGGACTCAAACTTGCACTGTTCACCCTCAAGGTTCAGGACTAAAATGGGGAAAAAACCGGTTGCATACTTGAACAATTGCGATAGAGAGGCCCCTTTCCCTTCCTGCCCGGCCCACAAACACAAGAACGAGGCTTATGAAAGCAGCCAATGTTCTTAGAGGGGTGGGTTGGGGAATGGTTTAAGTATGAAAGTAACCCAAGTAATTTGATGAAAGCAGCGCGGGGTCAAGCAAGCTGAAAACTATCCACATTTTATGAGCAGATAGAGTAAAAGGCAGAGCTTGTAAATACTTGAAAATTGCAAGAGTGATACCATCAAAGTAATACCAAATAACCCCAGCTAGTGAGAAAATGAATCTCTGCTATCTTAGGCTTTGACCATGCAGGGGGGGGGGGGGGGGGTGAATGGCAATCTTAGTCAGGTGTTGCTACCAGGTTATTTCAATACACAATTACACAAAATAAAAACATTTTATTAAACTTCTTTCAAGACTTGATTTGACAGAAAGTAATACAAGTAAATGATGTAAAGTTAAAGTAATTAGCAAAGGGAAGCTTAGTATGGCATGAACAAATAGGTATACATATCAAAACCTGGCCCCAATTCACCCTGTGGCCTTAAGGGACTCCATTTTGACTAAAAGGAGAACAAAATGCATGACAAAATTTTTTCTCTATTTTACATAAAATTTTTTTTCTCTATTTAATTGATTGTCAAACAGCATGGGCATCTCTAAATGCAAGAGCAACCACAGCCTTCTGATGTCCACTGTACTCTCGAACCACCTCCCCCTGATCAAGATTCCACAGCCGAGCCATGTTATCAGAGGATGCTGGCAAGGATACAAGAAAACAAACACAATTAAAACCTTAAATTCCCATGAGTGACCGAGACAGAATTTCTCCTTACCATATCAATACAATATCAAATAGATAAGTGATGAGAATGAGAAAAATATCAATTTGGGAATAATTAGTTGATACAATACTAAATTCTCTGAACTAACATTATAAGAACTGTACGGTTGACAGTAAGGAGAATTACAAACTTGGTGTGGGAGTTAAAGGGTTAAAACCTTAAAAACTCCCAAGATGTGATTGCTTATAATCCCTTCTAGCTGCTAGACATTTCCTTGTAAATTAGTAATGAGAATTTTGTTTTAGATCAAGATAACAACTTCTAAATGATAGGTCTAAGTATCCTTATTAACTGTTTACTGGATAATGAATGGATACTCTTGAGAGAAGTGACATGTTACTCACTTCTGAGGGTTAAAGTGTTAATAGATTATGACAACAATATTGTTACTATGAAGCATCATAGCCAAATAGGCTGAGCATCTCACTGGGACAATGTGAATGGTACAAGACAGCAGGTTTGTTCACTACCAGATTTTTGCGATTTAGGTCAACAAATACCAGACAGTATGTTTAACAACATGAATTAAATTAGAGAGATCATAATTTTTGTAATTCCCACAGTAAAGCCCTTCCAATATGCTTTAGCAAAACAAGCATTTTAACTTATTTTATGAACAAACCTAGAGTAGTATAATGTACAGGATTTCTTTACCTGTGATAAGGTACTGTGAATCCTCAGAGAAGGCACAATCCCAAACCCATCTTTGATTAGTTTCTTTCAGAGTTTTTTTAAGGGAGAAATCTGCAGTCTGCCAAATATTGACTGTTGTGTCTGCAGATGTTGTGGCTAGAAAGCTAGAAAATCAGAGGATTAGAGTTTGATCAGGTCAGTACAAAGTTTAATCAGAAATCTTGCCATCAAAGAAAGAGTGAAAGAGTTAACCCTTAACTTCTAAGATGTGATTGTTAGTTCTCTACTCTGGCTGCTAAAAATTTCCTTGTAGTAAGTAACAAGAATTTGGTGTTGGATCAACATAACAACTTCTACCTGATAGGTTTGAGTATTCTCATTACCTGTTTTTTGGAAAGTGATAGATATTACAGGGAGAAGTTACATCCTAATCACCTCCGGGAGTGAAAGAATTAAGACATATGACATAGGATGATTTTAATAGAGTCAATTGCAAGGGAAGTGGTCAGTCAGTCTCATAGACCAAGCCTTTAGGACACAATTACTTAGGGGAACCTGTGGAGGACATACCATGAGTCTGGACTAAAAAGGCACTTTAAAGCTGCTCTTTTATGTGCCTTAGGAATTTTTGTCCTGGGGTGAAGCATGGTTGGGTCATCTTTTGTACCTCCAGTTAAGCTCCAAACATAGCAGTTACCCTGAAAGAACAACGAAAAAAGATCAAAGGAATTATTGAGATCAACTAGCTAACTGGCTAACTAATGGATTTGTTAGAAAGAAAGACAGAAACTTGCTTTATTTAATATTAGGGAAAGCACACTGTTCATGATAACTACACCAGGGCAAATTTCTCCTAACTGTATAAAATGAAAATAATTGAGTGGCTTTTCATTACCTGATTATTGACAGCTGCCATGTAAGAAGCTTCTCTATCAATGCTGATAGACAAGATGGAGGCATCTGGTTCTGGAATCTATGCAACAAAAACAAACATAACGGTGAGATAACTCATGCAAAAAAATTTTCGCAATGTAATCCTCTAAACTCCTCAGAAAATTGCTCTTTAGTGATCATTAAGTTCATTCTAAAAATCTTTAGGCCCCTGAACTAAAAAACAAACACAAAAAATAAAACAACATGTAATTATTGGCACAAACTGCTCACCAACTGCTCATTGTGATCTGTTTTAAGATCCCACATGTGAATTGCACCACTTTGATCACCAACAATAAGCTCACCCTAAAAATGATAAATTTCACATTCAGTTATTCATGATTGATAGTATCAAACAAAATATTACAAATAAGTTTCTTTCTGTATTTTTTCTTTTGCTTTATTTCATTTTCTAACAGGATTCTCACATAAATCAGCCACCAAATCATCACTCAAACCTCATTATATTACATTGAGAATGCAATAAAAAGTATTTCTAACTGTTTTATCATTATAGGTCATCTAACTTAATGACTAGTTATCATAGTATGTTCTTTTATTTCTTTCCTTTAAGTTTAGTTACCTGATTTGGATGAAGGCAAACACAGTTTACTGGAGCATTCACTTGAAACACTCTTTGACACTGTAAATTATGAGACCTGAAATAAGAAAAAAAAACAACAAAAACAAATGCAATGTTATACTTTCACTTGAGGTAGTTTTTGTCTAATTCTTAATGATCTTAAAACAGTTGCGAAAATTGAACATTCATCTGGCCAACATCCAGCTGTCCTGATCCTATGCACAGTCTATAAAGCATAATTGCACCCATGTTCAGACATACCTCAAGTCCCATATTCTGGCTGAACAGTCCTCCCCACCAGTGAACATCCATTTACCATCCTCATGAAATCCCACAGCAGTCACATTCTTAGATACACCATCATAATTCACAACCTTAAGCGGAATTGAGTATAAAAACAAAGTGGGAAACTGTAGTAAATCTTCTTTCCTATCTTGAGGAAGGCCACTTAAAAATTCCTGGGATTAGAGATCTCCAAAATCTTAATATTGGAATAAAATTGTAAACCAGTTAACTTGAAGAGGAAAACAATCATAGGAATGTCCCTTGAAAAGGCAGCTTGAAGTAGAGTCTAACCCTCAAAATATAACAAAAGGTGAAAAATTCAGAAGAACCAATTGAGTCCTTCAAACTTAAATACAAAGTTTAGAGCAAGACACAAGCACAGACTCAATTTCAATTATTATCTGCTGACGTCCCTTAATATGTATTAAGTGATGAGATTTCTTGAGACAACAGCTGACTGAAGACTGAAGGTTGACTACAAATCAACTTTAAATGTTTCATTAGTAAAATACCAGTAACAAGGAAGAAAAAATCAGGTATGGAATCATTGAGAAAAAAGTACAGAACCCAAATTTTTGCTGGTGTAAGTGATGCTCACCATGTTATTGATGGGCAGGAGGAACGGTATGAAACCATGTTTTTTTTTAAGGTCTTGGGACTAAAGGTTTCTAATAGCCCCCAAAATTGAAAAACCTTGGTCTGTGCCTAATTTTCCTGCAGTTTAAATGGCTTCTAAGTTTAAAATAAAAGAAAACTTGGGCTATATGACTTACAGCACTAGGATTGCTTGAATTGATATCATACATGCGTATGTGTTGATATCCTGAGGAAAATAAAAAATAAAAGAGATGTTAGTGTGAATTAAATACAGTTTTACCATTACTAATACTCAGTTAGTATAATCTTTCTTTTGAAATGAACCAGGAGTATATAATAATTTACTGATGCACAGTCAGCTCAATCTTCAGAGTAAAAAGGGTTGAAATTCTAGACAAATTTCTTTTTCATCTCAGAGGTCAAGAGCAAGTTACCTGCAGCAGCTAACAACTGTCTATCAGGTGTGATCTGCATTGCATTGACTTGCTAATACAATAGAGTTAAAGATTACAACATCTACATGTACAATGATGAGGTGCATACAGTTACACTCTGTGACAAAAATTTATCACCATAAAACACTCATCCAATAGCATTGCCACTTTGTAGGAAGTAATGACATATGAAATTAAAAATAAACCAAAATTCATCACAATACCCTTAAAAAAATCAGTGCTCACAGTACAACCACAAAAAAAAAAAAACAAAATGTAACATTTCTCTATGGGAGAAGGGATAAAATTAGAGGTATTTAAGATAGTCTTGAAATTTGTTCCAATGTGGGTCGTATGTAGTTAGCTAGAATGTCTATTGTAACTAAATTAACGGGTGTAATGAGGATCCTCAAACTTATCAGGTACATGTAGAAGTTTCTATCTTGATTTCACGCCAAATTCTCGTAGCTAGTTTACAAGGAAATGTGTAGCAGCTAAAGTGGAATACTAACGATCAGTTCTTGGAGGTTGTGTCCCATGGAATTGCGTTGGAGTTGCAATGAAGACAATTTCAAGATATATTGTGGGCGTCTCTACCTATCTACTTTGAGTCTTTCGTACACTCAAGTTTTTAAGGTTTTGTGTTCTTCGGTAAACACCATGCAAGTGTATGCAGTGAACTAGATTTTATAAATGCAAAGGATACAGAGTCTGGATGCTGTACAGTGCGGTGGCATATTCCACTGTGTGCTTGCCAGAACTTAATCGCATGATCGTATCCTGCTGTGGCTAAAATAACCGGTTCACTTGAACCTTCTGTTTCAGCAGTCATCTTGTAGATATCATCTGTTGGTTTGTTGTCGTCGATGAGGAAGAAATTTCGTGCAAAAATAACCGGTTTCAGAGAAAGTCACAGGATGTTCAAATCTTATTACTTGACATACATTTCTGTTTTTCTTAGCCGCTGGTTTTTTATGCAGGCTCAAGATGATTTTTCTTTCTTTCCAGGGAGGGGCAAAATGTAGTTTAAAAACAGGACGACAGATGAGAAAAAAAAATTCAAACTACGTATTTTCGGCAGATTATCTTTGCGGTCTTTCTCAAATCCATATGAAAATGTTCAAGGACTATTCAGCTCTACTGATTTAAACAGAGGCTACAACAGTTGGGCTCCCACCCTCTCAAGTCATCACTCGTCATTTCATACGCCTGGAACATTATGATTTGATAGAGGAAAAGAAGCTTTGTATCTAGCAATGGGGATTCCCGGACTAACAAGTTATATCAACTCAATCGGAACGCTTTGGACACAGATCGATCTTAAAAATACAAAACTTATCATCGATGGATCTTGTCTGTGCCATTATCTTTACTATAGCAATGGCTTAGACTGCCGATGTGGTGGTCAGTACCAAGAATATTATGATGCTGTAGTTTCGTTTTTCGATGCTCTGGTTTCGAACGGCGTGGAGGCCTATGTTGTATTCGATGGAGCACATGATCCCAGCGACAAGAAGTTGGAGACACTTAAAGCACGAGCAAAGGAGAGGGTTAAAACATCAAATGCTTTGTCGAAATCCGCTGATGATCGTTTGTTCTTACTTCCGCTTTTGGCAAGGCACGTGTTCTTGGAGGCACTCAGGAATCGCGGCGTAAAATTCGTTTCCAGTGATAGGTAGGAGTGATTTATTTGTGATAATGCGCTTTGAAACGATTTCAAGAGAAGTAGCCCGTGTAGCCTCTTTTAATGACCCCACCATAAAGGCTTTTGATCACATCGAAACAACAAATTCTTCTACTAGACAACACACAGAACCAACAAATAGAATAGGACAGATGGTAAGTTTTGAGCTCGGTAAAGAAAAAGAGAAAGATGTTTTTCGACTTCAGTGCCACGAGCGTGGAAGAAAAAAAAAATCTGCGCCGCCATATGGAATCGAACCTCAGACCTTCAGAATCCGCGCTCTGATGCTCTACCACCGAACCACAGAGACTCTGTGGTGAGCGAGGCTCATCACGAAGTTCATATATGACACGCGTCCTGCATACTGCTAGGATCAGCTATGTCATTAGCGCCATGTTTGTAAATATGAGAAGAAATATGGTAAGTTTTGAGCTCGGTAGAGAAATAGAGGAAGATGGGTACACAGGGTCACTGTTCAGGAGGAAACTACAGTACCAAAGTTGAGGAAACTTGATTGGGCTTTATGACTTTTCAAGTCACATAAAAAGTTCAGTATGTAGGCCTTTTTCTTATTCTTCCATGAGATTTTCTTTCAAATTGAAAATCATGTACATGTGGAAGGAACGTTAGAAGAGGCTTGGTGGATATTACTTCTCCAGCTCTTGGCTCGCCCTAAAATATATACATCTAACCTCACTTCCTTTTTTTTTCTCAACAGCGAAGCCGACACAGAAATTGCCTCGTTGGCTTATGTGTGGAATTGTCCAGTTCTTAGCAATGACAGTGACTTCTTTATCTTTGACATCAAAGCTGGGTACGTTCCTCTTGCTTTCTTTACCTGGAATTCCAGTTGTTTGACAGTGAGGGTCTTCCATCGGCAAAAACTGGCGTCGCACTTCCGAATTCGTGCAGAATTAATTCCCTTGTTGGCTTCGTTGGCAGGAAATGACTACGTGAGTTGTGATTTATTAGTTGAGTTTAACCGTGTGTTGAATGGTTTTCAGACTTCCAACCATTTTAGTAAAAAAGGAGCTCGATTTGAAAGCATTGCGAACATGCTATCCAAACTTCCTGACTCAAACGAGGAAGAGGCTTTGAAATGTGCCCTGAAAATGGTGAAGTCAGCTGAAAACAGAGAACAACTTAGAGAAGCTGTTGAACTTTCTCTACAGGAATACACACTTTCAGAGTCGAATCTATTGGGCTATTTCCAAGACGACTTAGTCTCTAGCTCCCTAAGAACGCAGAGTAATCGCGAGATCAACCAGTGGGTCTTGCACAGGTTCCGAGATGGAAAGTTTTCCTCCAAATGCATCAGCAGCTTGACATCGGGGAAACTGTTCATGGGAATTCCCGTTGAAAATTGTAGAGAAATATCGGCGAACTGTTGCTCTAAGTGGCTAAGGAGATTCGTGTATGCAATTTTGAACGATGCTGAAACAAAAGCAGAAGAAGGAAATATAAAGGTGATCCAAGAATGGGACAGAGTGGGCTTAAGTGTCCAACAATCAATTGTAAAACCCTACCAAGAAGGCGTGGTCCCTTCTTTGAGCCTAATCCCGTACCTCGATCTCGGAGAGCGTGTAAATTTTTTGTTGTTTGCACTCGATTCGGACACCACAGATGTTAGATCCTTGGGTAAAAGGTTTATTTTGATTGCCGCATCACTTCGTTACCTCATAAAAAACGCGCAACCATCCTTGGATACAAACCATCTGATCGCTTTACTGTGTTGTTGTGTTAACATGGAGAATGACGAGTTCCACAAAGGTGAAGAAAACACTGTAAGCCCTAAACGCTCCTCATGGCCGTTTGACATACGAGCGGCGCAAAGCTTTGCTCAGTGGCAGTGTGTTCTGAGAGACGCAATTCATCTAAATTTTAATTTGCTTGAGCCTGTACCTGTACCATTTATTCATAAGACGTTCAATGGAAAAATGGCACAAAAACTGCTTGAAAGTTTGCAACGTGGTAAGTCTGAAAATTAACCCTTGCAATCCAATACTTTAGAAAATATGAATATGATGTGAATATTTGTTTAGTGCGCCTGAGTTCCCTGTTTTCAAGTCAGAACTAATAGTGAAGCAAATAAACGTAATTGCTGTGTTTGACTTGGAAGATGAGACCGATATTAGTTCTCATGGAACAGGAGAGGGGGGCACTGTTATTGGTACTAAAAGGTTCTCAAACATACAACAGCTCTAACTGATGACTCTTGTTAACTGTGGCACATGCCAACATTGCAAGTAACATCCATTGATTTTTTTTTAACTCTCGCGAGTTCAAGTAGAGATGTGTGGAAAACTGATGGAAGTGTCCTCTTTTTCTAGGTCGACAACCAGAGCAGCTTCTTCCAGGTTTCAAGCTGTTTCGCTTGTTTCATAGGCTTCGTCTTGCGGTAACCAGTGGCCTTTTAGAAAAGATGGTGAGTGTAAAGAACCACGGAGACAAGAAGAGAGTGAGGAAGACTTCTAAGCAAAATGCCGCGTCGAGAGAAACATCATCTGCTGACGAAATGCCAGGAAATCGTTTTTCTGTTCTGTGCAATGTTGAAGTTCAACGGTGAGAAGGGGAAGTTCCATTAACGAGCGAGAACAGTGTAGACGGTTTCTAGGAAACATGTTGCCAGGCAACGCGAGTAATCTGCTGACGTTACTTCTAGTTGATGTGATTACATGTCAGAATTGCTTGATATACTGCAAAGATCGCTTCGCTCTTTCAATGAAAATTACCCATGCTGTCTTCTACTTTTTAGATTGTGTACAAGGTAACCAATTGTTGATCTCATTTTTTAATGTTCAGGAAGAAAATAGTATATGAATCATGCTTCACGTCGAATGATAACTTGTAGGCAATTCTCATTCATAAATATGCCGCAGAATTCCGGCGGAAGCTAGTTACGTAACGTCAAGCTAAGTTTCCAGGTGCAATATCTCAACTCCAAAGAGCGCAAAAGATGCTTCTAAGTTTGGAATAACAATTTTCAAAAGAAAGATAGTAATTTTTTGCTTATTGAACTAAACAAACCTGTTAAATTCTAGTGGAGACTGGCTGCTTATCTTCCTACAAGTAATCCGGCAAAACATCAAACGAACTTCCGGCAGAATTCGAAATCTCCTGACTGAGCAATGATTCTTCAGACTCAGTGAATATTGTTAAATAATCTCCCGGCTCGAATTCGTCTTGAGGATTATTTAACAATATTTACTTCACCTTCGGCGAATATTTGTTAAGTAAACCCTTTCACGAATACCTCTAGCTTAAATAAAGTTTTAGAAGTACCTAAGTTTGAGAAAATTTCTTGCAAGGCGAAAAGTAATATTGGTGACGTGACTCCTTGCCAAATACTACAGCTATTACCAAGCTAACAACTTGAAACTCTTCGGTATCTTTAAGGAGAAATCTCTTACGATCCGCTTCTTCTCAAATGATAGTAACGCCTGCTTAGTTTTACTTTTCACGTCGTATACTGGTCAACCGATTCTTGGTATAATTCAGGAAGATTTTAAAAGTACACGCACATTACTTATCTTTTCACCCAACAAACTGAACACGTAATTCTACCTTCAATTATTCATAATTAACATCTTCATTTCTTTACTACATCATTTGCTTTACTTTCAAGTCAACTTTTCTATTATAAGCTAATGACGGTTAAGTTCAGTTTCATATAATATGAAAAGCGAAAGAAAATTAGCATTATTGGACTTACTGCTCTGTTTGCTTTACCGATTGCTTTTGTTTAATTTAGGGGAAAACGTCAGTCGCCCACTCCGCTGATGGGTGAGGAAGCTGAGAAGAAACAAAGAGGGTATCTGTGGTTATTAACTTTGAATAATATTATTATCAGCAACACTCACGTGGCAGTTGAGTGTTTTCTTCATTAATCTCCTTTTCAAAGCTTCCATTGGCCAGCAAGGGAAACTAGGTTCGCGACTACCTTTTACTAGTACATCATACTTTCCGATTTAGACTTTCCTAGGAGGGGAATTTCATTTTCGCGTGACTAACAAAAAAATTATGAAACGGGGAATAGAAAATCTAAGTCTTTATTTAGTATCGTGGTATTTATGTGCCGCTGACCAAGATTAAATTAAAAGGAAATTAACCACAGTTGCAGACTTCATTACCGTGTGAGGAAGCTTAAAAAATCCAAGCGGGTACTTGTGGCCAATGAAACTTTGAATCATGTTCTTGGCAACAGTACTCTCGTCGTGGTAGTGTTTCCTCTTCTATAGCCTCCTTCTCATAGCTTCTATCGGCCAGCGAGGGAAACTGGTTAGTGTCTCCTCTTGGCTTGTTGTCGCAGTTTAAGAGATGGGTGTTCGCGGACTTACGTCTTATCTCGAAGAGTCAGCTCCATTCCTTGGGAGACTGATCGAGCTGCGAGACACAAAGCTTATCATAGACGGAGATAACTTGTGTAACTACCTTTACAAAGAAAACGGCTTCGATTGCCGATGCGGAGGGCAGTATGAGGAGTTTTATAAGAAAGTACTACTGTTTTTCGACGCCCTAAAATCTAAGGGTGTCGAATCGTTCGTAGTTTTTGATGGTGCATATGATAGAAGTGATAAGAAATTAGAAACACAGATAAAAAGAACACAAGACAGGATCGACACGGCTGACCGGTTGTTCAAGAATGAAACATCGGCTAATGGCGATGAATATTTTCTACTTCCGCTTTTGGCGAAGTTTGTTTTCGTAGAAGTCCTGAGGGATCACTTGATAAAATTCGCTGTTTCTGACTGGTAAGATATCATCAAATAGTTAATTAGCTTGCACTTATTCTATAACACTGGCTAAGAAATGTGGTCGTGTTCAAATGCTTAGGATATGCAGACTGCAGAGTGGGTACAAAAGGAAGACTGGGAATCTAAAGAGTTTTTTCGTCTGGTATGTGGTAACATGTCATCTTACAACTTAGCGAGCGTCACGCAATCGCGTTTCCGCGATCAGCTTTCACGATTATTTGCACTATTGCAGAATATTCCTGGCCCGTTTCTTGATCAAAATCGATCTAAATATAATTTCTAACCTTCATGTAGTCTTCTCACTTTGTGCGCGAGTTGGTTAGTGTGATGTCTGTACAGATTTTACTAACGTAATGAAAGTAGACGTAGATGTAGATGAGATGTCACTATTGAATATTTAACACGCGCAATATTCGACAGCCTTGCTGGTAGTCCGTATCATAATTCTTTTTTTAAGCGGTATGTGTTTATTTTGTTGACAAAAATGCGGACCGAGACCAAAACTGTTCCTTCGACTTGATATATTTTCGACGTTAGTAAATCACATCATATTAACTTATCTCCGTAAATCATTCATTCCAGATAAGAAAATCAAACAAACACGCTTACGATGGTACCTGAATTCGTCCATGATCAAGCACAAACGACTCCGCAAGATCACTTTCTCCAGGCATCGGAAACATACACAAAATCGTCCACAGTCAATTTTAATCAGACATTCATCTTAAGATAGCACCGAGCAAACCAATCCAGAAAAATATAATCGGCACACTCAACAAATCATGAATCTTGCAACACAGCTTGCCGTTAAAGAACTGCTCAAATCAAAATGTTTGGTGCAATTCATCAACACCTCAAGCAATATTTGATTCAAAATTTTTCCACTCGCTCTCGTTTGAAAGGAACAATAACCATGATCGTGCTACAGAGCACAGGACTCCACTTTCTCTCGAACAACTATCCACCATTTTCACAGCATGAGTAACTCGTTTACTATAGGTAATCTGATATCTTCCATCTGCCCAGAAGCATCGCACTTCTCATAACGCGCGGTAAAATACATGTTAAAAACACAGAAAAGCCAACATTACTCATTTTGAGCACCTCTCAAACCAAAGAACAAAATCGACGCTCTGATTAATGCGAGATACATACCCTAATGCGGCGATCTGATTGGTGCGAAATATATTCCCTAAACGATCTGATTGGTGCGAGCAACATACCACTCTCTATAGGCTAACATAGATGTTATTTTTTTAATTATAAAACAAATTATTCAAAAATATGTTTTTTCGCCCAAAAGACGGCAGCTCAGGTCCGTTTGGGTATTTTTTTTCTCTTACAGTTTGTACTAATAAGTGTTCCGGTTTATTTTTGTTTTCACTTTCGCACGTAAGCGAAATTAAGACAACATAAATTTCAGATATTGTTAGCTTCTTATTCATCGAGCGGGAGAACTGCACTGGGGAAGCCCAGAGGCTGCGGAAATGCGAATCAAGTGCAGCGATTTGATTGACTGATCAGGTACTACCTGTGAAGAAAATCAAAGGCAAGCTTGATTGAAGAGAACAGGGTGTAATAGTCACCAAAGTGTCATTAAACGTTTTCGGATCTCTTGAACAGCTAATAGGAAAAAATTTATTTGATTTATAACATGTTTCATAATGCTAGGCGGGCTATTCTCGTGGGGTTTAAAAAGAAATTTCCTTTCTCTTTTTAATTCTACAGTGAAGCGGATCCTGACATCGCATCTTTAGCCAAGGATTGGGCATGTCCTGTTTTGAGCAACGACAGCGATTTCTTCATCTTTGATGTCAAGGGCGGCTTCATCCCACTTTCCTCTTTCGATGTTGATCAGTTGACAGCGCGTATTTTCTACCGCAGTGACTTGGCAAGATATTTTGGAATACGCGAGGAATTTCTTCCTTTACTTGCTTCCTTACTTGGCAATGATTACGTGAGTTGGGAAGCGTTAAAACCCTTCAACCACACAATTTGGACTCTTTTCAGTGATGGTCGTAGAGGAAAGGCGGTGAGGTTTTCAGGTGTCGCAAGTTTGCTCTCCCAGCTCTCTAATTCAATCACAGAAACACAAGCATTTGAGTTCGCTTTGGGATTGATAGAGCCGGGTGAAAGTAGGGAGCGGCTTGAGAAAGCTGTCGAGTATTCCCTTCAAGAATACGCAATTACGAAGTCCAATTTATTGGATTACCTCCGAGATGGAGTAGTCTGCAGTCTTCTAAGAACCCAAAATAATCTCGAACTTGACGAAGAGGTATTGCGTAGGTTTCGCGAAGGAAAGTTCTCTACTGATTGTATGAGCAGCTTAACGGCGGGAAAAGTATTTCTCAGAGTTCAGGTCGAGGACCTTGAGAGAAGATCATCAAATCAGTGTTCAATGTCACTGAGACAGCTGATGTATGGCATTTTGAGCGATGGAGGAAGAAACATGAAGAGGATCGAAGAATGGGACCGAGAGGGTTTTGCAGTCAAGCACACAGACATTAAGCCTTACAATGATAAGGTCCCTTCGTTCAGTTCGATACAAAATATTGATCTTTACGGCAGATTAACGATGTTTTTGGATGCGCTAGATTCAGACTCAGCTTATATAAAGTCATTGCCAAAAGAATTCACGTTAGTCGCATCATCTCTCCGTTTTCTTCATCGTAACTCGCAACCGCCACTGGAGAATAGTCATCTGTGCGCTTTACTTTGCAGTTGTGTCAAACTAGAGGATGGTTCGTGGAAACAATACCTAGAACATCCTAAAAGAGCTTTATCCCAACCCTTTGATGAGAGAGCAGCGCAAAGCTTCTGTCAGTGGCAGTGTGTTTTGAGAGATGCCATTCACCTCAACTTTGTTTTGCTTGAGCCAGTGCAGACACCATGTATCCGCAAAGTTTTCAATGGAAAACTGGTGCATTGCCTCCAGAGGGAATTGAAAACAGGTAATAACAAGTTTAACACATATTTCTTCCTTTTAAATCTTTTGTTTCGTTTGACGAAACGGTTAAAGCACCAGAATAAACAATAACTTGTAGCAAACGTTTCCATGTAAAATGAACGTGTCCTCCGTTGAGTAGTTTTGCCTTTCCGTCGCATTTATTTCTTGTGGAAAGGGGACATGTGAATTTACCCTTCTGGATGATTGGGGTGAAAGACACTGCAGGGATTTTGTGTTTTGAAAAAATTTTTAAACAGGAAAGCCTGTATCTTTTCATCAACGTTGAGTTTATCGGCGTGTTGTAATAAAGTTTATTTTGAAAACTGTTAACGCAGAAAAAAGGTTAAAATCATTATTTTGCCCCTCTCTTTCAGGCTGTAAGCCAGAATCCTTGATGTCAACTCCAAGCTCTCTTGTTCGGTATCAAGAGCTTTACACTGCAATTACTACCGACCAGGAGGAAATAGGTAGTATACTAGTATACAAAACTTCTCAATATAGTTTTCTGAAAGGATCGTTAGTATATTCTTGTTCTCACGGTACTTTTGAAAAAATATATGATTCAATTTTTTTCATGCGCACTCGTAATCCTGAAACAATCGGATCGGCTGCAATTTTTGTTCCGGATTCCGAACGTTCGGTTTGAAGATACGGTCAAATTCTTTGGCGTTAGTTAAATAGTCATTTGTACGATTTTGTCATCCTTTTCTTGACGTTCTTGAATGAATTCAGACTCCACTTTCCACTCTAAGTAAGTACATCAACCGTTTCTGTTGCAGAAGATGTTGTAACCAGGATGCAAAAGTTACGGTTACACACATCAGGTATGAACCTGAATGAAAGCACCATAACCGGCAATGTCACTCAGTGACGACCCCTATGGTAACCAGCTGGGACATCATTTCTCGGCACCCTCCACCTCTGCGAGCGCAACGTGAACAGAATCAACAGCTTCTAACATTCGACGAAGAAAGAGAGAAAACAAAATGTCAAACAAGAAGCGGGAGATCGTTTCCCCACGTTCTCGGAGCGTGTTCCTCGATATAATTTGTAAGAAAAAAATCCAAAATGGCATGACGAAACAACTATTATCCTCGGTTACTTGAAATATCGTAATTAGCTGAGTTACGCGCTTAGAAATTAAACATATATTTGCCAATGTTAGCAGTTTAGGTTGGCCACTAACTTCTTACTAATAAATATAAGAGACTCAACAGTTCCAAAACTGTATAGAGTACTGGAAATCCATGCAAATTTTTCTTCCAACATCATCCATCCTCTGGTGCGGGACAGCGCACATGGCAATGAGTAGGTCATTTATCGTTTGAAATGCTTATCTCGTACCCAGAACCTACCATGTACCGAAATGCAATCGCTTGGCCGTGGAGGGTCCGGGTACGAGACTGATAAAGTGCCTTACTGATTGACTGTTTGCACTTCCCCCAGAGCTACCCTTCACCGATTTAGCAGCTATACCTGAAAATCTGTGCTCAAAATCATAGGAAAAAATACAGTACTTTTCAGAAGTATAAGTTTATTTTAGGGATAGGGTTGAAAGAAATAACTTTATACATAGGAGAGTAAAAATTTCATTTTTTTGGACGTCATTTGTTTCATTTCATTTGTTTGAAGAACTTACTGCGTGAATTCGTAGCATATAACTGGTATACTGATATTTATAAGGGCGCACTTCTTTCAAAATAGTTACACCTCCTTCGTATTACTATAGACAATTTATGTTAAAAACAAAAGCCTTATTCGCCTGTCGAGCCTCTAAGTACAATAAAAATATTTCCAATTCAAATTTGTTTATATAATGTGTACTAAATTGTCGTCTATTACAAAATCCTATCATGAACGACTACCAGTGCAAGTATGCAGTCACAGTCAATGTCAATATTAGCGATAACATGACACATAAACTCAGTTGCAACAAGTTTCCTTGGGGGACATGGAAATGAAATTACCTCAGAACTAACAGCTACAGCTCAGCAGTAAAGCAATGCAATTTCTAGGATATTTAGATCCTTTTAATTGAAATTTCGAAAAAAAATCCTTCCTAAGACCCTGAATCGAAGGCTCCTCCCTTTTTTAAGATTTTTAGGATTCGATTTAAATCAGGGACTAAACGTTGCAGCTCCTATAATATAAATACCTCGTTTTGTGGTTCTAGTGAAAAAAATCAATGGCAGCAAGAGAAAATAATTAATTGAGCATTCCCTTAGAAATTGCTTCAAACATGCTAAATATTAATAACACGTGAATTTCAAGATTAATAAACCAATTTCCTGGCTTAATAATATTTCGATGATTTTAAAGAAATTGCTAAAGATGGCAATTGAGACATGTGGCCCATAAAAATACCTGGAAAAAAAAATCAATTTTAAATCAAAGACTATCAAAATAAATATGCACCATCAAGTAGTTGCGGCTCTCAAGAACAGCATTAAACGATATAAAAAATCTATTCTTTGAAATATAGGAAAAATAACAAAACTATTGAACATTATTATCAATTTCGCATAGGACAAGCTTCCGAAATACCAAAAGTAATGTAATGAGATCAATTGACTTGATACCAGAACACATCAGAAACTTTGTCGTCGTCTTCCTTTGCTTTGATCAGTGTTTTAGTCTCATTACACTAGAGTTTCCATTGTAGCACATACTACCAATCAAAATATTTTATCTTCATCACTATCAGATCTGTTAAACGGCTTCTCAGTTATTGCGTCTAGGAAATCTTTACAATCCTTTTCATCATGTTGTTAATAAAATACAAGTTGAAGCTCAATCGAACATGGAATCCAGCTCAGAAGAGAAATCACTCAGTATGCTGTTGATGTCCTTCATAAGATCTAAGATCTTCAGCCAATCTGCAAAGAAGGGAGGAGAGAACCCGATTAATTGGACAGCTGTGGAACACGAGACTTGATGAAATAATTTTGCAACTTCAAGGATACAATTTTTTTCTAAGAGGTCGCTAGTCAAGATGAAGGGCGGATGTAACTGTTAAATAAAAAACAATAAAAAAAACAACATATTTCCTGCATGGCGAAATTGCATTCTAATTTTGATCGCAGATTAGCTGTTAGAGAAAAAACTCTTGTGTTATTATGAGTGAGGATGAAGTGAAGTGAAGTTAAATGTTACATCCAGCCAGTATGGAAGAGAGACACAGGGTTCCCATCTCTTGGGCAGGTTTACCTCTCGCTGCTCGGGGAAAATGTTCCTGGAAATTCCCGTTGATAATTGTAGAGAAATATCGGCGAACTGTTGCTCTAAAAGACTAAGGATATTCGTGTATGCAATTTTGAACGATGCTGAAACAAAAGCAGAAGAAGGAAATATAAAGGTGATCCAAGAATGGGACAGAGAGGGCTTAAGTGTCCAACAATCAATTGTAAAACCCTACCAAGAGCCTAATCCCGTACTTCGATCTCGGAGAGCGTGAAAAGTTTTTGTTGTTTGCACTCGATTCGGACACCACAGAGGTTAGGTAAAAGGTTTATTTTAATCGCTGCATCACTTCGTTACCTCATCAATAACGCGCAACCACCCCTGGAGAGAAACCATCTGATTGCTTTAATATGTTGTTGTGTTAACTTGAAAATGGCGAGTTCCACAATGCTACAGAAACTACTGTAAGCTCTAAACGATCCTCATGGCCCTTTGACATACGAGCGACGCAAAGCTTTGCTCAATGGCAGTGTGTTCTGAGAGACGCAATTCATCTGTTCTGTGCAATGTTAAAGTTCCACAGTGAGAAGGGTAAGTTCCATTAATGAGCGAGAACAATGTAGACGGTTTTTAGGAAACATGTTGCCGGCCAACGCGAGTAATCTGCTGACGCTACTTCTCGTTGATGTGACTACTTGTTAATGTTGATCTCATTGTTAAATGTTTAGGAAAAAAATATTTTAGAAATCATGCTTCAGGTTGAATGATAACCTGTAGGCCATGCTCATTTATAAATACGCCGCATAATTCCGGCGAACGTGGAACGCGTAACCCTGCTCGTTGGAAGATAATTACGTAATGTCAAGCCAAGTTTTCAGGTGCAAGATCTCAATTCCGAAGAGCACAAAAGATGCTTCCAAGTTTGGAAGAACACTTCGAAAGAAAGGTATGATTTTTTTGCTGATTGAAGTAAATAAACCTGTTAAAATCTAGGGGAGACTGGCTGCCCGTCTTAATACGAGTATTCAAAACATTTTGCTGAAAACATCGTGTTTTAGCTTGTTTGCAGCGTTTTTAAACGTGAAATAAGCTAATTTTTGCAAAAAAAAACAAAAACAAAAAAAAACCGTGTTTTTTAGTCTAAATTGAGCCTTTTTGTCAACTTTTGCCTAAAATTTGGCAAAAACTCGTGCGTTTCTGCCGGATTTTGGTGTTTTCAGACAGATTTCAACGCAGTTTTACAAAATACATGTAGTTTCAGCTAGTTTGCAGCGTTTTGGGCCTGAGACTGGTAGGTGTGATGTTTTTAATGATAATGTTTTTTTTAACTCTAAAGAATGGTCAAGCTTTATCTCATTATTGAAATTTTTTACCAAGTTATCACGAAGCTTTTTTGGTACTTTGACCTGTTTAACACCCAAAAGGAAGTGCACATACAAACTACAAACAATCAGCGCAGTCAAAATGTGCTGCAGCCGACGATTTGGCCGCCTACGACAAAATATCTGCCACTTACTTTACACTTGTCAGACTTCCATTTAGGACGAGGTTCGGCCTCTGCTACCTTTTACTATTGCCAGCGGCAATATTATTAGAAAGGAATGCAGTAATCTTTACTAATAAGATTACTTAGTAGCTACATAACAAATAGCCCAGTCAAAATGTACTGACAGCCGGGGATTTGGCTGCTTACAACAAAATATCTGCTGCTTACTTCACACTTGTCAGACTTTTAGTCTGGACGAGGTTTGGCCTTTACTTTCTATTACCAAAGCCAGCTTGCCTACTTCTCAAAAGCATTTTGACTGGGTTGAAAAAAATTGTTTGAGAGAAAAATGGCCATAACAAGCCAACTTACAGCAAAATAAGAAACATGAAACATGAAACACTTCAAACTAAAACACAATATAAACCTTGCAGAGTTTGGTTCTCAATAAAATTAGTTAAAATAGCAAATCTGGATTTTTACTGCTCACTCAAAATGGGCCGGCAGCCTGTGATTTGGCCGCCTACAATGAAGTATCTTCCATTGACTTCACGCTTTTCAGACTGCTTTTCAGGAAGAGGTTAGGCCTCTGCTGCCTATAATTACTACAGCCAGCTTGCCTACTACTCAAAAACATTTTGACTGGGCTGTGCAAGTCTTACTAGCATATTGAAAGCACCTTCAGGTAGATTATGGCAAGGCAGACTTTGTACAAAAATGTTTTGCATTAAGTACATCATTACCCTCTTCAGGTACTTTTAGTTCACTTGTGAAGATCCCACAAATCACAAGCTATATTACATCATACATTCAAGTTGACAAAGCAATCAAGAACAATATTTTTTTTAACAGGATGCAATGTTCTTCAGTTTCAAGATTATTTGGTAGCTAAATATTTAAATGTTCGAGAGAAGAAATAGCCGTAAACATTTTTTCTTTCTTATCAGCAACGATTTCCAAAAATAATGTATTATGACCATCTAAAACAAAGAAGAAATAAATCATATTTGTGATCTCATATTAAAATGTTTTTTATTTCGAGACGAAAATGAAATGGCCTTCATGTAAACACAATAGAATCCTCTGCGTGTTTAGCCATTCCAAACGCCATGATATTTGACTGAACCTCAGCTTTCGTTTAGACTTCATCTTTCGTTTTGTTTTGCACTCATCATTATAGAAAGCATAAAAGACAGATAGATTGGACAGATTTAGAAAGATGTTTTTTAATCAAGCATTTTTTTGTTTATTTAAGATAAAGCATTTTTTTTTGTTTACCTAAGATATTATGGGCTGTTAAGATTAGTTCAAATACGTGAGTTACATTAAGAAAGCGGCAATAGGGAATCCGACATCAGGTTGAAAGGACTGAAAAGTGTGTTTTCTGCCGTTGTTCAACATTGCACGTATTCTAGAAAGCTTTTTTGTCGCTTCTGTTTTTGTTATAACCGATATAGGCCTCATATTTTTTGCTTGTTGACCCGCATGTGCAAGTTAATAAACTGGTTAAAAAATTGGTAGACCCCGAGGACTTTATTTTCCTGGTGAATCTTCAAAACCAGAAGTACCCGAACCCGTTGTGCGAAACACGTTTAGACTTAGAAACTTGCGCTTTCTCACCACCGTTCAAAAAGTGGTAGAGCCATTGCAGATAGTGAGCTTCTTACTTGAGAACCAGATCATAACACCCAGGCCTTTTCACGCCAAAATACTCAACTACTAAAATTTCCTTCGCCGCCGTAAGCCGCTATGTTATCCTTCTTGTATACTTGTTCCCAAAGATTATCAGAACTATGCATAACTTTGGGGCCAATTGAGACGTAACGATAATCAGTTGTTTCTCTTATATAACCTCCTCAGTATAACTTCTATCGGCCTGCGAGGGAAATTGGGTTCGTGCCTCCTCTTCGCTTGTTGTCGCAGTTTAGGAAATGGGCGTTCACGGACTTACGTCTTATCTTGTTCGTTCTGAAGAGTCAGCTCCATACCTTAGGAGACTGATCAAGCTGCGAGACACAAAGCTTATCATAGACGGAGATAACTTGTGTAACTACCTTTACAAAGAAAACGGCTTCGATTGCCGATGCGGAGGGCAGTATGAGGAGTTTTACAAGAAAGTGCTGCTGTTTTTCGACGCTCTAAAATCTAAAGGTGTAGAATCGTTCGTAGTTCTTGATGGCGCATATGATAGAAGTGACAAGAAGTTAGAAACACGGAAAGAAAGAACACAAGAGAGGATCGAAAAGGCTGACCGGTTGTTCAGGAATGAAACATCAGCTGATGGCGATGAATACTTTTTACTTCCACTTTTGGCGAAGTTTGTATTCGTAGAAGTCCTGAGGGATCACTTGATAAAATTTGCTGTTTCTGACTGGTAAGATGTCATCAAATAGTTAATTAGCTTGCACTTATGCTATAACACTGGCTAAGAAATGTGGTCGTGTTCAAATGCTTAGGATATGAAACGAAAGATAGAGAAATTTATTTTTGGTTCCATTTCTGTAAGCTTTCCCCTTCTTTTAACGCAAAAAAATATGTTTTTTCGCCCACAAGACGGCAGTTCACGTCCATTTGGGTATTTTATTCACTTAAAGCTTGTACTAATAAGTGTTCCGGTTATGTTTTGCTTTCACTTTCGCACGTAACCGGAATTAAGACAAAATAAATTACAGATATTGTTAGCTTCTTATTCACCGAGCGGGAGAACTGCACTAAGGAAGCCCCGAGGTTGTGAAAGTGCGAATCAAGCGCAGCGATTTGGTTGAATAAGGTATTACCTGTGAAGAAAATCAAAGGCAAGCGTGATTGAAGAGAACAGGGTGTAATAGTCACCAAAGTGTCATTAAACGTTTTCGGATCTCTTGAACAGCTGAAAGGAAAAAAATTGATTCGACTTATTACATGTTTCATAATGACAAGTGTGCTAGTCTCGTGGGGTTTAAAAAGCAATTTCTTTTCTCTTTTTAATGCTACAGTGAAGCAGATCATGACATCGCATCTTTAGCCAAGGATTGGGCATGTCCTGTTTTGAGCGACGACAGCGATTTCTTCATCTTTGATGTCAAGGGCGGCTTCATACCACTTTCCTCTTTCGATGTTGATCAGTCAACAGCGCGTATTTTCTACCGCAGTGACGTGGCAAGATATTTTGGAATACGTGAAGAATTGCTCCCTTTGCTTGCTTCCTTACTGGGCAATGATTACGTGAGTAGGGAAGCATTAAACCCCTTGAACCACACAATTCGCAATTTTTCCAGCGATGGTCTTAGTGGAAAGGAAATGAGGTTTTCAGGTGTCAAAAATTTCCTCTCCCAGCTCCCTAATTCAATCTCAGAAACACAAGCGTTCGAGCTCGTTTTGGGATCGATAGAACCGAGTGAAAGTAGGGAGCGGCTTGAGAAAGCTGTCGAGTATTCCCTTCAAGAATACGCAATTACGAAGTCCAATTTATTGGATTACCTCCGAAATGGAGTGGTCTGTAGTCTTCTAAGAACCCAAAGTAATCTCGAACTTGACGAAGAGGTATTGCGCAGGTTTCGCGAAGGAAAGTTTTCTGCCGATTGTGTGAGCACCTTAACGGCGGGAAAAGTATTTCTCAGAGTTCAGGTCGAGGACTGTGAGAGCAGATCATCAAATCAGTGTTCAATGGCACTGAGACAGCTGATGTATGGCATTTTGAGCGATGGAGGAAGAAACATGAAGAGGATCGAGGAATGGGACAGAGAGGGCTTTGCACTCATGAACACAGATATTAAGCCTTACAATGATAAGATCCCTTCGATCAGTTCTATACTAATCGATCCTCACGGGAGATTAACGATGTTCTTGGATGCGCTAGATTCAGACTCGGCTTATATAAAATCATTACCAAAAGAGCTAGCGTTAGTCGCATCATCTCTTCGTTTTCTTCATCGTAACTCGCAACCGCCACTGGAGAATAGTCATCTGCACGCTCTACTTTGTAGTTGTGTCAAACTAGAGGATGGTTCGTGGAAACATTATCTAGAACATCCAACAAAAGCTTTCTCCCAACCCTTTGATGAGAGAGCAGCGCAAAGCTTTTGTCAGTGGCAGTGTGTCTTGAGAGATGCCATTCATCTCAACTTCGTTTTGCTTGAGCCAGTGCAGACACCATGTATCCGCAAAGTTTTCAATGGAAAACTGGTGCATTGCCTCCAGAGGGAATTGACAACAGGTAATAACAAGTTTAAAACATTTCTTCCAATTTTTCTTCCTTTTTAAATCTTTTTTTCGTATGACGAAACGGCTAAAGCTCCAGAAGAAACGATAACATGCGGCAAACGTTTCTAGCACAACGTCATGCAAAATGAACGTGTCCTTTGTTGAGTAGTTTTGCCTTTCCGTCGCATTTATTTCTTGTGGAAAGGGAACATGTGAATTTACTCCCCTAGATGATTGGGGCGAAAGTCACTGTAGGGATTTTGTGTTTTGAAAAAATTTTCAACAGGAAAGCCTATATCTTTTCATTAACGTTGAGTTTATCGTGGTGTTGCAAGGTTTATTTTGAAAACTATTAACACAGAAAAAAGGTTAAAATGATTATTTTGCCCCTCTCTTTCAGGCAGTAAGCCAGAATCCTTGATGTCTCCAAGCTCTCTTGCTCGGTATCAAGAGCTTTGCACAGCAATTACTGTCGACCAGGAGGAAAAAGGTAGTGAACACAATTTTTCAATATAGTTTTCTGGAAGGATCATTAGTATATTCTCATTCTCACAGTTCGCTTAAAAAAAATTTTTCAATTTTTTTCATGTGCTCTCGCAATCTTGAAACAATCGGATCGGATGCCATTTTTGGTCCGGATTGCGAACGCTCGGTTTGTAGATATTGTAATCCTTTACTTGATGTTCTTTAATGAATTCAGTCTCCACTTTCCACTGTAAGTAAGTACATCAACCGTTCCCTTTGTAGACGATGGGCCAATTTGCTTGTTAGTTTGAATTTTTTTCCAAAAAAAAAAAAGTCGACTGATGAGCCATCAAACTGCTCAGCATCTCACTGATATACCTTAGACACTCTTAAAAATAGCCATTGTTCCATAAACACAATCTGAATGACGATAAATATTTTTCTATCTTTATTCATATTTCTTTTATTTTCATTACCATATTTTTTATTCACAAGTAACAAGAAAAAAATTAGAGTTAAAACCATACCTAGATTTTATAAAATTTTTTAAACTATATTTCTATTTTTTCACGAGTCAGGTATAGATCCTCAGTCCTATCCTCATATGCCAGAGGAAATACGAAGCTTTATTCACTTCTTCCATAAGCATGTCACTGACCAGGTTAGCATGTATTTGAATTGATACGATTTTATCCTGATATGGTTATCTGCTTGTTTGGTAATAAAACCATGCAAATTACAGTTCCACTTTGCTGAGGTCACTCAACCCTTCAACTTCTTTAAGTTACCAATAATTTTTCCTTAGTATTATAGCTCCAGTGATTAATGAGATGCACACGCTCTGATTGGTCAAGGATTGCATCATATCTCGCTAAAATCACCTTGAACAAGGTGATTATAGTATTTCAAACTTGGTTTCCTTGTAGTTTGTCATTATTCATCAGGAAGTGATAAACGTGATAGAACAAAACAGAATTTAACAAACACTAAAGATGCTACTAAGCTTGGGGTAAAACTTTTCAAAAGGAAAAAATGTTTTTGCTGATTGAATGAAATAAACCTGTCAAATTCTACTGGAAACTGGTTGCTCATCGTGATACGAGTAATCAAAACAATTGTAACAGATTGTTATAAACAATTAAAAAAAGAATTTACAACAAAATTAAAAAGCACCTGAGCGATTATACTAAAACAATTATTCCCCTCTGGTTCGGTGAATATTGTTGAATAGTCTGCTCCTCTTCATCTTAAGGATTTTGCAACAATATTCACCTCACCTTCAGAGAGTAATTGTTAGTTACAATATCAATGCATGTACAGTATCAAGCAGACAGTTGATGGGAATGAGGAAAAATATCAGTTAGGGGATTATTTAGTTGATCCAATACCAAATTTTACAAAGTAATATCATAAGAACTACATACATTAAAAACCTGTATATAAGAACCTACAATTTTAAGAACCTGTAAGGCTAAAATTTTCCAGTTAAGTATCCCACTTATAAGCACCATTCTAGGCTAGATTCGTAATACAGGTTCTTATTTTTAGAACGTGGAATTTGTTTTAATTTGATATACTACATCCCATGCGATACAAAAAGGTAGCTGTAGTACCATATATAACATATCCAAATGTGTGTACAAGTTAACCATGTAAAGCAGGGCACTATGAGGCTGGCATACAGCCCATTTTTTTTTTTTTTAACAAATTATGAATGGGATTATGAACCTAACCCATCTCCCGACCGTAAGTACCAAAATTTAGAGGTAAATTTAGTACCTATTTCTTATATCCTTGTTTCTACACAAAATAGCTCCTTTTATTATATCTTCCAGAATCTCTCTGGCATTCAGTCCATCTATGAAAAGAAGTAAGTTCATTACGGTGTAGAACACATGTTGATGCAAATTAGTGTTGTACTCCAGACTTTACTTTTTGTGACAAGAAGTATTTGAGTTTTCTAAACATATCTTTTGCCTTCTTTGATCCAGGTTCAACAAATTGACTAAGAGATATTTTGAAAAATCTCCTTGGCCTGAACCTGATTATGTCGCAAGCCTTGTGGATGGAGGTGTGTTCTAACCCTTTCCACCCTAACATCAGTATTCAAATTCTCCATACTGTTCTCTGTACATTTACTAAGGTGCTGACAAGGAGAATTTGTCTAACAATCAGGAGTTCCTTTAGTTGGTGATCATTTCCTTTATTCTCATGGCGTTAATATGTAATTCAGTGATGATGAGTAAAGAAAAATTAGATGCTAGTCACTCTTAGGGGTAAAGGGTTAAAGAATAAGGAAATGCATCTTTATTGACTGAAGTGCTGTATGTCTTTCTGCCTGTCCTGATATTTAAATGATTGAATAGTTCCATGAGCAACCAACTAACAAACTGACTGAACCATGGATTGTCTCTAGTACATGTCAGGTTGCTGCTAACTGTTGTACTGCTCTGCACTCATTCGAGTTGTTTGAAGGACTAAGTGAGTTAATTCTTGGTTCCTTCAAGAATTAACTCACCTAGTTAATAGGACAGTTACCTTTTTGAAGCAGGGTATTGATCCATGGTAGTGTTGCCTTAGTTGTCTCCCCAAGTGAGTCAGTGAATTTTCTCGCTGTCCATAGGTGTAACCCACACTCATGTCCAGAAATACACGCACAAAAATGGCAGATTTGACAAATTTTTGTCAAACCAAGTGAATGTTTGTGGATTTTTTGATTTTGGCAAATTTTAGTCAAATTTGTCAAAGAAAAATTGGCTTGGCAGGATTGATGATTTGATGAATTTTAGTCAAATTCATCAAAGCCAAATCAGCTTGACAGATTTGAACATTTTGACGAATTTTCACTACTTTTCATTACTGCATGCATTCCTGGACATATCTGGTGACCCATTACCAGCACCTTACCCTTCTTGACTATCTACCTCTTGATTTGAAGTGGTTTACAAATTAAATAATGATGTTTTATTTCTTGTAGACCAAGTGTTTTTGATCCTTTACAAAGAGCTGTACTACAGACACATCTACAACAAGCTCAAGGTAAGGCTATTAACCCATTTACTCCCAGGATCTGATTGTTGTTTCTCCTTCCTAGCTGGAACACATTTCCTTGTAAACTAGTTGTGAGAACATATTGTTAGATCAAGATAACAACTTCCACCTGGTAAGTTTGAGTATTCTCATTAACTGTCTGCTGGATTATGTGAGGATATTACTGGGAGAAGTTCTATGTTGATCACTTCTGGGAGTTAAAGGGTTTAAACAGAAATGATATTTTTAATTGAGCATACAAATTAGGGATTTGTTGATATTCTTCTACCCTTTAAAAATTATTTGACTGTGAAACTAATTTGATTAAATGCAAAAAGGTGTAAGTGGATATTAAGGCAATAATTTGAAACCTGACATGACAGTTGATTGTGAAGTGTTATCATTGGGTTGAGAGTACTTGACCATGAAAATGACTTTTTTTCAACAAAACTCCTTTGAAAGACTCCCCTCATCTAGAATATTACTCTTCACAATCAAACATTTGTTAGCTTAATGTAGGAATGATAAAAGTTAACACCATTCTGTAATATTTTTCTAAACAGTATTTTTAATCTTTGTATGTATTCAGCCAACACTGGAACATCACTTTGAATCTTATTTCAACTACTGTGATCTTTTCAACTACATTTTGAGTAAGTTTAGAATTTTGTTTTTTGTACTGTCTAAATTTCCAATTTTGAGTAAAAAAAATATTACCACTTAACACAAAAATAGAAACACTCATCAAAATATGCAATATCTTGTAGACACAGATGAACCAGTACCTCTCAGCTTGCCTGATCAGTGGTTGTGGGATATTATTGATGAATTTATTTACCAGGTTAGAAGCTTTCCTCTAGAGAGAAAATTCCTCTTACTGATCAAGTGTGAGGTCCATAGTGTAACTTAGGGGCCAAATTTTTCGGCTCAGATTTTATGGTCCAAGCACAAAGCACAAGAGTTTCTGTATTCTTATCACCTTTTTGCTCCATAATGTAATCAAAGGAAGAGGAGAAATTTCAGTACCTGTTCATCACATCTGGAAGTTAAACGAACAGTGCTTACTGCCAGCAGATGTCTACAAGAATTGGTTGCTTTTGAAACATTCAGTATAACTTTACTTAATGAATGTGTAATTAATCATGGTTAATTTGAGTACACTAGATCCTAAGAAATTTGATTGATTATTGCATGTAAAACATTTTCAGTTCCAAGCATTCAGCCAGTACCGATCAAAGTTGTTGAAAAAGGGAAAAGACGAAGTTGAAATTTTAAGAGAAAATACAAAGGTATGCTAAGTAAAAGAATATGTGTAGAGAAATACAGTCATGTAAATATTGTAGGATTCAGTAGAGGCACTTTGATAAGATGTTGTTTCATCCCAGACTGTCTATTGATTAAACTGGAAGTTAGTGTGCTTGTTTTGGGAAGGGTGGAAATCTGGAGAAACAAGGGCATGGACACTATGATCCACAAGTATTTTGTGCTTCGTCTGAAGCTTGATTAGGGCAAATGTATTGTTTTCAAGAGACTATTTTTAATGGTAATAGGACTGAGAAGATTCCATTTAATCAAATCTATGACAGAATCTGAGAGACAAATCGGTTTTAAGTTTTCATTAAATGAGCAAAAGTTAAGTCAGCAAAATACATGATGAGTACATGCACACGATGCATACTGTCCAATTACACAGGCATGCATGATGTGTAAAACACTGTCCAACATACAAGCATGATCACAGTGTCCTATCCAATCATGTTTGAGAATTTGTCATAGTTTTGATTAGCTGATTAATCAATACAGGAAGAGCTTTGAATATTGAAAATGATTTTCTCCACTAGGGAGAAGATAGTACAATGATGATGAAAAATACTGCAATTATGCCAAATTGCCATTTAATCATGTCATTTATCCTGATCTTTAGGAGGATCTTATCTTTCAGATTTGGAATGTTCACAGTGTGCTCAATGTGTTGTATTCTTTGGTGGAGAAATCCAAGATTAATCACCAGGTTGGTAGCTACAAAGTATTTATAATAAATTTCTGAGCAATCTAATTGCAGTGATCTCCATTTTTGGAGTTCATTTTGTTTTACTGTAGACAAGACAAATACATCTAGTTTGGACATGCAATGGAGGTGAATGAGAATGTTTCTTTACACGGTTTCTTATTTCGGGATATGGTTAAAAAAAAAAATTCAATATGACCATCATAAGATCCTTGTTTTATCAGATGTCAACTTGCCCTTCCATTTACTAACTCAGGTTTCAACATTAGGCATAAGTTGTTTAAATTTGGATCACCAATTAGTCTGGCAAACTACATGCAAAAATGCTCTTTAGCCCTGGGGCATTTCTACTTTAACCTCTTCTCAATTATTTGATATCAAAAATTCTTGCAAACTGATTCCCATAAATTTTGAATACAACTGTACACATCAAGATATTTCTATTCAAATGAAAACTCCACAGCTTTGGGGTTTAAGTTTCTTTACTTGTATGGAGGTTCTTTTTTCTTTGTGGCATGCATCCTACAAAATGACTGACATGGACTTGCGTGTTGCTTAGAGTTAATTATATCTAACTCTGTACTTGAGCCAAATGGCTCTTCCAGTCAGAGTTTATCCCAGTGTACTTAACATGAAGCTGCAAGGAGTATCACTACTCACCACTGGATAGGATGTTAGTCCATCACAAGGTCACCCCCCCTTCCCCTCCTACCAATTTATCAGGCTTCCCTGGTATTTTTTTCAGTACACATTTCTACTCCTGAGTGGAGATGGGCACTGTGAGAATAAAGTGTTTTGCTCAAGAACATAACACATCGACCAGGTCAGGTGTCAAACCCAGACCTCTGGACCCAAAGTCCAACACACTGACTATTGGGTCACCCTATCTCCTATATGAATTGTGACCAATTTATTAATGCTAAACATCCCAATATCAGTATGTATATTCTCCATACTGTTTCCTATACATTTACCAAGGTGCTGAGAAGGAGATTTTTCTTAACAATCAAGAGCTCCTGTACTTGTTGATCATTTCCATTATTCTCATGACCTTAATGTTTGATTCAGGGGTGATTCTATAAGGAGAAATTAGATGCTAGTCTCTCTTAGGGTTTAAAGGGTTAACACAAGATTGAAGATTTAGTTTATGTTGATATGACTGTTTTTTTTTTCACAGCTTGAGAGGTATAACCAAGGGGGTGACCCAGACTCAGTAGCTGGCGAGTTTGGAATTCATCCACTCTACAAGATGCTAGGTTACTTCAGTCTGATCAGTTTGCTACGACTGCACTCGCTGCTTGGCGATTATTTTCAGGCCTTCAAAGTTCTGGAGAATGTCGAGCTAAACAAGAAGGTAAACTGAAGAGTAAAATAACAGTTGGAAATACTGGAGTGCTTAGATAATAGTCACAGTGGTCAGTTGGAACAAAGGTTGACATTATGAAGGAGAAAGTGAGAACTCAAAATAAAAACCATAACTGAAAAAAGGTTTAGAAAAATAAGAATGACTTAGTTGCAGTCAGTGTATTGGTTTGGTTGAGGGGCTGTAGCAAGTTTTGTACACCAATCACAGGGCGTTAAGCACAATCAAACCAATCCTTCATTCCTTGACACTGAAGTGAAAATTTCTCTAGCTCAAATGCAAAGAGGTTTTTATTTATTATTTTTTTGTTTTTTTCCTAGCCTTGTACAAGAGTTTTTGCACTGCATTTCTATGTAACCTATACATATAGTACAGGGAATAGGTAACATTCACCAGCTGATACATTTGCCATTTCTCATCACCAATTTGTTGGATAATGTCTTGATATTGTAAGGATAATTTAAAAATGTACATCTCTTTCATTTAAAATCATTCACTGTATGATGCACAATTTTTTTTGGAGATTCATGCTATACCAATACACTGTACATCAGTGATATGTATGTTGTCTCCCAACAGAGTCTATACTCAAGAGTTCCAGCTTGCCAGATCACTACCTACTATTATGTTGGGTTTGCATACCTCATGATGAAGAGGTACCAGGTAGGGAAGGTCTATCAGCATAAGGCAGGAATGAATATATGGTTAATAGACTGCTGGAACTGTTAGACAGGAAAATACTGGGCCTGAGTTCAAGGCATACTAAAGCCAAATATTTTTGGGTCCGGCCCAACCAAAATTAGTTCTTTGACTACATAAGTTTCATAATTTGCTGATTGCAGACTACTTTCTTGTGACCATTTAAATTTGGGCTTAGAACTCAGGATTAACATCACACAGTGTAACAGAAATTCTAATTTTCTCAACCAAGGCCTCTATGATTGTTACCAGAAGATGAATGAACTCTTATCTTTCCTCACGTTAGGTGGTAGAATCTCTTTTCCTTCTTGTTTTGGATCATCAGATTGCATATTTTATCCTCATTTGAAGTTGTCAAATTATGAATTTGGCTTGAAGAGAAAAAAAAAATAAAGAAAGAACAACATCCAGGAATCCTCCCTCCTGAAGTAGGGTAGGATATCTCTATGTAACCAGAATTATAGAACACGATCTGTTTCTATTCTAGGATGCTATTCGCAGTTTCTCCAATATCCTGCTTTACATTCAGAGGACCAATGGTATATTCCAAACTATATCCTATCAGAATGAACAGGTGAGAAGTCCCACAAGGGGTCATCAGCTTAAATGGAGTCTATTATTTTCAAAGAAGGTTTCCACAGACACTGATCTCTTCCTGTCAGACATCAAATAAGAGATTGAGTGCATTGATGTTTACTAATTAAACATTGAGGTAAAGAGTTTTTTTTACCCTCATCAAATATAACACAAAGAAATCAAGAGCAAATTTTCCAATTGTTTTAGAATAAATTTACTAGTCATTCAAAACTTCACAAGAAGTTTGGTTTGCTTTTTAGGCTGCCCACTTTTAACACCATCTATCATTGAATAGATTGCAAGAAGCTATCTGTTCCATGATAGATAGATGGTAGAATTTTTGGTATTTATACCAATGAGCATTACGTTACCAACATTTCTTACCCATAGATAATGAAGAAGAAAGATCAGATGTATGTACTGCTGGCCATCTGTCTGACGTTATATCCACAGGTATGTAGTTCTTATTCTCATGGATCAGTCATTATTTTCTTTCCAGGGGGAGGGGTTCAGAGGATTTTGGGGTGATCACATGGTTTTCACGGGGAAAGGAAGGGAATTGGTTCCCAACAGATCATAAGGTGGGGTGGGGGGCTAGACAAAATTGAGTGCCAACTAACTGCCAATGAAAGGGGATCATAAGATTACAGAGCCTCATGGGGGGATCAGGTAAAATTTATCGTGATGCAAATGATATCCTCCGAACTCCCCCCCCCACCTCTTGATAAATAATGATCAGTCCCTTTTTCAACCTTAGATGTGGTTGATTTTGTTCCATTTTTTTCACCTTTCCTTGTCAAACCCAAAAAAGCACATGATGAGATTTTATAAAACTGTGTCTTTGTTGCAGCGACTTGATGAACATGTTCACTCACAACTGAGGGAGAAAAATGCAGATAGGTTGCAACAACTTCAGCATGGGTATGTTGAGTGTTTTTTGTTTGTTTGGTTTTTTGGGTCTGTGCCTCTTTGTTGAAAATTCTTCATTTGTGCACTGGAAAAAACTGTGGCTTTGACCTTTCCAAAAGTTTGAGCATACATGAGCATCAACTGTATGTAGTAATTAATTTTTTTCAATTATTTCTTCCATTTTCTTCCAACAGAAATTTGCAGACATTTGAGGAGTCATTCTCATATGCTTGTCCTAAGTTTATCTCCCCAGTCCCTCCAAACTTTGACGCACCTCCAGCTAATTTTAACAGGGTAAGGACATTTTAGCAATCTTCAAATGGTTTTGCTCAACTTTGCTGTGTGATTGGTTCGGAAAACTTGCGCCTCTTTCTTAACCGATGAGATTCCAAACTAAAACCAATTGCAACTTAGTCCCTCAGGTCTTCCTGCGCCAAGGCCATGTAGGCTTGATTGTCGAGTTTTCATTGGATACTTGTATTTTTTTAACTCTGATTGGTCGATGTGATTTATCCACACTTTCAGTCAATTTACAGAGACACCTGATCTACTTCAATAAATTTTGAATTCATTTGAAGACAAATGGATCACAAGAGACTTTGAAATGTAAAATGTGAGTTCTTGAATTCTTCATCACAACTGTTTAACCCTTTAACCCCTAAGAGTGACTAGCATCTAGTTTCTCCTTACAATATCACCACTGAATCACACATTAATGTCACGATGATAAAGGAAATGATCACCAACGGAAAAAAACTCTTGACTGTTAGACAAATTCTCCTTGTCAACCCCTTAGTAAATGTAAAGAGAACAGTTTGAAGAGTATGAATATACTGATGTTAGGGTGTAAAGGTTAAATTGTAGCGATTTTTTTTAAACAGTTGTTTCAATTGCATCCTTTTCTTCTCTTTTCCAGGAACCATTTAATCTTCAGCTGAAAGTTTTCATGAATGAAGTGTTGCAGCAGTCTCCGATACTAGTAATTAGAAGGTAAAGTTTAAAACAGAAGTTTTGTGTCAGTTTTTATTTAGAATCAGCATGGCCCTCACTTGACTTGCTTTCAACAATCAAACGTACACTGCATAAATAACGTTATGATATTCTTTAGACCACTTTTTGATTTAGCGTCATAAAACTAAATTCAAAAGAATCATAGCCAGTCAGGACTAGGTAAATGTTACTAATAGCCAATGAAAACCAGGCACTACAGTAACCAGCGTCAAATGTGGGAAAAACGTGCATAACAAAATTGCCATTGCTTTAGTTTTGTATGTTATTGGCTGGGTGAGTGGTGTGAGAATTTTTAGACCAATAGCAGTGTAAATGAAAGCAAACACTAGTGCAGTTTGTTTCAGTTCCCCTATTCTTTGGAATTAAATGCTCCATTCTGTGACTGTGATCAATAAGTTTTCTTGGAGATGCAAGTAAACCTCCATTTCCATCATGGAAAGTTTGTTTGCCTTTTGTTTTTTTAGCTATTTGAAGTTGTACACCACAATGCCCATCGCAAAGCTTGCTGCATTTTTAGACATGGTGAGTTAAAAGAACCTCTTTTCCACAATGAATAAAACTCTCTGTCTTCTGTTTTTTTATTTTTTGGTCCAAGAGTAGTAAAAACAAAAAACTTTGTTCCCTCCATGGAATGGGTTTCAATCTTGACACTTAAGTTATCGTCTGTGTTCCTTCTGTAGGATGAGAGTCAGTTCAGGACCCAACTGCTCTGCTTCAAGGTAAGTCTCTAAACAAAATTTTCACAGGGTTAGTATGGTATAATGCAGTTCACAACATTTGGTGAAAAAAACTATCCTTTACTTGTCTTGGTAACCCTTGTTGCTTCCCTTTCACAGCATAAACAGAGGAATCTTGTGTGGACGAAAGGAACAGATGCTCTCCAGGGAGAGCTCCAGTCTTCCTCTGAAGTGGACTTTTACATTGACCAGGTGAAAAAAAACATCCTTTCATGAGAGTAACCAACCCCAAAATTGTGTAACTGTAAATGTAACGTAACTCCGTTGACCTATCAGATTGCTGAGTAATACCTTACAGAGACAATTAGAACTCTTAAAGTTAAAAAAAGCAAATCACTTACATGTAAAACTTGAGAAAAATGTGGGAAGTCAAGTTGTGACTGGGTTTGCTTTCGATTTGGATTGGTTGAGAAGGGTGCAAAAGGTTTTTCCAGACCACTTATTACAATAGGCAAAACCAAAGTAGTACATGCAATTGAAGATGGCTCTAATTGCATTAGGTAATGGATGATGAATTTGTTTCTTTTTTTGAAAAACATACTCAATTTAAAACAGATAAGGTCATCTCAAATATGTTCTCTAGAACAAACCAGTTTTCCTCCTCTCAAAAATGGTTATTTTCCTTAATAAATACTTTTCTCCTACTTTCAGGATATGATACACATCGCAGATACGAAAGTTGAACGGCGGTATGGAGATTTCTTTATTAAACAGATTCACAAGTTTGAGGAGGTAAGACTGGTCCCTCATTCTCTACAAGTATGTTAATAAACTCCAGCTATAGGCTACCTGCCCCCCCTCCTCTTATCCACCCTTTTGGTTACAAGCCAATAATATGAATGTTTTATGGCCAAAATAACACTCGTCACAGAACACTCAGAACTAAGAAAAGAGGGCAACAACTACTTTCTACAATGCTGTCTCGTAAAATAACGTGATAAGAGTAAAGTTTTATGAGATAGAGCTGAGAGCAAATAGTTAAAGTGACAATGGTCTAGACACTATCAAAGAAAAATGGTATTCACTCAAAAAGCGACGCTGCAAGCTCTCATGTATTGTGCTGCGGCATTTGCAGCTAAGCCCGTGAATTTCGAGCTGGCGAGTGTGCAAAAGGTTCTTGAGGGGTGTGGTCTCATGCCAGAATTCTTGCGGCCCCCTCGCACATTGCCCACCCAATCGGATCCCGGAGGCTTCGCCGCTCATGTCCTAGCGCCTACCGATCGCGATCTGTTGCTTTGCAAAGAGGTGATGATGTTTGAGATGCTGCTGAGACGCAACTTTTGACAAGTTACTTGTTCTTCCTCTTTCAGGTCACAAGGAAAATCCAAGCATTCAGTAACACTTAAACAATCATCTGAGGAAAGATACTGTTTAGAGGAGAAGGAGATAAAATCCAGAGAAACACCGATACTAATCATCTATCCATCCCAGTGTACTCCTTTTTGCAATCTGTGATATCATTAGAAGTTTATTTTACTGGCTTTGCCAACAATACATATAATGTAGGAAATGGGTAAATTACATAACAGTAATGGGCAGGCAACCACAACAGCGATAACTAATTACTGTGGTCTCAGGAAAATTAAAATAGTAAAAAGATTACATCAGTAACCAATAATTAAGAACAGCATGGAGTTGGTGTTGTTTTCAGACTGCGATATGAATTACATTTTGCATAGATAGTTTTATAAGTCCTAGGATAGTCAATGTCAAAAATCTCTTGGAGTGCAGTTGAATAATAACACATCAAAGCACGTTTGAAGTCATTTACATTGTTCACACTTAGGTTAAGCTCGTCTGGCAGTGTGTTCCAGATTCTTATTTTTCATACAATAAATGACTGTTGAAAAGTTGAAGTCTTGCATTTAGGTACAGAGTATTTGGTAACAGCCGTATTGGCAGACAATCCTGTATGTCTTGTAGAACGAGCAATAGGAACAATTGTAGGGTCTATATCCAGTAACATATCTAAGTACTCATGCCAGTAGCTGATAGGTAGTAAGGAAAGGGCTTCTAGCCGTTGTTCATAACTCTGACAGCATGAGAGTGGTAGTATCAAGGTATATTTTGTAGCCCATCTCTGTATTTTTTCTAGATATGAGATGAATAAATAGATTGTGGTGCCCAAACTTGTTTCGCTTAGCCCAGATGTGGTCTAACGATGGTTAAATAGATTGATCTTCTTACATCAGTACTTTGTATATGACACGTAAATCGTTTAACAAACCCATGTAACTTGTTTGCATGCACCGAGCATTGCTCTGATTCCATATTGGGTCAGTGGAAACCCAGACATCAAGATCACATTCGTGACTTGTTTTCTCCAACATAGCTTCATTTATATCGTAGGCAGTGTTCAGTGGCTTGGTTTTACGCGTGATGGACTGGCAGTGACTTTTTAGAGACTGTGGGTAATGGAGATATTGGTGGATAGTTCTCTACTTGTTGGAAATAACCTTTTTTGAGAACAGGGACTATGTTGGCCAGTTTCTAGTCTTTTGGTATGGTACCAGAGCTGAGTGATCAATTGAACAACAAGCAAAGTGAAGGTGCAATGACATCAGTGGCTTCTTTGAGTAGTTTTGCTGGTATTCCATCAGTACCAGTGGCCTTTGAACAATCTAAGGAACATAGACAATCTTTTACTTCCTCCACCGTTAAACTCAGATCTGTTAAGATTGGTGGGTCACTGGTACAGGTGCGATGTTGGGGGGTTGAACTTTCGTTGAATACTGATGCAAAGTAACGATTAAATAAGTTAGTAACCCCCGAAGGACTGGATGAAGTGCCTACATCAGTCATTGACATCTGTGTTGGAACCGATCGAGATTCATCTTTATGTCTTAGGACTATCTAGAGGCGTTTTGGTTTATCCTTTGCTTCTTTCTCGAGGTCTTCTAAAAATCTCTCGTGGCTATCGCGTAGGAGTTGTTTAACCTCTGATTGCAGAGCTTTACATTTCTCTCTGAGGTACGTGGTTGGAGATGTTTTGAGTTTCCTCCGAACACTTTCTTTTCGTTTAATTTTATGTAGAATAGAGCTGCGTGATGGACCCACCTCCCCACCTCTTTTATCCAAGGAGGTGGGTTATGACCCCTAACTCTTTAAGTAGGGACAAAGTCAGAGACCGCGGCTAGAAAGGTGTCCTTTCAATGTTGCCAGACATCATCGATATTATCATTTACTAACTGTAGAGAGAGGTCGACTGCATTCAGAGCATGACGTAGACCAGCAAAATCAGCTTTTTTGTAATTGTAAACATTTCTGTGGATTTTCGTTGGTGCTTTAACCATGGCCATGAGATAAGAGAATGTGGCTCGTCAGACAACACACTAGAGTATGATCTTGGAAGAGTTATCGATCGAACGCGATTTATTTCATGGAAGTCCTATTGTGACCTCAGCTATAATGTTTTCCATAACCGCTAGCTGCTTGGCCAAACCAGTAACTAATTTCGTGGCTATGCGAGCCACCAATAACCACGTGGAATATCGATCAGCCAAACACCATGAAGTTTATTTCAACATAGTACTACAAGAGTCTGTTACGGCACCTTTCGTCATGCAACACGATATTGGTAGTAAATCGAACCCACCCTGCCTTCTTGAGTTTTTAATTTTAGATTACTGCAAACGGTAACGTGATTGACAGTAACAACACACGTCACTTGCATGCTCATGTGACAAGATGTGGTAAAACTGGTGACGTGACTTTTCTGAGATGATTTTGGTGTCACTTTCTGGGTGTTACGATATTTTACACCAAATTAATTTACTTTTTGAACTTAGTAGTTGTCTTACACTTTTTTCCTGTTTTCCTTTTATGTAAAAAAAATTTAAGCTTACAGAATATCACAAATTGTGTGAAGCACCTTTATTTTGAAATCCTTCAAAGCAGAGCTCTGCTCGAAGTTTGGACATGGAAACTGACATTCTTCAAATTAGAAAGATAATATATTCAAAGTTCTTGAGCTCATATGTTTAACATTCAAATATTTTAAATCGAAACTGTACTCTTTGACATTGTAAATTATGAGACTTGGGATGAAAAAACAAACAAACAAACAAATGAAAGGTTATACCTTAACTTGCAGTAGTTTTTATGTAATTCTAAATAATCTTAACACAGTTGCAAAAGATGAACTTTATTTGTTTGGCCAATATCCAGCTGTATTATGTATAGTCTATATAACATAACTGCACTTATGTTCAGACATACCTCAACTCCCATATTCTGGCTGAACAGTCCTCCCCACCAGTGAACATCCATTTATCATCCTCATGAAAACACACAGCAGTCACATTCTTGGATACACCATCATAACTCATAACCTTAAACAGAATTAAGTATAAAAATGAATTGGGAAACTCTAGTCAAACTTCTTTCCCATCCTAAAGAAGGGCACTTAAAATTCCCAGGGTTAGGATTTCAAAAATCTTAATGATTGGAACAAAATTGTAAACCAGCTAACTTGAGGTAGGAAATAATCATTAGGAATGTCCCTTGAAAAGGCAACTTGATGTAGAGTCTAACCCTCAAAATATTACAAAAGGTGAAAAATTCAGAAGAACCAATGAGTCCTTCACACTTTAATACCAAGTTTGGAGCAAGACACAAACACAGACTCAATTTCAATTATTATCTGCTAGCATTCCTTAATTAGTGTTGAATGATGAGATTTCTAGAGACAACAGCTGACTGAATGTTGAGTACAAATCAATCATAACTGTTTAATTAATAAAATACCACTAACATGGCAGAGAAAATCAGGTACAGACCCATCAAGAAAGGAGAACAGAACCCAAATTTTTGCTGGTGTAAAATAATGATGCCCACCATGTTATTGGGGGGGAGGTGGGTTTGAAACCATTTTTTGTAAGGTTTTAGGGGTTAAAAATCTCTAATGGCCCCAAAAATTGTACCCAATTTTCCTGCAATTTTAATGGATTTTAAATCTAAAATAATAGCAAACATGTGCTAAATGACTTACAGCACTAGGATTGCTTCAATTGATATCATACAACATATGACATATGTGTTGATATCCTGAGGGAAATAAAAAATAAAAAGAGATGTTGGTGTAAATTTAAATCAGTTCTGCGGTTACTAATACTCGGTTACTATACTCTTTCTTTTGAATAGAACCAGGAGAATGAAATAATTTACTGATACACAGTCAGCTCAGCCTTCAAAGTAATGGTTGATCACTCTGGACAAATTCCTTTCTCAACTCAGAAGTCAAGATCAAGTTACCTGCAGCAGCTAATAACTGTCTGTCTGGTGTGATCTGCCTTGCATTGACTTGCTAATACTATAGAGTTTAAGATCACAACATCTACATTTACAACAATTAAGGGCATACAGTTACAACCTGTGACAAAAATTAATCATGATAAAACCCTCACACAGCCACTTTGTAAGAAGTAATAGGAAATGAAATTGAAAATAAACCAAAATTCCTCTCAATGCCCTCAAAATATCAGTGCTCACAGTACAAAAACAAAAAGAAAACAAAAAGAAAACAAAACAAAAATATCACATTTCTCTGTGGGAGAAGGGATAAAACTAGAGGTTTTAAAGATAGAATCTTGAAATTTGTTCCTAGGTGGGTTGTATGTAGTTAACTAGAATGTATATTGTAACCAAATTTAAAATAAATTTTGTTACAACTAATTACACAGTTTATACTCGGAATAATCCTAGATTAAGAGGGAATTCATGGTTTTTTTTGCAGCTCGAAAAACATGAGACTTCAGCTGCTTAGGATACAAACATTATCTTGTTACCTTTACTACCACATGAGTTAACCTTTAACTCCCAAAAGTGATTGCATGTAACAAGTAAATTATCTCTTTAACATCCATTCATCATCCAGCAAAAAGTGTTGTGGGGATACTCAAACTTATGAGGTACATGTAAAAGTTGCTATCTTGATTTGACGCCAAATTCTCATAGCTCGTTTACAAGGAAATGTATAGTAGCTAAAGTGGAATACTAACGATCCGTTCTTGGGAGTTGATTGGTTACATCTTCTGTTATCTAATTAGAAACTTGAGATTGTGTCTCATGGAATTGCGTTGGTGTTGCAGTGAAGACAATTTCAAGATACATTGCGGGCCTCTCAACCTATCTACTCTAGGTCGTTCGTACACTCAAGTTTTTCAGGTCGTCAGGTTTTTTCTCCTTCGATAAACACCGTGCAAGTGTAACGTTTTGTGTCGTTTGCAATGAACTAGATTTTACAAATGCAAAGGATACGGAGTCTGGATGCTGTACAGTGCGGAGGCATATTCCACTATGTGCTTGCCAGAACTTAATCGCATGATCATATCCTGCTTTGGCTAAAACAACCGGTTCACTTGAACCTTCTGTTTCGGCCGTTATCTTCTTGGCGTGGACGAGAAAGAAATTTCGTGCAAAAGAGCTGGTTTAGAGAAAGTCACAGTCTATTTAGCCGCTGATTCTATGTCACTGGCTCAAGGTGATTTTACTTTCTTTCCAGGGAGGGGCAAAATGTGGATAATACCAAGAAGACAGATGAAAGACGAAAATTTTTAAATTACCTATTTTAGACAGATTATCTTTGTGGTCTTTTCTCAAATCCAAATAAAAATGTTCAAGGACTATTCAGCTCTATTGATTTAAACAAGGACTACAACAGTTGGGCTCCCACCCTCCCAAGAAATCACTCGTTATTTCATGCGCCTGGAACATCATGATTTGATAGAGGAAAAGAGGCTTTGCATCTAGCAATGGGGGTTCGCGGACTTACAAGTTATATCAACTCAATCGGAACGCTTTGGACACAGATCGATCTTAAAAATACAAAACTTATCATCGATGGATCTTGTCTGTGCCATTATCTCTACTATAGCAATGGCTTAGACTGCCGATGTGGTGGTCAGTACCAAGAATATTATGATGCTGTAGTTTCGTTTTTCGATGCTCTGGTTTCGAACGGCGTGGAGGCCTATGTTGTATTCGATGGAGCACATGATCCCAGCGACAAGAAATTAGAGACACGTATAGCACGAACCAACGAGAGGGTTAGAAAATCAAATGCTCTGTCGATGTCCGCTGATGATTTTTTACTTCCGCTTTTGGCGATGAACGTGTTCGTGGACGCACTCAGGAATCGCGGCGTAAAATTCGTTTTCAGTGACTGGTAGGAGTGGTTTATTTGTAATAATGTGCATTCAAAATGATATGAAGAGAAGTAGCCCGTATAGCGTCTCTTAATGACTCCACCATAGAGGCTTTTGATCATATCGAAACAACAGCAAAATATAACCTTCGACTGGACAAAACACGGTCATTGTTATGAAGGAAACTACAGTAACAATTTTGTAGAAACTTAATTGGGCTGCACGATTTTTCAAGTCACATAACAAGTTAAATATACTGTTACGTTAGGAGACTAAAGCCTCCTATGTAGGCCTTTTTCTTATTTTTGGATGAGATTTCTTTTCAAATGAAAAATCACGCACATGTGGAAGGGACGCTAGAAGAGGCTTGGTAGATATTACTTCTCCAGCTCTTGGCTCGCCCTAAAAGATATACATCTAACCTCACTTCCTTTTTTTTCACAACAGCGAAGCCGACACAGAAATTGCCTCGTTGGCTTATGGGTGGAGTTGTCCAGTTCTTAGCAATGACAGTGACTTCTTTATCTTTGACATCAAAGCTGGGTACATTCCTTTTGAATTCTTGGAATGGAATTCCAGTTCTTTGACAGCGAGTGTTTTCTATCGGCAAAAACTGGCGTCGCACCACCGAATTCGTGCAGAATTAATTCCCTTATGGGCTTCGTTGGCAGGAAATGACTACGTGAGTCGTGATTTATCATCTACGTTTAATCGTGCGTTGAATGGTTTTCAGACTTTCAACCATATTAGATTTGAAAGCATTGCGAACATGCTATCCAAACTTCGCGACTCAAACGAGGAAGAGGCTTTGAAATGTGCCTTGAAAATGATGAAGTCAGCTGAAAACAGAGAACAACTTAGACAAGCTGTTGAACTTTCTCTCCAGGAATACACACTTTCAGAGTCGAATCTATCGCGCTATTTCCAAGACGACATAGTCTCTAGCTCCCTTAGAACGCAGAGTAATCGCGAGATCAATCAGTGGGTCTTGCGCAGGTTCCGAAATGGAAAGTTTTCCTCCAAATGCATCAGCAGTTTGACATCGGGGAAACTGTTCCTGGAAATTCCCGTTGAAAATTGTAGAGAAATATCGGCGAACTGTTGCTCTAAGCGGCTAAGGAGATACGTGTATGGAATTTTGAACGATGCTGAAACAAAAGCAGAAGGAAATATAAAGGTGATCCAAGAATGGGACAGAGAGGGCTTAATTGTCCAACAATCAATTGTAAAACCCTACCAAGAAGGCGTGGTCCCTTCTTTGAGCCTAATCCCGTACCTCTATCTCGGAGAGCGTGTAAATTTTTTGTTGTTTGCACTCGATTCGGACACCACAGCTGTCAGGTCCTTAGGTAAAAGGTTTATTTTGATTGCCTCATCACTTCGTTACCTCATAAAAAACGCGCATCCACCCTTGGAGACAAACCATCTGATTGCTTTGCTGTGTTGCTGTGTCAACTTGGAGAATGGCGAGTTATACAATAGTAAAGAAACCACTGTAAGCCCTCACCGCTCCTCATGGCCGTTTGACATACGAGCGGCGCAAAGCTTTGCTCAGTGGCAGTGTGTTCTAAGAGATGCAATTCATCTAAACTTTAATTTGTTTGAGCCTGTACCTGTACCATGTATTCATAAGACGTTCAATGGAAAAATGGCACAAAAACTGCTTGAAAGTTTGCAACAAGGTAAGTCTGAAAATCAACCAATACTTAATAGAGGTTAGTATTTGTCAGCTAACAAAACAGCCAACCCTCGATTTCGATTCCTTCGTTTTCTATCTTTATGTTGAAAACCCACGAAGCCAAATTGGCCCCTTTTTTTTAAAAGAATGTTGTCCTCGAGAGGCGCTACTGAAAGTCAAGGTCCTCTTTAGATCTCCTGATCCTTGGATTCCATTTCATATAAATTTTACATCAGCAAAATTTAGACTTAGAACACTGACTAAGACGCTGCACGGAAGCCAAACCCTACATATTCCTGGTCTTAATTGCCATATTCAGTTTTGTTCCCAGTACAACCAAGTCCCTCCTAAACGCGAAAGTCATACAGCGGAATGAGCACTAATGAGGATGATCGATAACACTGAGCAAATGATTTAAGTGTAACCAGGAGAATACGTGTTTTGTTTCCTCATGGTGTTAGGTAAAATCCTGGTACAATACACAACAACGAGGATTTATAGTTTCCAAAGTTTGTATCAGAATGAATTTAAGAAACTCTGTGGCTCAGAAAATTGCGCAGTGAAAAACTAAATTTTCTTTTATTTTCTCGCTTCTGCCATCGAATAGAATAGAGTAGCAAAAATTGGTGAAAATCATACTTGTTTTCCTTCTCTCCGTCAGGTCGTACGCCAGAATCCTTACTTTGTTCTCCAAGTATTCTTTCGCGATATAAAGAGCTTTACACTGCTATTACAGACCAGGAAGGTAAAGGCACGTTGAAAAAAGCTTCGTGTTATTTCTATCATTCTTTAAGTAAGAATTTCATTTTTATGGCCATTCGCAATCCAAAAAAAAACTACCTCTTCTGTTAGAGGCATGTAAACTTCTGTTTAGTTTCATGTTAGTCTCATCGGTAGGGAGTAACCCTCTCTCCTTCAAAGGTGCATGAATTCAGTTTACAAACGCATCATTAATTGAAAAAACCGCAACATATAAAATAATTACCAGCTCATTGCGAGTGTACAAATGGTTCTGTTTGCAGGCGATGTTGCCGTCAGGATGCAAAGCTTACGTTTATGAACCACAGAAGAAAAACGGCAACGAGAAAAATCCCTAAGACGTGACCTTCCGGCCAACAAGAGAGGTATCACCACCCAAGAGGGCAGCGCCGACAGCTTCTTGGAACTTAAGCACAGCGCCACTGCCGTCTTAAGATCCGATGGTTGATTGACAAAGGGAAACCAAACTAAAATTACAGTCAGATGCCCTCCAAAAATCACAGGGGAATATTCTTCAATGTTCCTGTTCTGCCTCTCGCTCAAAAAACGAAAGGAAAGAATTTGCATCTTCGACCTATTCTCTTTTCCTCTGGTAAAGAAGAAGAAACGAAGGGTCAGCGGAAAGTGCCAAATACTAACGTGCACCGACTAACATTAGATAACGATTTTCTGACTTTTATGAACGTTAGTTTTAAATGTTTGACATACCATTACCTTTTAAAAAGTTTGTTTTCTTTTTATTCTTTTTCAATCATAACATTTAATTTACATAAACATTATTTGGAGAATTTTTAGCATAATAATTTCATTCCCTGAAGCTTAGGGCGTCAGTTTACTTTTAAATACATTATATGTTGAATGGATACCCACATTAGCGTTGTTAAATATCTCGAGTTAGTAAGGGACTAGGAATTTTCTTTTCAGTTTATGCTGTTATATGTTAGCCAATCTTTAAATGATTTTCTCACCAGCACGAACACCGCTGAAGTTCCTTGATGAATTAGAGTGCCTACGTAGCTCCAGGATTCTACAGTTCCTTTCTTATAATCTCACGTTTACAGTATAAAAAGTCATTTCCGAATTACCTTTAGCCTCTTTTTCAAAACGAGGCCTGGTGCCCAACCATTCGTATGAATATGAATTTAATTTGCACGTGAATGAAAACTTATAATCATATGGTAGAATGAGCACCAGGACTCGCTTTGAAAATGAGGCCAAAGGTAATTCGAAAATGGCCTAATATTCGCGAATATTCCATCATCTGGACTTTTATCTAAAAATTACTTCCTCTTCGCACGATTTCCTAACAAATTGCGAAACTCGAGTCTCCTGAATTACGTCTCCTTTATCTGCATGAACCTAAGTGTCCCAAGCAAAACAAAATGAATACAAACTCAAGTTATGACGTTATTATTGTTGATATACCTGTCAAAACGTTCAGACGCCACGCTCAACCTCGTTTTCAGGCCCTTCGAAGGGATGCCACTTTTTGTTAACGACGCGTCTTAAGTTTTTCATCAAGGTAATGGGCGTTCGTGGACTCTTTAGTTTCCTCAAACCAATCGAAGAGATTTGGACAACGATCGAACTACGAGAGAAACAGCTCGTCATAGATGGATCAGCTTTATGCAACTCTCTCTACGCAGACAATGGCCTCGATCGACGATGTGGGGGGCAATATAACGAATTCTATAAAATAATAGTGTCTTTCTTTGAATCTCTACGTTCTGTGGGTGTAAAATCATTCGTAGTCCTCGATGGCGCAAATATCAGCGATTATAAATTGGACACCTACAAAAAGAGGTCAAAAGAGAGAATCCAGACAGCTGATACGCTAGCAAAGAACCCAGCAGCAGCAAATAAGGATGTCTTCGTGTACCCTCTTTTGTTGAATTTTGTGTTTACGCGAGCGCTCAGGGATCTTGAAGTAAAATTCGCTGTCTCTGACTGGTAAGTTGAGAATAAACATGAAATAGATAACATATAATCAGAGTTAGTCTACTTTGAACACATTAATTTAGAAGACACGTCATGAATGGATATCGTCCAAAGCATCCGTTAATGTTGTTTATATTCAGTTACTTGCTATGGTTCATCCTATGTAAAAAAAAAAGACAGCGTAAGCCAGGGAAGTTATAACTACGAAAGGGAGATAGTCAGAGATTTCATTTTGCCTCCGATTTTGGCCGAAGGGATCACGACGACGTTTGAAGATATTCCTTACGCGAAAAGATCGAGCTGGAACTTTTGTTCAAGCTATTTGAAATTGTAATTTGAGTCAAAACAATCTTCGTTTCATATTCGCTTTTGTCCGTATTTAAATCAATGGCGCTCATTCAAGTCGGAGGAAAAGAGGGCAGCAAGCTGCCTATATTCTAATTCGAAGAAGGCAATTATTTTTATCGATGAACGGTCATTCGTAAGTGTGTGTGATGTGAAAAGCAAGCGATGCTACTCTTCTCAAACAGCTTACAATAATTTGCTTATTTTAATGACCACGTGGTTTAATGAATTATACAACAGCTAACGTAACCAATATTTTAACGTCACATTCAATCTCCTTTTCTTTTTCTAGTGAAGCGGATTCTGAAATCGCGTCTTTGGCTAATGCTTTAAAATGTCCTGTTCTAAGCCACGACAGCGACTTCTTTATCTTTGATGTTGAAGGTGGTTTTATTCCACTCTCCTCTTTCGCGTGGCAGAGCTGTCCTTCAATAGCCCGCATTTTCTATCGCGAAAAATTGGCACAGTATTTTGGAATTCACTCAGAATTGCTTCCTCTATTTGCCTCTCTGGTGGGAAATGATTACGTAACCTTTGAGCTACTAAAGCCATTTTATGGGAGTTTGCAGCTGCAGGGCACTTTTGGAGATAAAAAAGAAAAAACGTTCCGAACCATTGCGGAACTTCTTTTACAAGCTCCTACATCTACAGAGAAAGAGGCGATTGAATTTGTAATACGACATGTTCGTCAGGGCAAAAGTAAGAATGACTTAAGAAGAGCTGTCGAGATTTCCCTTCAGGAATACAAGATCACAGAGAAGCCTTTGGTGGGATATTTTCTACGCAATGATATCTCAAGCTATCTTAAAATTCAAAACAACCAAGAAATTGAAGAGTGGGTTTTGCGCAGGTTCCGCGATGGAAGGTTTTCCACCAGTTGCATGAGCAGTCTGGTGTCAGGGAAAGTCTTGCTTAGATTTCAAGTGGAAAATTTGCAAGAAACGTCGGCAAATCACTGTTCCCAGTCTCTGAGAACATATATCTATGGAATTTTAACCAGTGCCTCATTGACTGGCGGGAAAAGAACGATGGTTCAAGAATGGGACAGAGTGGGTAATCAGGTCGAGTCTACAAGAATCTCACCCACCGATGGTGAAAACGTACCATGTTTGAGTGAGATACCAAGTCTTGGTCCGGATAATAAGTTAGCGATGTTGTTGGACGCGCTTGACTCAAACACAACCAACATCAAGTCATTGCCGGAGTTAAAGTTAGTTGCAGCATCACTTCGTTTTCTGACCAGAAACGCTCACCCAAAATTGGAGCCCAACCATCTTAGCGCTATACTCTGCAGTTGTGTTAAACTAGAGGACGGCTCATGGGAAGAATATTTGGAAAATTGCGATGGCGAAGCCTTTGATGTGCGAGCGGCGCACAGCTTTTGTCAGTGGCAGTGTGTTTTGAGAGATGCCATCCATCTAAACTGTGTTTTGGAGGAGCCCATTGAGACACCTTGCATCCGCAAGATTTTCAATGGACAATTGGTGCATCACCTCAATGGGGAATTGGCGAGAGGTAACACTTTCCAATCAGATAAAGAAGGCCCGAAGGAGTCTTGTTATGTGTTAATGCATGAGGGGGGGGGAGGGGGGGAAAGGGGGGAAAGGGGGTTGTAACATGAAAAAAGTGTGGGTAAAAAGGTTAAGGAGGTTTCGCCCCCGTGACTGCAAGCTCGCACCTTACCAGTTCGCTCGAATTACAACAAGTTTACCCCTGGTCCAACTGATTAAGGTCCAGGCGAACATATTATATTTGATGGCCCCCATGCTCTTGGTCGTTTTTTCGATTACCTGTGATCCCTCTTTAACCCTACTTTTCGCTCTTTATTTCTTTAAATACTTTTTGACTGATGAAGAATTCGAAATGGCCACTGCACCCATACCTTAACACATGGCAACCGTTTCTAGTGTAACGTACACACGTGTCCTCTTCTTCATCACGTTTGTTTTTATTAAAATTTTAAAAGGGTAACAATTATGTACTTACCTTTCCAGATAACTGAAGTGAAACCTGACATCAAGATATTGCATCTTGTTAAGTTTTCGGAGGAAATGCCTGTAATCGCAACCTAGGGATCTCTTTTTATGAACGCTATTATTTGCCAGAGTATTGTATAAAAGCTTTACTCGTGTTATCGGTTCCCTGATGAAATGCGATGGCGTAGAAAACAGGTTGAAACTGATATTTTGGCTCTCTCATCCAGGCTCCAAGCTTGAATCCTTGATTCGAACTCCAAACAGTCTTTCTCGGTATCAGGATCTTTATACAGCGATTACTGCCAACCTGGAGGAAGAAGGTAGAATGAAGAATTTTACTTAAAGTTTAATTTAACCTCTCCTTTTTCCCGCGTGTAAGTTTACATTTTAATGTTTAAAAACACGGTATCAAGAAAAGGTAACAGTATTGTTTTCTTGACCAGTTCTTAGAGTTCTTGCAGAATGATTGCAGCTTACTTCCACAAACTCCATTTCCCAGTCAAAGACAAATCATAAACCGTTTCCTTGCAGAAGAAATTGCTGCCGAAATGCAGAAGTTACAATTACGTGCATCAAGGAACTAAGGGTGTTAGTACCAAAAAGGAGAACGCTGACAGCACCATCAACCTCTCTGAGCTCAAGAACAGCATCTGCGGCTTCTTACAGTTCGACAGGTGCTCAAAGAAAGAGAGAAATAAACTGCCAAACGCCACTGCCTTCCTTCAAATATTCCATAGATGTCAATTTCTGCAGAAGTTCTACCAATAGGCTTCACCCTTCTCTGCCCAACAGTTTCCAGCCTCCCGCTCGGTCGATGGATGAAAAGCAAGAGTCTGTACTTTCAGCCCACGGTGTCTGTCCTCAAAGTGAAAGTAAACCTCGAGCTAACAAGGACGGGACGGGAAGGAGTGAATTGATACAGCGGTACCTAGCTGTCCCGACTTCCGATCAAATTAAAAATTGTCAAGTCAGTGTTAGCTTGCCTCGTTCTGGTTGTAATATTTTAATTCGTAAACTTGCTATAATTTTTTTCAATTAATCGTCTCTAACAAGATAAATTATATCAGAATTATTACAATTATCTCAGACAAAAGTGACTTAACGTTAGATGGGAATATCCTGGAGCCTGTAAAGATGTGCACTAGCATTACAGGATCAAAGACACTGGCAATTTAGAAGGAATATTCCTTTTTTGCCCTGTTAACTCGTACAAATTATATTTTATTGCTTATATACTGCATTAATAGAAGCAACTCGTGTAACAATTGAAGCAGTAGAGAAGTTTCAATCCTACAATAACGGAAATAACATTTTTGTCCGTTTGAAGGTCTGCATTAATGGTTCCTACGCGTCTTTACATTTGACCAACTACAGTCAATCTTGTATCAAATGGCCACCCACGGGGTTCCACAGAATAAGGGCATCATGTAAAAAACAGGCCATTTTATGTCATAATTGACTACTTAATGTACACAAACTCCCTCAAAAACATTACAAAAATTGATTTCGGGAGAGAAATATAGATTCAATTTTACTTAAATAGTAATCTTAGTTTTATTTGAGTACTTCCGCTTTAAGTGACCGTTCAACACAGGTGTAAGACAATAGAAAGAAGCCGTCAGTACTTACTCTAAGGCGAACGCTTAATAGAGGTGAAAATTGATTAAGGGGAAACAAATTCGGGACTTTGACAACCGACCGCTTAGTGTAAAGTGACCGCTTAATACGGTGCCTCTTAACTCAGGCTCGACGATACTTACATTTATACATGTTCCTAAAATAAAACGTAAATTGTACAACTATCAAGTGTCGTTAGTATAGTTTAGTAAGGCCATTGATAGACATTTTGTTGATATGTGTTTACTTGCAATTAACTGTTGAAAACAGCTGTAGTCACATTCAAGCCTGTATGAGCAGTCAACTACGGGGTACGGCGGGGTGACCGCTTAATTCAGGTTTACCGCTTAAGACAAGTTTCACAGAATAGGGGTGAAATAAAAAACGATGAAAAACGCCATGTTACGCTATAATTGATCTTTCAATATAAAAAAAACTCGCTAAAAAATACCACTTACATTGATTTCGGGAGAGAAATGTGGATTACACTTGACTCAAGAGGTTATTCTCAGTTTTATCTGTGTAGTTCCGCTTCAAATGACCGCTAAATATTGGTGAAGGACAATACATCATTCAGAGGTGACCAGTGATTAAGGGGAAGAAAGTTTGACAACCGACCGCTTAATACGGGGTGACCGCTTAATACTATGCCGCTTAATTCAGGTTCGGCTGTATTCCTAGAATTACTTTTTAACCACGGGGCTACAAACTAATATTTTGCCTATAATTAAAATGTCTTCGTTTACCATCTGAATAAATGCCCTACGCTGTCGGAGCGTGTTCCTCGATTCATGAAAAACAAACTCGATAATGGTTTGATCAGTGTAATTTGGCTGTGTCACGCACCATCAATTCGGGATAGCCTTAACATTACGGACCTAAAATTAAATAAATTTGATAATGTTAGCAGTTCAGGTTGACCACTTAAATCTTACTACTAATTGCAAACAAAGACTTACCGGTTCCAAGACTGTATAGTGCGCTGGAAAACCTTGGAAATTTGCCGTCCAACATCATTCAGACTTCCTGGTCGCGGCGACCGCATTAACCTCCAGAGCGGGAAAGCGCACATAACAATAAGCATGTCGTTTATTGATACATAAAATGTCTCACCGATTGACTGTTTTCTCTCCACCCTTGTGCTCGCCCTCTTCCCGCTTGAAATCATCGCAAAAGACACCCGCACTTTACATATATATTTGTTTATTTCACAGATCGAGCTAAAAAAATAACTTTATGCATAGAAGAGTAAAAATTTGACTTTTTTGAAGTCATCTTACAACTTACTGCTTGAATTCGTAGCATGTAAATGGCGTACTGAAATCTAGAAGGGTGCACTTCTTTCAAAATAATTACACCACCTCTGTGTTACCATAGATAACTTCTATCAAAAAAAGACTTATTCGCCTATCGAGCCTCTAAGCACAATAAAAATACTTCCAATTCAAATTTGTTTATATAATATGTACTAAATTGTTGTCTATTTTAATATCCTATCATGAACGACTATCAGAGCTTGTATAAAGTCACAGCCAATGTCAATACTAGCGATAACATAACACATAAAGTCAGTTACAACATGTTTCCTTGGGGTATATTTTTAGCACATTAAGATCCTTTTGATTGAAATTTCGGAAAAAAAAATCATTTCTAAGACCAAAGTCAAAGGCTCCACCCAAAGATTCTTAGGATTCGATTTCAATCAGGGACTAAACGTTGCAGCTCAAAATTTAATAAGATAACATTCCTATAATATAAATACCTCGTTTCAGTTTTGTGGTTCTGATCAATGGCAGCAAGAGAAAATAGCTAATTTGGCATTCCCTTGAAAATTGCTCCAAACATGCTCTGTACTAATAAAACGTGAATTTCAAGATTAATAAACCAAATATTTGGATGATTTTAAAAAAACTGCTAAAGATGGCAATTACAACATGTGGTCCATAAAAATACCTGGAAAAAAACCGATTTTAAATTAAAGACTATCAAAAATAAATATGCACTATCAAGTAGCTGCGGCTCTCAAGAACAGAATTAAATGATATAAAAAATCTATTCTTTGAAATATAGGAAAAATAACAAAACTATCTTTCAGCATAATCAATTTCGCATCGGACAAGCTACCAAAATACCAAAAGTAATGCAATGAGATGAATTGACTTGACACCAGAACACATCAGAAACTTTGTCGTCGTCTTCCTTTGCTTTGATCAGTGTTTTAGTACCATTACATTGTAGTTTCAATTGTGGAACATACTGCCAATCGAAAGCTGTTATCTTCATCACTATCAGATATGTTAAACGGCTTCTCAGTCATTGTATCTAGGAAATCTTAACAATCCTTTTCATCATGTTGTTGATAAAATACAAGTTGATGCTCAATCGAACATGGAATCCAGCTCAGAAGAGAAATCACTCAGCATACTGTTGATGTCCTTCATAAGATCTTCAGCCAATCTGCAGAGAAGAGAGGAGAGAACCTGATAAATTGGACAGCTGTGGAACGCACAACACGCAAATGAACAACAGTCTCGAGGGGACGCGCGAGTCATGGACGGGGAGAGAAACACAGAACCTGATAAATAAGACTGCTATGGAACACAAGAACAAGGCCAAACTGAAAAACTTGCATCGCAAGATCTCTAGTGGGAAACACGCGTGTCGTAGACTCACTGTCCACTCTCGCTGGACTCGTATGAAGCCTTCAACGATTAAAGAAGTACACGGGATAACGAAAAAGTAAAAGACATACTCCTGCTCCTTCGTGTTCGTGTTCGAAGATTCAGTTTTTATGTCAACATGTTGCATAGTTAAAGATGATCCAGATGATTCTGTGATAGGACAAAACAAACGAAAACACATAAATCAATAATCAACGTAAAGAAAACAAAGTTAGAGAGTTTAAAAGAAAAGTGACTATCTTGGATAAAGAGAATGGAATATCTGCATCAGCCTTCTCCTTATTTAAACGAAACTTAATGAAACGATTTTGCAGTCAAGGATACGATTTTTTTTCTAAGTGGTTAAGAGGTCACTAGTTTAGATAAAAGGCGGATGTAACTGATAAAAAAACAAAACCAAAACAAAAACAAAACAAAAAAACAAAAAAAAGAGTTGAAGTGACTAAGATAAGTACCTGAGATTGGTGGTTTTGAGAGATCTTCCCCAGAACGATTTCTTAGGATCTGTTTGATTTGTTCATTAAGGTTACTATCTACTGGAAAAATAATAAACGAAATCAAATGGATGCAAAGATACAAGAAATTCATCACAGCGATTGAGAACTAAGAAACCAATAGTTGCAGATTGTGTGACTGATATGATTTTATGATTAAGCAACACTACTATGCTTGGTCACATTTCACTATTCAGGTTTTATGGTCTATGGAAACGAGACTTACCGTGACAACCGTGACAACTAAATTTACGGAAAAGCTCTCACAAAGTATTAAATTTGTTTGTTCCTTTTACTTGACCGTCTAAAGAAAAAACTATAACGAAGATTTTAACGAACCAAGCATCCCACAAGTCAAGCATCGTACAGTTCTAACTTGGTTTTCGAATAACAAAGTAAAAAAAAAAAAAAAAAAAAGATAACTTTTGTCGGAGGTAAGACAAAAAACTTCATTCTCAGTTGTTCCTAATTGTCAAAGAAGTCCTGGACCTCGATATCAAAGCAATTCTTACTTTCTCTCACAAAGTCTAATTCAAAATTTTGAAAGAAATAGATCATATAGGATAGAAGTATCCTCAAAATGGATGTTCACCAAAGCATATTTCTCAGCTTCTCTCAATTTTCAAGAAAATAAAACATAATTGCAATTTGCAGTAAGGATCAAAGCGTTTGAACAAAAAGCGGAAGGGAAAACAAAAAGGAAGTTGAGAAGAGAAAACATAAACGAAATACAGAAACGTCATTAGTGCATAGAAGACCGAATGAGTTCCTTAGAGTTTTTGAGAACAGAGAGCAAATTATTTATTAGGGTTAATCAGACACGGTTTAGCCGGTGTAGTTTGACAATTGATTAGTTACAACGTTACCAACGGAGTAAAGAACAGCCTTGAAAAGTTATTTAAGAGTTGTCTTATGACCTAAGTCAAGGGCACAAAACATATTTCCTGCATAGCGAAATTGCATTCTATTCTTGATCGCAGATTAGCTGTTAGAAAAAAAATTATTGTGTTGTGTTATTATGAGTGAGGATGAAGTGAAGTGATGTTAAATGTTACATCCAGCCAGTATGGAAGAGAGACACAGGGTTCCCATCTCTTGGGCAGCTGTTGTTTACCTCTCGCTGCATCCGCTTGGCTCTCTCGAGCTCCATCCGTACACTCATGTGATGTGTTCAATCGCTCAGCAGCGCTGATTTTCCTGCCTGGTTTTTCAAAGCCCTTTTTTCTTTCTTCAATCTCTTCGATCAAAGAGTCCACTGAGCTATGGCTGCTGTTGCTTCCATTTCCGCCTCCGGTCTGTCGAGTGCAGGGAGGCGTTGGCCAGTTGTAGGGACTGGAACCAGTGCTGCTGCGTCCTGATTGTAACGTGATTGACAGTAACTATACACGTGACTTGAATGGTCATGTGACAGGATGTGGTAAAACTGGTAACGTGACTTTTCTAAGATGATTTTGGCGTCAGTTTCTAGGTGTTACCGTACTTTACAACAAATTAATTTAATTCTTGAACTTAGTAGTTGTCTTACACTTTTTTTCCTGTTTTCCTTTTGCGTCAAAAGAATTCGAGCTTACAGAATACCACAAACTGTGTGAAGTACCTTTATTTTGAAATCCTTCAAAGCAGAGCTCTGCTCGAAGTTTGGACATGAAAATTGACATTCTTCAAATTATAAAGACAATATATTCAAAGTTCTTGAGCTCACATATTCAACATTCAAATACTTTTATTCAAAACTATTTATGATAACAAGACGGGACTTCAGGTCCTTCAAAAATTGATAGAAGTATTACTGATTCTATTACAAAAATTCAATAAATTAATTTAATTGACATCAATTGCATCACCAGCGCACGAGAATTTTTTCACTGGAGCCATTCGCAATTCAATAAAAATTTCATTTTCAACTCTGCTTCAAAAACTTGTATCATTTTTGCCATTGCAAATAGCACGAAGAGAAACTTCGTTTGTTCTTTTGTTATTCTAATCGATTGTTATTTCTTAGTTTCTTTATATAATTTTTTTAACAAAATTTTTTAGGTTTTAAAAAGTTTATCACTGAAAACATGTAGAGAAACATGGTTAGGTAATTCATGGTCAAAAAAGGCAAAATACAAGAATTCCACGGATAAGAGACGAGGTATTATCTATGCATGGACAAAAAGATAATATCGCAGAATTACTGATGTTCAAAGTGGTCGACCATTGATTGACCTCATATAAGGAGAATCAAACCTCAGAGTTGACCTTTTATGACGTGGGGTCGCAGAGGATTAGCATGCTTAAAGTGAAAATCAAACCGATTTCATCGAAGGCAAAATAAACCGATGCTGCTCAGGACTCCCTGATCTTGTGAAAATCAAATTAATGGCACACTGATTGGATTTCTTTTCTGTTTGCGGTTGCGACTTTACTATTCAGGTCATAAAAGATCTTAAGCCCTGGATTCATGGGCAGAATCAGTAAAAAGAAAATTGAAAAGTGAGAGTTTTCCAACTCCTATTTGGTCGGCCATACTACTTCCCTTAGGCTACAAGTTTTTATTTTAACTTAGATGTTAACGTTCTTGTGACCCTTAGTAAGACTCTGTCGCTAGTAAGAAAACAGTCATTAAGACCGAAATAAGTGTCAGCTAATCTGGAATAGGGCCTTTCGCTGAGATTAAGTCCTGTGTCCATAAAAGCGAGGCTGTTGTCCAAGCGTATGATGAATTACTTGAATTCAGCCACTTCTGACGAGAAAACAGAAGTAGTCGGCAAAATGAAATCTGGATAAAGCGAGATGTGATGTAACGAAACGGATACAAAGAACGAATGTGGTTGAACGAAACATTTCTTGAAATCGAGAGAATCTACAGAAACGGAATGTTTATGGTTTACCGAGAAGCAATGGCCGGAAATCGACAATAGCACATAAGAACTTAACATGCACGTTTACAGTACTTATTTACTGTTAAGTCAACTTGGTTGACGACTTGCAGTTTGTTAAAACAGTTTGCTCACTTCAAATGTTAGCTAGAAAAAGAGAGGTATTTAAGAAACTACTACATTGCATTTTACTGCCTTTAAATGTTTCACACACTTGTAAAGGCGTTTTTTGTTCACACGGTTACAGATTACGTCATCAAAAAAACAAAGAAATGACACCAAATTATTATAAAATTAGCAAATAAAAACAGGAGCACACAATCACCAAAAGACACGACCCGTACGGGAAGGGTAGGCTGCATAGAACAAAGAACTTGTCACACAATAAAAGTTGCATTAACCCTTTAACTCCCAAGATCTGATTGTTAATTGTCCCCTCTAGCTGTTAGAGAATTCAGTGTTTGATCAAGATAAAACCTCTTCCTTATAAGTTTGAGTATTCTCATTAACTCTTTACTGAATAACGCATGGGTATAGGGAGAAGTTAAATGTTTATCACTTCTGGGAATTAAATGATTAACACAAGGTACTTACGGGGCTCAGGTGATGTGGGTTTTGTTGGTGATCTGTCTCCCATGCTTTCCTCGCCCGAGCTCTTGTCCCCATATCCTGCCGTGAAGGATGCAGCCTTTCGAGGTTTGGGTAGCACTTTCGGAGGCGGCGGCTTCTTCGCAATTTTAGGTTTGACAGGAGGTGGCGCAGGTTTCTTGGGTCTCTGGAAAATGGGGTCTAACGGAAAGGAACGTGCTCTACTATTCCCTTTAGACACCAAGTCTTTAACGGACCTACTAGGGCCATTTAATTCAAATTCATGTTGATTCAGATCAGCGGTAGGTAGACACAAGTCAATGTCCTCCATTGGAGGGGGAGGACGGGGAGGTGGCTCGTCATCGTCACTGTCAGGAAATGAAATTACATTTTGTACATGTAAACTCAATGAGTCCACTTCGTTTTCCACGCTGTCCTTTCCTTTCAATTGTGACAAATCGGCATTAGAACAAGGTTCGTCCGGAACAGGAGTTCTTTGTTGATCTCGTTCTGCATCAACAATTTCTTTTTCCTCCTTTACCACAGGCTGTACTGCTGATATTGCAGGAATTTCAGACTCTGCTGACAAAGAATCCTTCACAAACGGTTCCTCGATAGTATTTTCTCTAGTTGCAAGAGAAGAAGGAGAAGAATTCCCTGGGTTTTCCTCTGTACTCATTTCAGACGCCTCCACGTCATCTGTTGACACGCCCGAGTCCTCTCCATCTAAACAGGTCTCTAAATAACCTTTTCTATCCTGCGGTCTTAATTCCTCTTCTACGCTTTCCAGCATGTTTTCATTTTCATCTCCATGTTTCAGAGCGTTAACAGCCATCCAAATCTTCCTCTGATGGCCTGGTCTCTTGACTCCGATGGCCACAAGGTCCTCTACCGTCATGTCCTGAAGAAAATCCATGTCGTCGAAACCGCCGTCCATGAACTCAGGTATGTACTGCTCTAAACCAATCAGACGTAGCCACGTCATAATATCCTCCTATGTAAGAAGTAACGCATACAGTCGCTCGTGTTTTTATATAGGAATGCACAATGGCTCTAGGCTCTCCAATCATCCTCACCATCTGTCTCACAGTTTGTTATGTCTTCAAGATGGCGTGAGATAATAATAGCTTGAAATTATGACAGAGAAACTTCAAACCTCAAATTGTCTCGTTGATTGAGTTGAAATTATCAGTAATCTTCTCAGAACGAAAGATACTCACCGGTTTTTCCTTCGGGAACACCGTTGTCTCCTCTAGTTTTGCGGACTCCGACATAATTCTTTTCCTGTGCCCAGTTTTATTCACATTTATGGCCGTCAAATCCTGGACAAATAAAGAGGAAAAGAAAATGTGTGAAAAAGAAACCTAAAAAAGCACCGAGGGTACACTAAGACACGAACAACCAACCCGTTGGTTCCTGAACCCTTCAGCCCTAAGAGTGGCTAGCTAGTAATAAACAAATTCTCCCTGTCAATACCATAAGAAATGTACGGCGAGCAGTATGGAGAATATACACACTGATGTTACGGTGTACAGTGTTAAAAAGAAAAAAAAACCTCTCTCAGTTTCAAAGGCTTGATTTGTGACACGTTTCGAAAAAAAAAAAGCTCAAATTATCAAAACGTGCAGAAAAGCATAGGGTAAGATATGGACTGGATTATTATTTGGACCTTTTTTTGGATAATTTTTTTTGCACCATTTTAAAGGGGGGGAAAGCACATCGTTACTACTGAGGGAGGGGTGGGATAAAATCTATCAGTATTGAGCGAGGGGTGGGAGGCAGAGTGTTATTACTCGGGGATGGGTGAGAGACGGACTATTACTACGCAGGGAGGGGTGAGAGGTGGTTGTAATAGTAAACACTACTGGTTAATGGAGCTTTTACTCGATCGTACAAATTTCTGATTCGCTTTCGCACGACAAAAAAATGAAGAAAAGCCGCGCCTCAGCGCTAAAATTTTGACATACAAAAAGTCAGTCGAAAAACTGATTAACATAATTTGTACGATAATTTGTTTGTCGTGACGACATAAAATAGTCCAAGAAATAGTCCAAAAAATAGTCCAGTCAATATTTTACCTTATGCCTAGCAGAAAGATCATCTTAGCGATAAACGTAACAAAAATTACATTGCGTGACGACACTTTATCAGGTGATAAATAAATGACTTCTCTTTTTTCATAACAATTGAATGAGTAATGATGACTCCGCAGGAACGATAAGCTCTCAAGTTTCTTACCTCCGCTGTGATTCCATGAACACTTGTCATATCGAATCCACCTTTTACAAAATTATCGATGTAGATCGTTAATTTAAACTTCTCTAGCCAGTCAAATAACGCGTTATAGTCTCGCATCTGGGAAGAAAAAAAAATTGTCCTGAGCAAAAGTTATGCTATCCGACAGATCATCAAGAAATTCCTCCCGTACATAGAGTAAAACATGAACAAATGATTTGAACTTTGCACGAGCCCTCTCAATCAAATCACAGTAAATAATATCGTGTTAGGAAGATAGATGAACGAAGGTCACAACTAAAAGCAAAAATAGGCAAAGTGCGTTATCCGAAGGGTAAAAAAGATATTTAGATGACTACTCAAAAATAATACACACGGTAAGTATTAGATAAAAATCATTTCTAAGAAATTGGGTAAAAAAGACTTCAGCTTAGCTTTGTTGAGTAGAGACACGGCAATTGAGAGACAGAAAGGTAATTCTCCAGAAGTCTTACCTGAGGTCCCACACTAAGCAATGAGGTGGACACTAACGGTATCGAAGGATGCAGTGAGGATTTACCCAAATAACGTGTCAAGTCAATTTGTTTGTAAATTCACCGAGACATTTCTATATAACCGCAAACGGCAGGCGCTCAAAGGGAGAAATTCCACAGTTTCCGAGCTCTCAAATGGCCTTTTCACGCCTGATACTACTAAATAAGGTTACAGTCAGAATCTAAAATTCTATTTAAAGTTCGTTGACTAATCTCTTTCCTTCCTATATTTCCTGTGTGCCCACATTTCCTAAACTCAACGGCAGGGAAGACACCCACGCAGAAGGAGAGCATTTGCTCCAAAAAATCGCGCTGTTTACCCCCAAAATACATGCATGAGACAAAGGGTACAGTTTTTGTCATAAAAATACCCGAGTGAATTTAACACTGTGATCGTGTTAGAATGGGAAGAACAAGCCATTTCAACACTGAAATCAATGATTTTGTTACTGCTTCAAACAAGCTTGACCTATATATTTCCGGTATGACTCAGTACATCTGTCATTCGATTAATATAATTCTCATTTACAGAGTTTACACCCAACTCCAGCAGAGATACAGGTTTTTGTCATTTTCAACCCACCCACTATCATGCTCCTTTTTATCACGTGGACCATATGAGCTAAGGCCCGCCCAGTTTGCGGAGTTAGAAAAAAGAACATCACTATATTGCTAAAATTGTAATCCAAGTTAATCTTCTACATTCAAGACCACCCTCCTTCCCTCTTAGTCTCACACTGCCTCTTTAGTTCTTTTTTATGTTAGGAAACTATCATTCTAAACTTTTCATCAATTTTGGGTAATATTCAAATCATTCAAATCAATTAAAAAAAAAAATATATATATATATTGCTACACAGCTCAAAGAAGACCGTTCGCTTTTCCGACTGTTTCCTCGGAGAGTCACAGACACGAAATTGTAGGGCGGATCACGGTTTGTTCATCCTGAAGAATTTTTCCGGAAGTTTACAAGTTCGTCAGTCGTAATCCGTTTTAATCTACTCCATCTTAATTAACACCTTTCCCTTTTGGTTTTATCCTTTCCGTGTCTTTTTTTTTCCCAGCCAAATTAATCCGAGGTGTCGAGTTGAGAATTAATTTACACGTCGAATAAAAAAACCCATTTAATCCTCATATTCAGTAGCCTTGGTAGCTCAGTGTGCAGTCCCTGCATTCTCTTACGGCTTATGCGCCTGTCGGCCATATTGCCATCGGCCGAATTAATAATACCGCAAGGTTGCGCTGGGTGAAACTTGGTAACCTCACCTTGAGTTGGAGATGACCCGTAGCTTCCGCGGGACTGCCTACGTCTCCTGAAGAAAACAGGCAATTAATAATCAATAAACGGAAAGGCCAGAAAGGAGTACAGTAACGAACTAAATATGGCATTGACACGTGGAACTCTGTCACCCTTTGTATGCCCTGACGGAAAACTTAGGCTGAAATTTTCATTTTCACCCGTTGTAATTTCTCTCGAAGTTCTCCATAATTCGCTATCCTTGATCCCTCTTAGTTTCAAATGAACCATGTTGATTTTTTTTTTCAATTTCAACGAACTTACAGTAGCTTAACACAGCACAAAGAATGACTCAAAGTATCATGACATAGCTTCTTTCACCCTTTACGACTTTAACTCTTCACAAAGGTGACCAGTCTTTAGCATCAGTGTTTAACTTTTCGGTACACAGGTAATGATCGATCTTGATGGTGTTATGATAATAAAATCCCCATTTCTCGTCAGTAATTCACAAAGAAATGTGTAACAGCGAGAAGGGAGATTTATAAATCTGATCTTGGTCATAGGAGGATTCACTGAGCCTCGTCGAATACAAAGTCGGGGAATGGATCGCACCATAATTCAGTGACTCGAAACAGATCTGGACTGACAAATTTGGAGGAGACGGTGTGCAGGGAGCTTAAAAATGAATGGATATCCAATCGTTAAATCGTTTGCAAGGGATACCTAATTTTAATGTACATACCCTGTCGGTCGATATTAACGTACTGATGGTTCACTGGAACAGGGCGGCTGTTCATCAGCTCATAATCCATTCCATCTTTACCCTCGTCTACAGAGAGATGTCACCAAAAAGGTTACGATTCACATGCCTATTTCTTAGTAAGAACACACTTCAAGACACACACAAAAAGATGGCTAGTATAGGCTTAGATTCCTGCTTAAATCCCTGGTTGTTTTTACTTGGTTTGGTAGGTGATAAAATATTTCCGGTTTATATTTTTAACACCATTGAAAAAGTAATACTCGGTTTTTTCTCTATTTTTCTCTTGTGCGTCCCTTTGAGCATACACTGGAAACAAAACGCAGGTAAGGCGCGACAAACTCCATCTCGTCCCAATCTTCTCTCCCCTAAAGCCAAGGTAGCTAGCGCCAGCTCGCGAGGAGAAAAATTACAGAGAGCTTATAATAACCTAAAATAAAAACTAGAAACGGTACCAAGAGCGGGGAAATGCGAAGGATCAAGTTGCGATTGGTTTTACTTCTGCATCTGATTGGAAGGAAGCGAAGCGCGTGTTTTTACACAATCACAAAGCGGAATAAACTAACATCAAAGTAAACCCGAATAGGATCAACTTCTCTGAGAATGTTATCTTTACCATTGTCTGAGTCTTCATTGTCGTCATCTGGAGCCTGTTTACTTGTTCTGGTTGATGTCGAGTCAGCAGACATACCGCCCGTCATAGCCAGGTAAGCTACTTTATTCGAAATGTTCGCGTACTCGGGTCCAACTGGTTTGGGCGCATTTGACGCAACATTTTCGTAGCCTTTGGAATTTGTTGTTTGCGAAGAAGGTCCATTAACAACTACATAACCGTCCGCCCCCACACCTACTCCCACTGGTTGGTCGACATCACAGATCAACATGCTTTGCATATCACAAGGCGGCTTCGCTCTGTGCGTCAGTTGCACGTTCTCGTAAGCAAGCCCTTGCTTTGGAGGATGTTCTCTTATATCATGGGGTTGAAGTTTCCATATGTCTTCACTAGGTGGTGTCGCTCGACCCCCAGACGCTAGAGTTAAACTCATGTCCTCGTATCCTTTCCGCGACAATTCGGGAGTTGCGACCCGCCGCGCAGGCTGACCAGTATCAAGACCCGTACCGCTCGCATGATGCGGACCCTCTGCACGTGATTGTCCCGCGGGAAGTGGCAGAGACGCAGGAGGCCTTCCTGATTTAGCACCTGGCTCGATCGAATCACGTGCAGCAATAGGAGCTGCGCCTTTTGCAAGTTCCCTTATTTTAGGTGGCAAAGAAGGCGGGGGAGTAGACGTGTTTCGAACCCAGATATCTTCCATCTCGTTTGCGGTAATTGCTGTTTTATTTTCTTTATCTGGTAGCTGTGGCGCCTCATCGCTTTCATTGACTTCTTCCACTAATCCATTTGATGATGGTAAACGAACCTCAGCGTAATTCGTTTTGTTGTTCAATTTGTTACCCGCTATAAAGGCCTGAGGAGGAGACGAGGGAGGTTTGTCAACCGCAACCTCCACATACTGCAGGCCTGGATCAGCTGCCATTTTAACTGATCCTTTTTGAGCTTTGACTCCTTTGACAGATAAAACTGGTTCCACCAGCACCTTGTCAGGTTCCACGTCTTGATCACCTCGAGAGCGGTGATCTTTTTTACCAAAACTTTTTAGTCGAGGAGAGTTTCTCTGAAAACCAGGAGAGGGTGGAACTGGAAAGAAAAGTAAAACTACAATTGACTCGAAACTCCAATGATCGATTATCTCTGCTGCCTGCCCGTCATACTTTGTGACGTAAGATGAGGAAAACTAACCTAAAATTACGGCTGTACCTAGCTCATCAAGATATATCGGCTAGCTGATTATTGACATAGTTCTCTTAAATTGTTTGCTTTTTTATAAAATGTGCGGCTGTTACTGGAAGAATCTATAGGCTCATTAATGAACCCATTGCTGGCATAAAAAAGATCGGGGTTGATCAGGCTAAAAATAGCGTGTGTTGAACTTCTGCAAGTACAGCTACGACAAAAATGAGAACGAATGCAGGACAAGCGTGTGGTGGGGTGGGAAGGGGGCAGGGTTGGTTGGAGCGAGTAGCCAGTGGGCAAAAAGAAGGAGGATAACTAGAGTTTATATAATCAGACATGTCTTTCTCTATTTAACCTCAATCCTTAGAGCCACTGTTTAATAAATACCTGATGGTAGTGCGATCATGTCGTAAGATCCCGTCGGTACTACACCAGCTTCTTTACGATTCGGTGACTTCTTGGCTGAAAGTAAGAAAACAAATAGACGAAAACGTCACTTGAAATCAATTTTGAGCGGAACTGAATTCTTGGGAAAAGTCAAATCAGTTAAGACGAACGTAATTGATTCAAACGTCGATCTTTCAATTTAATGAATCAGGTTAACTTTATTTGATTACATGAGAAGTTTGGATTTTAGGTATACGAGAGAAAATCAGGCATGATGTATCTACAGGCCCACGTGCTTTTTGTATATAGAATTACTTTACTGTACTAACCATTGGAGCCTCTTCTTAGGGCAGTAATCCTCACAAAGTTAGCAGGGAAGTATCCAATATTTTCCCTCTGAAATTTCAAATGGAAATTATGTAAACTAACTATATTTCAATTACTTTGTCGCTAACAATGTTGACCTTTTCCAAACGATCCTGAGAGCATCCACGACAAATACTTGTACAAGTACGTTTAACATTTATACGTAATATACGCACATGAGATTAATGCTGGAATAAAACGCCACAATAAGAGCCCCGTAATCAAGTAAAAAGTAACTTCACTGAACGTCATAAAACTGAAAAAACCTTACATCTCCACTCTTTATTTTCCCTTTCCATCGGTCATTCTGGTTTTGTTCAAGCACCTAAAATAAACATTCAACAGACTAAAAACACACAGATACGCAGCAAGTTATCCACATCCTTCTAAATATAACAACTTTTCATTCATATGAAGATAAAATATAATTTCCACGATCAACACTAACAAGAAAGATCAGATCAACATTCTGATATAATAACCTCGGACTGAACTTGAGTTCTTAGCGCAGTATTACAGCACGTACACTGCAAACGCGCTGATAAGCCCAAGTACCCACCCCCACCCTCAAGCAAGGCTTATCCATTCCCAAGGTTTCCATACGTGGAGATTTCTTTAAGAGGAGGGGGGAGATTTCTTTAAGAGGAGGAGGGGGGGGGAGGGTTAAAGAACTCGATGTAGAAGGAGGGAGAGGTTACACGCTCAAGCCGGTCATTGAATTTCATTATTGATGAAACTACATATTATCGCCGTCGCACTTGGCTAACTCATTTTTCCTGCTTAAAATATCGCACAATAGCACTTAGTGATCTAAAACATTTTTCATGAACTCGGCTCGTCATGGTTCCACTCCTTTTCTGACGAGAAGGTGGGTGTATGACTTATTAGACTAGAATACAAAACATTCTAACACTGAAAGACCCAAGTGGACTGTGCAAAAGAAAAAGAGAGAACGCAAATGAAAAGTGCTCTATTTCAGTGCCTTACGATGATTGTTTCTCCAGTCTTGAACGGAAGAGCTGTAGAATCCATCACGTTGAAATGATCCCTGACGGCTTTGGCATACACAGTGCTATCTGCAGAAGCTGCGTCTAAAACAGGTAAACAGACGATAATTGTTTTGAATAGAACTGCCGAATATTTTGTCCGAACGGGTTATCATCCAAAGAACGTCATATCACAGTTAAGTAAATGTTGAAACCTTATAAAGGACAATGCTCCCGTCCGTCCCGATGTCCTCTATAAATTTTTTCTAAAAATCCCTGGTCATTAAAAGAGAGAGTAGTTGTTCCAAAACTCCTCTAACTTTTAGATCTTTTCAAAACGCTGAATAAATCAAACCCTATAGTTTTGGAGAAATTGGAATCTTTGCTTGCAAACCACGCCTTAAGTGTTGGTGAAACAAGTTACCTTTTAACAGTTTTTTAATTGCTGTTGATGCTTTTGAACTCGTGAAAAGATTAACCATATCAAGTGCCGTGTGTCCTTCATCATTTCGTATATCTGCATTGATACCCCACTAAAACGGAATGACACAAAACAAATAATACGTTTAACATGTATTGCATGTCACTGAATTGTGTTCCAGGGTAATGGATTTACATGTATCAGGGTATCATTTACGATATTTATTCCACAACTTCTTTTCACAACTTTTTGATTTACTAACAGTAAGATGGGTGGGGCAAAACGAATCTCTTCTTTACCAATAAGAAACTTCTCAAACTCTTAAGCAGCTGATCTAAATAATGTTGATGAACACTCTACCAAACTCTATCATTTTCTGCTTAAAACCTGGTTAAGCCCAAACAGATTACAGCTACTTCCATATGGTTTGTGACAGCTTTATTCTCTCCCTCTGTGGCCAGGAAACATGTTTAAACAAATTGCAATGACTGATTTACTTACATCAAGGAGCATGTTGACCACATCTGTTTTACCATAGAGAGCTGCTTCATGTAAGCATGAACCATTACTGGTAACTTGATTGATATCTGCATCAGCTTCTAATAACATTCTGTGAAGAGGATTATGAAAAAATCTTATAGATGACTAGTACTGTTTGAAAGGAGCACCCAAAAACCAGGAACTTCTATCATCTCTTGATGGCCAGAGTGGAATTTTTAAAAAAAGAAGCTGAACTTTTTCATAATCAACTGGTGTTAAAAACACTAACAATAATAGAAATAATAATAACAGTGATAATAATTGAATGTAGCCATGGCAAAAACCCTAAGACATCATGAAAAAGTTTACAAAACTTACAACAGCTTCCTGAAATCTTACCTGACTATTTCTACGTGACCTGTCTTTGAAGCTGCATGCAATGGTGGATCAGTTTTACGCACTGCACCAGTGGCCAATGCACTCCTCACCTCTTTGGTGTTAAGCAACAGTTCAACAACCTAGGTGCAACCATACCAAAGAACACTTTATCACAAAGAGAGCCTGTCTACAAGAACTGCATAACTATCAAGGTGAGAAACTCTTTTAAATTTGTTTCTCCTCAGAATTCCCTTCCCTCTGCATTATGAAGCCCTCATGATGAAAAGATCAAAATAGTTCCATATGCCTTAAGAACTGACTTAAATTAATTTAACTTGATTAACAATTTACAAATGTCTCATCCCCCTTGTTTTGTTTGCTTGTTTGTTTTTGTTTGTTTTTTTTAATGCAGTCAGATAGTGATGAAGAGTTAGCATCCTGCATTGACTTTCTCCATTTTTTTTATAATTTTTGCTAATTCTCTTTACTTAAACAACATTACTGTAACAAGGTTACATGTATACCAAGTACACCACCCTCTCACTAATACATAGATCCAATTTGCTAGAAAATGTACTGGTTTTACAAGGAGAAGGGAGAATGTGTTTCCATTGCTCCTGGAATTTTGAGGTGAAGACAAAAACAGGTTAGAAATGTGGTACCCACATGAACATGTCCAAATCTGCAGGCAAGGTCCAAAGCTGCCTCTCCATTGTTATTAACTGTCATTGTACTACAGTTCCTGTCTAAAAGCACATCAGCCTACAAAAGGAATTCATTACAAAGATTGTTTGGGTCTAGGGAGCTCAGATGCTACAGAAGCAGAAAATGTATGCAAGACATTAACATTACTGAGACTGGCTCCTCAAAAAAAATATGCAAAGTTATACAGTCACATTTTCTATGCAACTACAGAAAACAAATATTATAATTTCTACAGTGCATAAGAGGACTGCCCAAAACTAGTCGAGCTAAGGCTCTCACTGGAATATATTAAAGATTACAAAAGAAAGATTAATTTTGGTTAAAACATAATTTCTGGTTGATTGACATAAATTGTTTCTACAGTGCATAAGTTGACTTCCAAGAGCCAACTGAGCAAAGGTTTCGTTGGAATAATACATGTACATGTATTGATGATCAAACATCTCAATGTTTCAGTGAGATATTACAGAAATTTTTCCAGATCAAATTGGTTTTTCAATTTATAGCTGCAGCCACTTGTGAAAGCAAAATATTTAAAATAGAATTTTCTAGATCATTCTAGGTTTTGCAAAACCTTGCTATGAACAGTCTTCTTGGACCACTTTTGATTAGTCTTTCAAGCTGTACATTACTTCTCCTCCAAGCTACAGAAAGATAAATCTGTGCACTTACCACATCAGAGTTTCCATGCTGACAGGCTAAAATAAGAGGTGTGTCTCCATTTTGTGAACAACTGTTGACTTCTGCTCCAGCCTCTAACAACAACCTTGCTACTTCCACTTTTCCTGACCAGGCAGCTAAATGCAAGGGAGTCATTCCTACAAAACGAGAAAGACAAAAAATAACAGTTCAATAGAGGAAAAAAATAAGTAACTATTTCCAATTGCCTTTAAACTATAGAATATTATAATTGTAGGACAGAGTTAAAAAGGAACAAAGGGGAGACTTCATGTACAAAAAGAGATCAATGGTGCTACTCTTTTGGTTAATTAGGCAGTATACCCTCCTTTATCAACCCCTTGCACCCTAACATCAGTATGCATATTCTCCACACTGTTCTTGTTACATTTCCTAAGGTGCTGATAAGGAGAATTTGTTTAACAATCAAAAGCTTCTTTAGTTGGTAATCATTTCCTTTATTCTTGTGGCTTAAATGTATGATTTAGGGGTGATAACATAGGATAAATTAGATGCTAGTCATTCATAGAGGTCAAATGGTCAACCTAGAGTTTATAACATATCAATTGTTTCATCTACCAGCCAAAGCAGCGCAGCAGTTTCTTTAGAAACTAACAACCTTGTTTACATTCATAATATTTTGCTAAAACATCAGTATTTTAATATAATTGTTACCTTTCTTATCTTTGGCATTGACATCACATTCCAACTCAATGAGTGCTATGACAATTTCACTGCTGCCTATAAGACATGCGTGGTGAGTGGGTGTGAATCTGGTAAAAGAAAATGAAACACAACTTACAGTACCCCTCATGTATAAGTTGATTGTGCAGGCACATCTCATATGCTCAGACGCAGGGAAGTACAAGATGCATATACAATTTTTATACATGTAATGATGAAAAAAAAGGAGACTTCAATGCCTAAATTTGTAATTCAGTGACAAAGAACTTTTGGGTTTGAAAAAGTGACAAGTCAACAGCTCAGGTAATATTGCATAGAGCCGCTATATAAAAACAATTAACGACACAAGTAATTTGACAGACATATTAACCACTTCTAACAACTTAAAGGACAAAGAAGCTTTGAAAACTGAGAAGCTTGCTGTAATCAAAGTGGTTCAGCATATACTTCAACTAGAATTAGAAGTATTATTAGAATTTAAGACCACATAAAACTGTATTTTTCAAATTATAAAACAAAAGTATTTACCCTTCTTCATCTTGAATATTTACACTGTATTTCTTGCCACCTTTTTCTGAAGAAAAACATATGTTCGTGGTAATTTAAATAGTAATATTTCATTAACAATGATAGCACTTTTTATTCACAAACCACAGATATACTGTAGAGCCATAAACTTCAGGACAAAACCATGTAATGTCACCAACATCGGAATCTCTCCCTTGTTATAAATCTAATACACCATATGTGCGTGTTTTTTTTTAAATGCACTTCTTGCGTGAATTTAGGGCCAAGTACCTCTGAGCTATACTATAACACAACCTCACTGAAGTTTCTGACAACCTCATGGTGTTTCTACTCATGCACTAATTAAAATATCAATAGCTGGATCATTTCTACAGTGCACTGTAAATGAAAATCACATTCTTATACTTTTGAAGAAATCTTTCCATTGGTATAATATGATACATGAATTTGTAAGTAAATGTAAATGCGCAGTTGTTATATATCCTTAAACCCATCTTAGAAAGTCCAACAGGAGAGAAGATTAAATTTGCTCAATATTTTCATCCAAGAGATGTGGGAACTGCTTCATACCTTACTTTTTTTTCATCACAGTTTTTTTTTCATATTTGAATAAGAATATTTATAAAAAAAAAATTATGTCTGTACCAGCTTAAATGACCTCACTGAATTTAATTTACCACATTAGAACATAATTTTTCTAAAAGGGCAGCAAGGTGTCACAAATGAAGATAATCACTAATATCAATTTTGCCTTAATACACATCTACCAGATTTCTTTTAAAAAGGAATAAGTTTATCATTAAATATTTTAAAGAATCATTCTTTTGTCGAATAGGATTTTCTCAATTAGGTTATAGACTATCCTGTTAATTAAGTTGTTATACATAGCACTGTGTTTATTAATTTATAAATACAATATCTATATCTGTTTTTGGGTCTGAGCATGTGAGTCTCCCATACAAGCAAAGTAAAAAACAGGCAACATGTTAAAAATCTGTGCTATATTGTCTAGATTTACTGCTACGAGGACAAACAAAACAGTTGGAAATGTCTGGAAAGGAATAATCCCAATACAAAGCAAAGTATTTCACTGATAATTTGCAAACCATTAAATAAACAAATGGGCAAATTTGTAGACAAACATTATTCGAAGATGCATTCAGATGACTGGAAAACAAATTGGATCACTTAAAAACCTACATAAAATTTTTTTTGTCATTAGGTGAATATCGAATCATGTGAATTCAAGATACAAGTATCTCTTTGGTCACTTAGGCTTGCATTCAGCGAGATAAGAAGTAGATACATTTATAATCAACCACCTGACAAGGTTCTGAACAAGTCCTTTGTAATGTTATCAAAATGAAAGAGGAAATTCGTGCTAAATATGTGATTGTTTCGCTTTTTGGCGTGCATTTGACATCCGGCCTCAATATCCTTCCCAAATTCTCTACGACAATAAACAAGAGTTGAATCACTAATAAAATTTCCGATCGGCCAAAATTTGTAGTCATGATAGTAAGATTGTCTAATGGAGGGTTCGTAGTTTCACAAAAAGGCTAAATTACTGTTTCTAAAAGCATGACTAATGTACAAATGGTTACTCAAAATAAACAGCTCGAGTTGTTGAAGGCGACTAAGAATCCGTCATCACCTTTCAGACACACGAACGTGAGCGAGAAATGTTGCGAAACAAACCAGATTTAACGTGAAAAGACAACGATACTTAAGAGCACGAAGGCTGTAATGACGTTTAGTCACCACCAGCAAACTTCTGCAATGACCCTCGTTAAATATAAATGAATGGGGTTATTATGCCGAACATTTTGAATTCGTTATCAAAAGGGAAACACCGGAATTAAACTTCTTTGATATATTTGCGTTAAGAAAAGCACTTACTTGATTTGGCCGCTTTTATTTTCGCTGCTATCTTCCTGAATGCGTTAAGATCGTTTGCTTTTACCGCCTGAAGTAATTCCTGATCTTTTGCCATGGTTAAACTTCGATGTTAATCTTTCCAGAGACAACTTGGCTTCGAGCACCTTAATGAGCAGCTGTATCACGGTCTTGATCAAATCATTCCATTATTTTCCACAAAAGGGTTCCACATTTCGTCACATTTCCCCAACAAAGCGGGACCAAACCTTCTTTTTCAGCACATGTTTCAAAAAGTTGTCATCTCAACACAGTGTTGGAATTTAAATCCACCGAATTACATCTAGTTCGCTGATTATTTCGCGGTCCACGCTAAACAAATAGTTATTCGAGAACGAAACAGATCTCACGACGCGACATCGAGATTGTCTCGGATATACGAAAATGACGTCACGATGTGACGCGAAGGCGGGAATTAGACCTTTGCCCTTCTGTGTGGGTACAATGGAAGGCGGATTTCGCGTGGCTCGAGATGGAGATCAAAATCACGATAACTGAATATGAAAAAATCTACATGACCTCATGCACGCCGAGGTAATGTGTAGATATTCGCTTTAACAATGCAGGAGACGACGATGTAGAATCATGCAGCCTTCTTTAACAGGAGAAGAAAATGACTATGAATAATACACCTAAATTAATTATCGACTTGACGCGTTGACTAAGTCAACTTCCCTCCCATGCTTAACCTTTTTGTCTGGCCTCACTTTTAAAGGCGAAATTTGTCCTTTCTTGTTCAGTTGAACATTGCGTTCGTCCAGCATGTACTTAATGTTCTTTAATAGGACATTAATTCATAATAATATTTCCATACCGATCAGCCTGTGTGTTGTTGTCTCGTCAGCTATGAGATAACGATATTATGCCATAGAACTCTAAATATGGGAATGTAAGTTGCGTCATGCTTCAGTCGTGTTCAGTGTGTTTACAAGTATCATTTGAACCACACGATAAAACCACAGGCTAAGTTTGCGCGATTTTGGGCTACTTCTATTTTACATATTTGTCTTCTACTTTGTCTGTTGCACCAGACGAGGAGTTAGAAGACTTAGGAAATGTACCTGTCCGACTCTGGATTACTTCTATTTCATTCTTTTGAGCAGGCGAGGCCGTTAGGAAATCTTGCTATTTTTCTACAACTTTGCCCTTTGAACCCAATTTTTCGGGTTTTTTTTTTTACCTGCTAAGAGCTTAGAAGTCAGCTTACTTAGAGTTCGTGGTTCGAAATATCGTGATGGAGATATTGTATGTTGGGGGTCATTAATTTAACGCCAGTCAACCGAATTGATCTGGTTATAGAAATTCGGTACTTTCACTCCTTCTTTTGCCTGAAAGATTTTGATATATTCATATATAAGGAAGTGAGTCGGTCTGTCATATGATTTTTCCAGCACGGTCATGGGAATAAAGTCATGATATGTCGCGCCTTGTTTATTTCAGTGAGCGAGCTGAAGTTTTTCAATATGAACAGTAGCCGGACTGAAATTTACTTTGTGAAAAATGGGCATAAGTTTTATGAAGCCACATAGGTTTCTGCTGAAGCTGAGGTAAGGTAAAGAGACAGGCGACACAGGCCTTGGCATCTTACAAGATGTGTTGTAAAGGATCGCACTATTAAGCCTATCAGAGGCCACAACGTCTGATTGAAAGCGAGTCACGTGGTGAGAAATAGCTGTCATCACCAGGTCCCTGAATAGAATGGAAGCAGCTGAACTCCTTTACCACCATGTCCAAGGGCTGATCAATCAACTATATTCCCGTTACAATTCTAATACTCTGTCAGCAGAGAGTTGGTGAGGCTTTAAAGAACTATCATACTGGGGATATTGTCTTCACGCAGCTTAAATTCTCATAAAAGGGCCAAGCAAGAAATGTATAGTCTCTGCTTATAGGGATCAACTTTCAGGATCATTTTAGGAGTTAAAAGAGATAATTCATTGCCTTTTGTGATTCAGGTTTGACAAGAACTGTCGCTTTTTATTTCCCCTACTTACACCTTATCGTTACCATTTAGATCCTGAGCTGAATTTTTATTCAGTCTTATTGACAATAAAAGATAAATATCTGATTAAAAATGCGGAAGGACACAATCACGACAAAGCGAAACGAATAAAATTACTAATCGCTTATATTTAAAAAAAAAACGTGGAGAGCTATCACGCTTTACAAATGTATGTCATCAAAGTACTTTTTATCTCTGACATTGAATAAATGATGCAGCTTCAAATCACCTGTCATATCACTTCAAACTTAGGATGAAAATTCTTTGAATTCCAAACTTGTAATTTTTTTTATTGCAAGATCAGTTCGCACATAATACATTCTTAAACACTTACTTGAAAATTGGGAAAAAAAATTATCACTTCAAGACCACGATGATTGTATTAGAGGACAAACCTCGCACAAGTATCGTCCACCAACGATAAACTGCGTCAAGTTGGCAACAATGTAACACAGTGGAACTGTTCAAAGTTGTGTACACAGAGCATTAAATACGGAAATAGACAGCTTAAAAGCTACAGTCGGAGTGGCGCCGTAAGACAAACCTGCCAATTTGGTGACTGAATAAAACAATCAACGTTGGAACAGAAAGAACAGTCGGTTTGATCATCGCACAGAGTTGTTATTATAACCAAGATATTTTCAACAAAACCATAGAGGTGAACTGAAGAAGGTAATCATTCGATGGTCAGTGTTTTAACCTTAGATAAAGCTGCTCCCAGTTATTAAATACCAGAAGTAAATGCTCTCCCTAGTTATCCGTAGGGAGATTAACTTCAAGAGATTCTGAGAAAATTGCGACGCAATCATGAGGCACTGGGAATGTGAGCTTGTCAAAGCGACCACCCTACTGTACAGTCCTGTGCTTCATACATGTTTACATAATCGGGAAATTTTCGGCTTCAAAATTTTATTTAATAATCATATGCACATTCTGTCTATATGAAAACCTCTGATACTTGCTGCCTACGTATGGGTTCCCCATTGCGGTTTGGTGGGCGAAATAGATGAGGAAAGTGGCACTTATTTCGTGCGGACCACCAGTATTGACTCGCAGAGCTCGCTGTTCTCCTATTTCCTGCACGTTTGTCCTTGTATTATGATCATACCACTTTATGGAGCCCCTTGGTAGGCTACCCGTGGTTCAGTAGTGCTGTATACTTTGGATGAACGCGATGAGACCTGATCCTATATAGCTATACTGATATATTTTTTTGAAGTTGTGGTAGTCTAGACTTATAAAAGAAATCCAGCATGATATGCAATCGTACAGACGCCAAAATGTTTTAAGCGTATTGGTCTGGTACGTGATTCAGTGCAGATGCTGTACTGACAGAGTTCAGGAGAACGCTGGAAAAATAAATATTTGATTTGGCAGACATTTTAGCATCTTATCGTGGTCAAGTTGAAAGAATTTTAATAGCTGTTGAACTCAGACGATGACTTCTGAAATACATACCTTGTCTACAAAGGTCGACTCGCTGTCAAATTATGTTTGTTAATTTAACACGTATCACAATTCCTAGACCCATTATACAGCGTTTTATCAACATTCAAGGCAGGCCACTTCAGATTCCAAGTCAATTGCAACAGGATTGGAGCTAAAAAGCTAACAAGGCAGAACTGGTAAATACTGGAATTACTTAGACCTTCTTCACGCTCGATAAATTCGATCAACTGATTCGCGAAAACTTAAGGTAAGATTGTAAACATGCTATTTAAAATAGTAGACTTTTTCTCTGTCTGAAAAAAAAAGGCAAGGAAACAAAACAAAAATTCAAGAAAAGTAACTGTAGATCATCTTCCTGATAGTAGTAATGAGGGCTTCAGTCGAACAACTTGAGGTTCACCACAAGGCACATGCATTTACCTATCAGCGCATAACGGAAAGAAACAAGTCCGCTTCTCAAAATGTTAATTCTGAAGTTGGAAATGCTCCACTTCATATATTGTTTCCATCGTCTTACTTCAGACAAGCATATGTTTCCCAAGGATAGTAGATTACTTCCTTTCCAGTCGCAGCGTTTAGTTTAAAAAAGGAAAAGGAAGTAAATTTAATCGCCGATAGGTCAGAGAATCGTAGTATGCAGGGCACAAACCATGGTGATTTAGAATCTAAAAGGTACTGAATGTTCTACACCGTATCCGTGCCGTGATCCTTTGTATTTTGGCGTCTGAATTACCTTCCCCGTGTTACATGGCGGTTACACCCTTCAATTTTGAAACCATGCAAACCTCAGGCTGAATCTTCTCACGAAAAATCTGCTTCTAGAGATGTACGGATCCACAATAATCCCCACAAGTTCTCTGCTCTTATGGGCATATTTTGAAAATCCAGATGGAGAAGCCATTCGCTTGATTCTCATTTTACAGTTCAGAAAAGTAGATAATCCACAAAGAACGTATGTATACTTTACGTCGTTAGAACCACATTTCGATTAGATATCTCCCGCAAAGATGATTAATGAGGCCATTGATATTAAAAGTGACTTGCTGTTTTACCCTATGTAATTAGACCAAAGGTCTGTAAAGGTTTAGCTTTCTGATCAGAAGAGACTGCCGGTAACGCGTTTGAGAAACAACGACAACTGACGGGTAAACCTGGAAATCTGAGTCAGAAGTGAAGCGCGAGACAGCTGATTTTTTTCTTTTCTAGGTAACCTGTTTGTAGAAATCTGTCACAGTGATATCAGACGGGAGATTGTTATTTTCCTGGCTGTTTGCCCCGCAGTAATTTGTCAAGTTTTGTTTTCGTATTTGAAAATAATACATCGTCTTGTAGATCACCTTACCTCGGCAGTACACAATTAAATGTAAGGAAAATAATTTAATCTTAAAACCCTATTCTTCATTTCGTGCTTTCCTGAAGACACATTTCATTTGTGTATCGTGCAAATAACTTCGTTTAGGTATTATTTCAGTGGTTCAAAAGTGGCAATTTACGCCACGACAAAATGGCCATCAAACTAACACAATTGGTCTATTATGTCAACACTTTGTATGAACAATTATGACTTCATTTAAGCCTTTCGACACACCGGAAGTGAGACGATTGGTCGATGGAAACGACGGAAACCAAAGATACACATAGCTTTTGCTAATTAGTCCCAAGAGTGTACAAAAAATATGTAATCCAACACGTTCTACAATGTAACTTTCCAAATGATGCTTTTTGAGGCGTCTTCTGTTGAGTGGAAGGTTTGTTAACTTCGGTTGCAATTACGTTATAGTTCAAAGGATAATGGATTTTTAAAGATCTCCTCAGGCAATTTTCGTTGTGAAGTTATTAGACTTTGTTGGGTCTTCAGAGGGGAACTGTGCACACTTTAATTTTACGTCTCAAAGTTACTTCTAGTGTGGTTAGAGTTTCTTCTTTTTTAAAGAGTGTTGCTCTCCATTAGCACACATCCGATAAGTCCATTGTCTTAGCCACAAACGCAAAGCAAATTAATTAGCTTGCGAGCGGAAACCACTCGCTTTTACCAAACTACAAAGCATAAGCTTCATTTGCCAACTGAGAGCACAACATCAGTAGATTGTGAGGTCCCCTCTAAGGAATTTAAAGGCACGCATGGTAACCTTTCATAAGAGTAACATCATTGTGTACATCCTTAAAGATTGACTGGCCTGTCCTTGATCCTCAAAACCCCCTCAGTGGATAACAGTGTTTTGACATTTGAATTTTGCATACTGAAACGCAAAATGGTATGCGTCGAAAAGTGTCCTTTGTTGTTTTAAGGGAGCATGACAATAGAACGCCTGTCAGATTGAACAATATGATCTATTTATTGGCTGACATTATCCTGAGAAACCTCTAACCTCATATACGCTCGCACAGCGAACAGACAAGGACCGTGGAGAGTCAAACGTAAAAATTGGTAAAACAGCTTCAACTGGACGGTTTAATTGAGCCTCGACGCAGATTATTGAATCATGCAGCAGGCATAGATCCTTCATGTCGCTAAGACGAGAAAACACGGTTCCTCCGCGAACGTTGTATGGAGCGGCTACGATGCGTCAGCCACGAAACTTCACGCCACCACAACAGCGGCGGAGTACCCAAGGCCACGCACAAAGAAGAGGAAGCCTCGGACATCTATACTCCTCCGATAAAAAGCCACTTACAACTCGGAGCAATAGTTTCAGTTTTGCTAATGACGATTTTAGTCCGACCAAGCTGGACTTTCAATCGCTCAAGAAACGGTCAAGTTTACTGGGTGGCAAGTTTAAGTCCGGGAATAAAGACCCCGAGGGTGTTGCCTGTAGCGAGAAGCACTCCATAGTTATGCTGGGAGCAGGAGGAGTAGGAAAGACAGGTAAACTGGCCATGCATAGCGGTTACATTATATAACACATAGCGTCTAATAGTGCGGATTCACAGCTATTGTAACTTAAATTAGAGAATTAATGTAAGGAAACATGCAGTTCTATTTCGCAAGACACATGGATCGCTAAGCTAGTCAGTATGCAAGAAAATTTCAATTGACGAAACATTTGAGACAGATCAAGATGCGCTCTCCGATTAGATTAACAGCAGATAAAAGAGTATCGTGACTGTGAAAGCTTTTGAAAATAAAGCATGGAACAACTTCTTTCATGACCATGGAAGTAATGATCGTTTCTTTTCACAATGTATGTATTGAACAAAGAACCGGCGTGAAGGCAGAATATAATTGCATCCTTAATCTGGCACGGATCATCAATTATGGACTTATTTCCTAAATTTCTTGAGGGAACCACTCGAGTCTTTCCTTCTGGAAAGCTGATATAGTTATTCCTCGCCCGCACCTTCTCTTATGGATAGGAACAGACGTCACTCTAGATTTGTTATCAGAGTTTATATTGTCGGCTTTACTCAAACCTTAATATCTCGTTTTGTTTGAATAGCGATTAGTAAGATTGACATATTTTTTTCTCTTTTGTCTTTCAGCTTTGGTAGTTCGCTTCGTGACTGGCCGATTTTTAAATGAATATGATCCAACATTAGGTGAGGAAGAAGTTTATCCAAAGTAGTTTGTCTGACAGCGTAGAAATATAAACTTGCGGCAAGTCGTCGGTATCATATTTTTCTATCCGGAAAAGCGGAATAAGTTTGTCGTGCGGTCTGATTTGATTTCTGACAGGTTTGTGTACAAAAAATAATTTCTAAGTGTTAATTTCTTTAGCAGATTTTTTTTCGCTTGCGCTCGTGCACCGCTTAAGGGTTAATAACGATCACGCCTTCTTATTCGCACGCAGATCGAAAACCAGAGCTTTGGATAAACACATGATTGATTTTCTCAGGATGTTGGTTAATCGAAAATACTCTTAAACGCGATCTAGACTAACCTGGACTTGAACAGCTTTTCTGGATGTACACAGCAGTATTTCAACACAGGTTGAGTTCTGTGTGTGCTTAAGTAAATGTCAAATTTATTCAACGAAATGGTACTAAAAATTAAAAAAAAAAACAGTCGGTAGATGACTGGAGGCCGTTGGTCTTCCCGTTTGTATATCTCAAATGATTTCCGTTCAAAGTCGGAGGTTTCAGGTTTCGTACACGAGGAAATGGCTTTAATCTGTATAATACCGCCTTTTTGTTGTTGGTTCAATAGAAGTACTTATTTTGAAGCCCACCATGCCGCCCTGTTACTAAACTTAGACCTGCTAATGGTTCTATTGTATTTTTGGCTTTTAGAGATGGTTTATGAGAAATCCTTGCCGGTTGGTGACAGCAATGTATCACTGGACATTCTGGACACTGCTAGCAATGTAAGCAGTTTAGTCGCTTCTTCTTTCATCATTTACTGATTGTTTTAAAATGTTTTTTCTAAGTGCTAGCTCGAAAAAAAAAACAGGATGTTTTACCGACCACGGAGCTCGGTTTACAGGTAATTCTACCCATAGCTAAAGCCTCAAATTAGCGATCTTTTGACTAAGATAGGGTACTGAGTAACACCATAAGACTTTTGTCCGACAGTCAATATCGCATCACGTAGCCTCGTGTTTAATTCTTCCTTGCTAAATGAATCTTATCATCAACTTTTTTCAAATTAAACAGATGTTTACTTACTGGTTTGATTTATCTTTTCAACTGATAACAGACTAACATCTCGTGATTTACTGATGCTAAAGTGAATTTTCCAGGGCCACACAACTGTCGTACACAACGACAGTGTTAGGCAGCTAAAATTCTAGGAAAGTATTACAAAAACGTCGACAAAATACAAGAATTTTAAAAGCATTAAAGCAGCAGCTAGTAAAATCGAAGCTTCTCTTACGTTAACTGTAGTCACAAAGTGCTGTTACACCATTGCTTTCAGTTAGCTCCCCTATGACCACACTCAAGTTGTCAGATAAGATTGACAACGTAAGTGACCTTCAGCACATGGAACACTGATCTATCTATTCCAGGAGATGTCCGATGAGAGAGAGGTTGTGGAAGTCACTGTTACATAACTGTATTCTGCTGAAGATACTGAAAATAGTAATTATCTAATAAATAACGTTCTACTCATGTTTTAATTTTTGTTTGTGACGACCGTCATAGGGAGAGATAAATAGTGGTAATTGAAAGTTTTATGCAGGGATTTATAATCATGCATAATTTTGGCTTATATAACTAGCGAAATTAGCGTATAGTATAGGCTTTTAAGATAAAACCTTCATTTATACGATTAGCCGTACTCAGCCGAAGCTCCAAGCTCCAGCTAACATTGAGTAGATAAGCTTCTTTTGCCGTATGTGTTATATTAAAGGATGATGCCCCGTCGGGTTCGCCAAGAAGACAAAGCTCCCGGGTAACTGTGAGGTCTCAAAGTCTATCAGCTAAAGGCATTGTCCTTCGATAAATCAACAACTTAGGGGAGCCATTTGTGTAATCACCCTCCATTAATTTTGCACGTACACAGTTTTGATGCATCGTAGGGGTCTTACGGAGATGAATGGAACCATTGTTTTAAATGCTTCTTGTTTTCTAATAACCCAAAAGACGATCAGCTTTTGTAAGGAATTGGTTTTGACTGATTTTAGTTGATGAATGTGGAGCCAATCATACCCCGAGTTTCCTTAACCTTTACTCCTTAATATCAGTATGCATATTCCCAATACTACTCTCTAGACATTTCCTAAGATTCTGACAAGGAGAATTTGTTCAACAATCAAGAGCTTCTTTAGTTGGTGATCATCTCCTTTATTCTCATGACTTTAATGTTTGATTCAGTGGTGATGTTGTAAGGAGAAGTTAGATGTTAGTCAGTCTTAAGGGTTAAAGCGTTAAGAGATATAAGCTAGTTGTGAATAGCCACCCTTCCTTCCCAAACCAGCTCATTTCTTCACCAACCCCGTATAACTGAGATCGCTGTTCTTTGTTTAAAATATTCAAGGCCGAAATTAAAAGCGAACGTGCTTCTTCGTAAAGTAGAAAATACTGTAAGCGCCAAAAGAATCGTCCCTTTAGATTTGCTAAGCTCAAAATTAACGGCGGGGGTTGTTATTCTATTGTATTCCCCCAGCAAGAACTCTATTAAACGCCTGCCCTTAAATTTCCATTAAATTTCCATTAAGTAAAGACAGTTTCCTCGACATTACCTCTTATCACCGCGTCCATCTAACGTCTAGTCATAACATAAAATTATTTGATATTTGATAGGACGATAAATGACCTGAAAATTTGTCTAGTCGTTTAAAAGTTCATATATATATTTTTTTTCATTTTTTGTTTCACTCAGGCTCAAGCTTCTTACATAAGAAATGGCGAAGGATTCATAGTGGTATACTCGATCACTGATCATTACAGTTTTGAAGTGGCAAGACAGCTTGTCAAACTCATCAAAGAGGTGAGAAAGCCTGACGGGGAGTGCCAGGTCCCTGTTATATTGGTTGGTAACAAGAAAGATCTCCGCCGAGGAAGAAGTGTTAGCAAAGAAGAAGCCAGGGAGACTGCAAGCGAGTTCTCCTGTTCGCATTACGAGACTTCTGCTCTAACCAATAAGAACGTTCAAATCGTTTTTTTCAATATGGTGTTCCAGGTTAGATTCACCAAAAAGTCTCGGCAAAAGAGCCAGGGATCATCGGGTAATAATGGATTTCTGAGCTCAGTGCGTCAATTGTTTAACCATAGGAGAGGTAGTTTGCAGGGATGGTGAAGGAATCTACGAATTTGTTATTGACTAGGAGAAGAGTGGCTCAAGCGAGACTAATTGTATTTATGTCGACCTTCATTGGGGAACATAGTACGGCTAGTTCAGTAACAAACTTATCACGGAACCAATGGCAAAGTCTAAATAGGTAGGACAATCACACAATCAAAAAAGTTTTAGAATTATGTCTTAATAAGACTAACAGGCGGTTACAGAGAACTGTTTGTGACTTTCCCCACTGAGGTGCGTAGTCGACAAAACTTTTCTCGTGTAGCCATGTAAGCTTTTGCTTACGTGAAAAACGGGTTTCCTTCGAAAGAGTGGAAAATATTCATCGGTTACAAAAACGTGGGTAACATTCACCAGCCAGAAAGTCTCCTTTGGGACTGATATTGTGACATTTCGAAGATCGGCTGTAAAGGAGATCACAGGTTATATCGATAGATATGAAAACATGGCATGACGTGCGTAAATAAAAAGTGCGCGAATTCTTTTCATACGTCTGATGATGGGATGATTTTTCATTGAGGGTGACTTTACTGAACAGTGTCGAAATTGCTTTTTCATGATAATGAATAAAGGAAATGGTTGATTCCGGGAATAAAAATCACATTAAACTTGTACCGTACTTCATCCAGTTGATTTCAATCGTCAACTACCTAAAACACCGAGTTTCTACTGCAATAACATAATACATTGCTGGCTGACTTACTTCATCATTTTGCTTTGGTTTAATTTCTACGAATTACAGGAAGAAAAAGAGAAAACGATCAAACGATCAAGGAAAACAACTCAAATTTACTCAGTATAGCTTACGGTTAACCGTGAAAATCTAGAAAGTGGTCCGGCCAGTTTGTTTGTTTGTTTTTTTTTATTCCGCTAGACGAATACAGGTTATGTATCAGATTCAGAGACAATTACTAAGGGCCAACCATTCCTTAAAAGGCTTTTTGATGCGTAGAATAGAAATGATCAAACTTCATTCCTTTCACAACATTAACCTTTCCGTTTCAGCGTAGGAAACTCACATAACTTCAAAATATAAAGCAATACACAGGCTCACTTCAAAGGAAGTGTTCAAGAACTGCAATCAAAGGTTACAGTAAGTTTGGTACGCTAAGCGCCCCCCTTTCCTCCCCGAAAAAAATTGAACGAAAAAAATAATAATTGAATAAAATATGATGAAATTGACGAAATTCAACTTTGCATAGGGTTGAGGGCAGGAGGGAATGTTATCAATGTGAAATGTATTTATTCACGATTTTCATGACAATTTGACGCTCTCCTATCATCAAAGCAGGATTAGTGTCACCAGTTAATTCCTCTTTAGTTTAATACTTTTGTTTTATTTTATTTAATCGCTTTTCTGTCTCTCAGACTGAACAAACATGTTATGCGTCTAAAGACAGAGACTGAGACGTTTTTGTTTTAGATGTCTCAATGCCTCGCCTCTCTTTTTTTCAGCTTTTTTGTATTGCCTCTCGTTAGAACTACTTGCCATATGTCCTGAATACTAGTTATGACCTTGAGCAATACGCCAGGTTATGACAATAACCCTAGAAAGACGGCGTCACCTGTCTTTATTTAACAATGAGTTGACATTGTCTTCTTTTTTTACTGCTTTACTTAGATCCTTCCTCTATGGTCATTTTTAAACAAATGTTGAATAATGACAAAAAACAAAACGAGGAGGTTTTCTCATCTACGGACCTGGTTTAAAGAAAGAAGTGTAAATTGCTGTGTATGTGTGCAGATCTGTTAATTAGGAAGTAGCTGGAAACAATTGGCTGTGGAAGCCTTACAAGTTGTAGACAATAAAGTCGGTAATGTGTGAGACCAAAATATAAACAAAGAACATCAAAGTTGTCAAATTTCTAAAATGATAAAGAACATGAAATAAAAATGTTTTGGCTATTTTCACCCATCCTATTCGTGCACGAAAAACAATCTTTTAGGACAGAATAACAACTGTAATCTGGGCTTTTCGTTACCATTTTTTTCTCACTTATAAAGATTGGTATTCTGAAAGTGAAGTGTTACTTCCTCTCTCGATGTCTTTACGTTGTTCTTGTCGTGATCGGATGAACGAACTTGAAACTAGAAATATTCTGACAAGTCATTTTTGTTGACAGTAACTGAATCATGTAATTGCCATTACATCCGAAGTAACTCAATGTCTTTCCCCTTAAAAACCATATTTTAAAACTTCCTTTATAATACTTTCACACGAAAAACGATGATTCGGAAAGGATTTAATGTGTTCGGATTGATTCCGGCCTCTTGAATACAATTAAATGCTACTAAATCTTTTATAAAATCTCTCCGCCAGGGTGGCGCCTTCACCCAATAAATCTCTACCTAACTTTTTCAGTGAGCAAGAAAGGGAATTTTTGGTAACTGAAGGAAGATGGAAATTGAACTAACACAAAGATAGACGTGACAATAAAACCTAATAAGGGCTCTCTCACAAGATAAACACGATGCGAAATGAAACACAAAGAAAAAACAAAGAAAAACACTTAACTGTTGATGAACGTCGCCAAATTGATTTGAGTTTGTTGGTTGTATATCGTGTATCGTTTTGAGAGAGAATTAAAAAAACATGAAACAAGACAATATAGCAATCTCTTATCCTTAGCACATGGTAACTGATCAAGACACGCGGTCCTAAGGAAGGAAAAGTGCCTTATTTGACGTCAGACTGGCGAAAGGGAAAATGTCTTAAAACAAAGAAAAACAAAAGATTCAACGACATTAACGAACGGACAAAAGCATTTAAAAGTTCACACCCACTAAGTGACGTGAATTACTGCTGGCAAGTTTTTTTGGTTCTAAGTTTTTTTTTTTAACAAGTTCCTTTGTCTTCTGCTAGCTTAATAATTGAATTGTAACAACAGAGAGCCCAAGGCAAAATTTTCCCTTAATGAAAGAAGTTTTCTGCATAAATTAAAATTTATGTTCAGTTCCCTAATTTACAGTTGTAATTGAAAACCAGTACAATTTTTAAGAGTATCAATGTCTTAAGTAAGGTACTTGGTCAGAAGGAACACCCATGCCACTTGTGTTTATTTGTTTGCTCGTTGGTTTGGTTTTTTTGCTCAGTGATCTTTTTCATCTGTTATCTTTGGAGTAAAGCTTCACTGGTACGCGATTCGACTGATCTTATTCATGACAATCATTCTTAATTCAGTGGAGGAAATTATTGGGAACAAATGGAACATTATTCAGAATAAGAAGCCGAGGAAAAGATAGTTTTCTTGGCTCATCTTGCAGATTCGTACGTCTTAGTCGGAAGAAGGAAAGCTCTCAATACGTCGCCAAGAATATACGCTTACCGAGAAGAATTTTGATGACTGCAAATTGCAGGGAAAATTGTCATTTGGCTGAATTCACGCAGGAACACACACATGCTATTAGGAAAGAGCTCTATTTTTAAATTTCTTCAAACTACAAGGCCAACTTAAGAGATCATAACATCAGCACAAAGCTTAGTTCAGCTCAAGCAGTTTATTAGTTCAAATCTCATTTAGCCTCTGCTTATCGCGTTGAAAAGTTACTTAAATGTCTTCGATCTAAAGGAAAAAAAAAACGAGCATGGTGTTTGTGGGCCAAATTCATCCCTTGAGATGGGTCGCTAATTCTTATTAGCTGGAGAACTTTTGTGAGCATTTCAAATTCTTACTCTGTTTATCAAAAAATTTATGTTCTGTATTTTTTTAGCATAAAATAACACATTTAAGTGCTCAGTGCACATTAAAAAAAGCCATGAGAGAGGGTGCGAATGAATACTGCGTCCAAAAAAATAGTTAAATTATTTTTTGTGTGATCAGAATGATATCTTTCTTTTTGTTGAAAGTATCTATCATATGCGGGATAGATTGTAAAGTGCTTATAACATTACTTATAACATTACAGTCAAGTGATTAAATATGTCATTTTTAAAAAATGTTATTTATTTTATAATCTGTTGTATCACACTTGAATAAGCAAGCTGGACTGAAATAGTCTATATTTACTGAGAATAATAGCCTCAAACCCCCTGCCGAGCTGTCTACCAAGACTATACTTTCACTGTCTTGCTTTTGTATGGTAGCCACTTCTCGCACATGGCTAACGTCGCACTTTGAATAAATGAGTCACAGTTCTTCTTCAATGAGTGTAAGGTGACTTCGTCTGTCTGGCAACAGAAGAAATCTGCAAGTCAAAACAATCTTGTTAAATTGCACTTTTACCACACTTATATACAGCTTCCGTCTTTCTTTTGCGCAAAACCACGAATTTAGCCCTACTGCCTAAAAGCTATCCTGCTGTAGATGTACACAACTGGTGGGAAATGTCTAAGAATCTATTTTTAATAAGCAGTTACTTTTAGAACCAACTATACCAAAAGGCGAGCCCAGGGGAACATACTTTCTTGTATTGTCGAAACAGAAAGCACTCTCTTGGCCTTATGAGTGTGAATTGTTTCATAACTTGGGTACCAGTTCATTATCAGTTATAAGGACCGTTCTTTTATTAAGATGGGAATATTTTAAGGGAAAAACTCAAAATAGTGTGAACAGTTAAGAAGTAGTGCATCAGATGCTGTTGAGCTGTTGCACTCTTGAAAATGATTGTTACGTCTCTCACAAACCTAATGTAAAGAACAAAAAGGCATTCAGGGGGAGACGGTGACAAAAACACGTGTGTTTTTGGTACCGGTCTTAACTCATGTCTATTTTTTTTGCGCTATTATTTAAGTCCTACAATTTAATTATTTAAAAATTAACACACGTCCAAGGGATTTTCTCAAGTCTCAAATGAACCGCGCCAGCATTAGTTCAACTCCATAGCAAAACATATATTGTTTGAACAACAATTATACTGTGCTCTTTTGTGTTATCAAAATACAACGTGGCCTCGTCATTCTTGCAGTGTCTCCTTTCTGTAATCAAACATAAACTTCAGAAAAGCAGGTTTCTAATTTAGTTTTTTATTTTATTTTATTTTGCAGACGACACGTTGAGTAAAGCACATTTCAGTGTTCTGTGTAACAGGTACTTTTGTGCATTATTCATCAACTGTGTATGGAAAGATTCTAAAGCACGTTTTCTTTTGTTGCTCTTTCAGATAGCGCACGGTAATGACCGTCTTCACCAATTTTTCTACTTCTATGTCATGCTCCTTTTTATTTGAAAACGCAAGAAAATTACTCCATTCAATATGCTGTAGGGTAGTTAGGAAGCCGTGCATAACAACTTAACTCTTTAGAACTTGTCTTTCTCTAGAACCATAATGAAACTAGATATAATCATTTAATCCCCTGACTGTATGAGTTGACTGTGGGTTAAATGACATAATAGAGTTCGATCTGATTTATTCATGGTGTACCGACTTAATATGAAAGAAGTCATATACCAAACCCACCATGCATCCCCTCCTTGCTGAAAATAAGGGAAAGGAAACAATTTTCTTATCGCGTTTTTAGAACAAACCCAAAAAGCGCATTCCTCATCCCATTGTCTTTTAAACGTAGCAACAATAGAAAGTGAACGATAACTTATACATTTACAGTTAAAGGCAAACTCGAAAAACAGACCACAAGAAAAGTATCTTGACATCTTACGTTGCTATGCTAAGGTTTGGTACAGATTGAACAAAGAGGCCAGTGTCGCTACTGGTTTGAGCTGTCATCAGATGCTATTGAGGTTTATGTGGGAATTGAATACCAAGAAAGCCTATTTGTGCCAAAAAGACCAGAAAACAAAAACAAAACAACAACAAAAACAACAACAGTGTCAAGGAACTTGTAATCGGTTCTTTCTTGTCTCATTTTCGTCTCTAACATTTAATTGCGAATAGCAAGTCCTTAGTTCAAGTATGTGGAAACGGAAAGCTTGTCATGGCAAAAATTGAAAACGAGTTGAGCTGCGAACCTTTAAGTAGACTGCGATTTGACAGTTAGCTATCCAATAAAAGTAACTAATAGCTTACAATGTTTGATGTCCCCAAATGCGATGTCTTTTCATCACAAGAAATTATCCCTGAAAGACAACCAGTGTTAATTCTGCTGATCGGTGCTGAGGCAACAGCAAGATTTCAGTGAAAGTCGACACCTTTTCCGAAGCACGTTGTTTCCGTACTTGGTTTAAAAAGCATCTAAATCACTCTGACTGCACGATCATGTTAAAAGAAACATTCTCATTTGCATTTCGAGTTGCACGTGTAATGGACGGATTGAGATAAGACCATGCAGACGATATATATCACATCAACGTTGCATATAGTCATATTATCATTTCTCCTTAAGGCATAAGTTCTTATCAAGGCCATTAGTTAAGAGAATATAAAAATTTGTCAAGTCAAGGATTCATTTTTGAGACAGATTCAGTTTTTGAAAGCGACTTTTAAAATGGATGCCAATCTCCTAATAATTATTAAGTTTATGAATTGGAAGTGCTCGGAAAAGGTTATCATCTTAACTGTTATTTCCTCTAGTTTTCTTATCCTGTTATGGCGCATTTTCCTTCAAATTAAATTTTTATTTCAGCCATTGGATTTCGATGCCAAGGAAATATAATGCTAGGAGGCTGCTTAAGGTGTTAATTCATGATCTTGCATGCAGTCAGTCCTATCACATAGATATTTGGAGAAGAGCTTTTCACAACGCATGCGCTTACAGGTGAAACATCCGCGTTGAGAAAAGTAACGTCTTCCCTTATTGTTTACTAAAAGAAAGCTGGAAGACATTTATTCATATATTCTCTAGCTATATTTGGAAGACGATATCCGACTTAAACTCGATAATTCTCGGTTTCACGTCTCGATTTGTCTTAGTTTAATAATCGCACTTCTTAAAGTGAAGGATCACTACGATGTCTTTTTGCGTGCACGTTATTGAAAACGATCCCTAATACGGGTTTTTTCCCCACATTGTAAAATCAATTTAATAATCCTATGGCTTGTTTGCTCAGCTTTACTTAGTGAAAAGCGTAAACTACATAGCTGAGACAACAGGACGCACGACACATTTGAATTTTTCTTCATTGTCCTACGGCGAACGTTCCGTGATCTCAGTGAATTACCTGCCGGCGAACATAAAAATCAATCCTCTAAAATGGGGGGGATTATGGCAGTTCCTTTGAAAATTAAAACCTAAATGTTTTTTAAGCTTCTCACAATGACGAAGGTAACCATAAAATGTGTTGGATATGGAAAAATTGTACCATTACCGTTTTTAATATCTTGTGTATAACATGTACTTCGAAGATCAATAGAGTTATGGCAAGGTACGAGTATCAGTTCAGACAAAATAAAGACAAAGAAAATTCGGAACAGCAAAATATCACAGAATATTGCGTGCACGTGGGTGAACCGCACAGAACCATTTTGTTCAACAGGAATAAAACCTGTTTACTGAGAATTCAAATTCAATTTTAACATCCAGGGAAAATTTGAAGAAAATCAAACAATCAATCATTTAATTAATTATTCCGTGTGAGTTTCAGCTTATCAAGCTTTGACAGTCTAGCAGACCAAACGGAAACCTACCTTTTATCATATTTCCTTAGATTTAGTCATAAAAAAATAATCGTTTGCACCCACATCTCAAATTTTCATCTCAGCTGTCATGGTAGAAAAGAACCGATTGCAATCACTACTCCGGAATACCAAACATATTTATGTAAACGTCTGAATAAGAGTTAAACAAAAGACTGTTCTCGCTGATCATGTAACATGAATTTTCATCTATCAATATTATATCTTCTGTTCCTCTCTCAGAACTAACAAAAGTTCCTAAAAAATTTGTCGCCAGTGCCACCATTCATTCGCAAATTGTTATTCACTGAATAATCATCCCAACAATCATTAGTAGTATAGTACTCCGGAGGCGAGGTGAAAAGGGAAAGAATAATCTTTTTCGTCGGTTAAATTATCCAGTCGTGTCACCACAGTTAGAATTTCAAGAAATAAACCGACCACCTTTTGAAGATTGTTTCTCAAAGATTTATTTATCCTCTCTAAATACTATAACACAGAGTAGACGTGGAAGCATAATTTCAATAACGAATTAATTACCTTCGATCTCATGTTAGTCCAAAGTATTGTCACTTTCCTTCTCTTCAGTAAAACTGCACGTTCTTCAAAATATTGCAAAAGGCACAGTCATCTCGGTTTCATGAAAATATATTCTATTAAAAACTATCTAAATAAGCAGTATTTACAGGAAAACCTGCGAAACGAAGCTGTTGTCTTAAGAAAACTTCCTTCCCAGTGATCCTTGTCCGTGGAGTAGACATTACTACTATGACCACAATTTTTTTCATAATTGTCACCTATTTTATGTGACATTAGATCTATGACGAACGAAGATTAGTATTGCGTTAGGGTACCCGGACTAAGAAAAGCCATGGCAAATGGCGGTAAACCCGATGGGTCGTGATCAAACGAAAAATTAAAATATGCCTGATCTGAGCAAGATGTAGGAGTCAGGACATACTGAGTGGGTGAGATAGGTGCCAGGTAAAGGCTCTCCCCTTGAGATGACTCTAGCGGGCTTTTATCTGTTAAATAAAGTTCGGGTACATACAGATCTTTAATGTCAATACTACGAGTAAGTTCTTCTCCCGTCATGAAATCATCACAATTGGTTTCTTCGGATGAAACAGAAAGTGCAGATCCACTTTGTGACAGTTCTTCAACGGGGATTTCCCTTGTTAAACATTCGTTCCAACCTTCGAAGTAACTTTCGAAAACGGGGTTGTAAGGGTCTTCCGATTCTCCGGCCCTGGCTTGCAAGGGATACATTGGATACATGTACGTCTCTGTTCCGTCTGGAATGACAGGTTCCTGCCAGAATGAAGGGGGAAGGTTCCTTTCCCGAAGTGAGGATTTCTCGAAGTTGACAGCTTCTACAGTCCGTTCAGATCTTTTAGAACTCCCTTCTTGCCTTGAAGAATTCCTCGACGTGCCATGTTTGTCACCGTGTAAGCTGTGAGTTTTATGCTTAAGAACGTCTTTGGGTTTCTTTGTGGTTATGTCGTTCTTCCGCTTTGAATAATTCCGCAGCTGTTTTTGAAGATACCTGCGGTGGTTAATGTTCCTTTTAAAGTTGGCTGGTTTTTCTAAGGCGGTCTTTACGTTCCCGGACGCCAAGTTCATAAAGTTTAGAAGAGAACTTCCAGCTGTGGATTGATCTTCCTTTCGGCTGACAGCACGACCATCATCCGATAAGTTAACCAGGTGTGGATCGTTAAACTTCGATTTCGCGGCCATTCCCGAATCCAACATTTAGAAATTCGAAAAAATAAATGTAAACGGCAAAGTTGTGCAAGAAAATCCCTAAGGCGGAGGAAAACTGTGCCAAATGTTCACTTTGATAATTTCGCAATACGTTCTCCGCGCACTCGTCCTCTGACGACAAAGGCGTTCGGATATATTCAGTTCTGTGCCAAAGTCACACGCTATTTATGCCGTTTGAAGGGACTATTTACTGACGCTGTATCGGTGTGTTAGACGTTTGTAAATTAAAGCTACATTAATTGTTCTGCAGGTGCACTCATTAAATATGCAAAGTCAAGACGTTCACTTCGAGTATTGTCACGACCAATTGGCTCCATTCCTTGTGTGAAAATTGCGTCACCTTCACTGAAATATCTGTCATTGTCATGTAAATCACGAAGTATTTATGTCCATTCACATTGTTTACACACCCTTGATTAAAATTTCAGTGAAAAAGAGGGAAAACTCAGGGTTAAAAGTTCATGTTTTTTGGGGTGGACTACGAAAAGAATAGCGCAATAAAAGAGAACTTTCTAGATATTTCTAAGACACGAGGGAAAAATCAAACACTTAGAAAAATATCCTCAAGAAACAATTTGGACTGCGTGTTACAACACAGTACGAGGGCTTTGTAACTATGGCCCACAGAGTTGATAATTAAAAAGCAACTAAAGAGTTCTAAAAGTGAGCAGCAAAGTCATGTTCTATTGAGAGGTGTTACAAAAGACTATCAGCAACAGATCACTGCTTTAAATTTGGCTTCTTCATATCGCACATTTTACGAGTTGAGTATACATGCCCTTTTTTTTCCGATTAGCCCTTTTGCAAATAGCGCAGCATACAACAAATATGTCGGTACACAAATATTATATTCTATTAACATTCAGAGTAATAGTCCTTTAAGTGTCGTTCATCATGCAAACCCACTATTGTACATAGAGTGAGAACGCGCGGAGGCGAGTTGCCACAATTATTTCTTCCTTCGTCTTTTATGGGGTCCATGCTACGGACGGTAACCGAATAAGAACTGTTAGCGTAAAAATGTACCCTGTGGTAGTTTTGTTTGGTTAAAAAGTAAATTGAAATGCTTTTGTTCGAGCCTTTGTGAACGCATGTGTTTATTTCGTTAGTCACTCCCAATAGATGAGTCATAATCTCACCTTTTTGTGTTCGCTTTCAAGAATCATCGTTCCTCGTAAGAAATGTTTGGAACCATTACTATTCCTGTGCATTTCAAATAAACCTTAATCCTTTCCTTCCTTTTTGTGCCCAGGTGAAAACTTGACTCAGTGCTAAGTCAAAAAAAAAAAAATTACGGTTTGCGCGCATTGACTCTAAGATAGCTTGTTTGCGCTAATTCTCTCTTTAGCCTCCACCTTTGTGAATCTAAATGGAAGCTTTTGTTAATTTGAACTGAATCATGATTAAGAACAAACACGAAACACTAAGAGGGCTGATCTTCTATCCAGTGCGAATCTCTCCTTCACCATTCGCAGAAAGGTTTTATGTGTTGAAGAAAACACAGTCCTTCCTCGCTGATGTTTAATAAATCTCCTCCTCTCAAATCCAAATTGTAAAGGAATAACCTAAAAGCTGTTCTTTACTATGCGTTAAAATTGTTTCAGAGAAAACTCCTACCGAACGACTCGCTACCTTATTTGATTTGGCTAGTTGAGAAATGAAAGCCCTGAATGGATATTTCAAGCAAAGGGAAATGGTGTTATTGCTTTACTTGTTGACGATACTCTCTCAATCGAAACTTCAATAAGCACTGTTTTTCTGAACCCCGCCATGGATTATTTAATGAGTTTTAAATTAAAACGTTAATCGGTTTTTAAATCATAAGTCATTTTCGAAGTGATTCGAAATCAGGCGACACTGAGCAGTACGCGAGAACTGTTTAAACTTAAGAGGGTGATTAAAACTCAGTCAGAAACATAAATGGTTATTCGAGTAAGGTGATTACTGGTTTTTCCTGCAGACTTAAGGAAAAATGTGTTTTGCTCCAAACTATCAATTTATCATGGTGTACTTTGCTTACTCAGTATTGCTCAATTTAGTCGGTAGTGAAAGAAACCGCTAATGTTTTGTATCCACAAAGTTGTTCATCATTCACGAAAGATTCAGGAAAATTCTTGCGAAGAACATCATGCTGTTGTTACAGCAACCAAAAGGTAAATAAGAGGGAATTGTGCCGAGGTGTTAAGAAAAGAATTACAATTTCTATCATTGTCTTCAGCTTCTTCCCACACTCAGATGTTTCAACATTTTGCCATCAAACTCCAACTTGCAGGCGTTACGTGAATGTTGTCTTCATTGAAATAATTAAAAAAATACAGTCTTTCAACGTCAGTGAAGCAAAAAATGTATCCGCCTCTAAAGGAAATAGAGATGAAAGTTTTAAATGTCCGCTTTCTTTCAGCCTTCACTCCTCTATTCTTTATTCACTACAATTCGAAGGGCAGAAAAATATTATAGTGATAAAAAGAGATTTTGCTGAGCGTTACGATAAATATACTGATATTTTTTGCTTTCCTTGGCTCAAAATTTGCACAGGGTGCAAAGGTCTAAAAACGTAGATAAATTTATGTCATGTGGAAGTGCAAATGAAATGGATATTGATTACCTAAATGAATTTTTTTCGGGCTGCATAAAAGCTTACTTGGTTTCGTGATAATAATTGCAGTAAGGAAATAAAAAATTAAAAAAACAGATAAATTCAAGCGCGAAATGAAATGAGCATGCAACGAAATAATTATTTAGAGGATACCGCTAAAATTAACAAAACCGTCCAAAAACCTAATCCATTTACAATTACGAAATGTAATTTACAAGTGCGTTTGTTGAGTGGGTTCTACCATTTGCGAATATGAAACGAAACAAAGGGTTACTTAAAGATATTACACGACTGCAGGGTACGGATGGCCTCTTTCATTCGTCGATTCGTTACCATTCAATCTCTACACATGGAATGATTCTTTTTCCTGGAAATATTTTGTTAGCTTTAGCCGAATTGAAAAGACGTTTGCAGTGATTCATGCTCAAGGAAGTGTTAAACAATTAGCACTGTCTGAGGGGTTTTTCTCACGTCCTTTGCTCAGTCTTGGTATCGTTCGGAGTAGCACACACAAAAAAGTAAATAAAACGTTCGCTTTTGTGATGCAAAAGTCTTTCCCGAACAATGGACCTTTTCAAAATTTAGCCATTTTTGTTTAACCAAGTTGCCATTGTATTGTAGTGTTGCTTCATAAGGCTATATATTTTTTATTATATGTCTAAGATGCCATTGGGCAGCCAGGTAATTGGAATTGATACTAGCTCAGCTCTGGGAGGCCACTGAAGATCTCCTCTCAGTATGTGGTCATTTAGACGCAAATGAAAAGAAAAGCTTTTCTTCAACAAGATCTAAACACGTTGTATTGATTAACCATTTTTACTTGTGAAAATTACGAGTGCTGTAATACAATTTGAACATTCGAGACACATGGTGGGAAATGGCTTTAACTGGTTTCCCATTATCTGAACATATTAACGACACCACCAGGCTAGAATTGCCCACTAAATAATCGGAAAAAAAGCCGATTTGTTATTATTGTTCCTCGAGTGAGCATTTAGAGGGAGATTGAAAAAAAAAGTAAACAAATGACCTAAACATGTTCAGCACAGTTAAGTTGGGGTTTTCTCGATGCACCCTCCGCAAAAATGGAACACAAGAAACAACAGGACCTTTTAATACTTGGACAATAGTTCAATACAGATCACAGAATACGCTGAGAAGAACCCAAAGGGTTCTTTTTATTGAAGGCGAATATATGAAAGTCAATATTTCCGCGACTGAAGTTTTGTTTCCTAGGCGAAATGTTAACCGATCGCGGAAGAATCTTTTGGTGTGGTGGGTGTCAGGTCTAATAGAAAATAAAAAAATTCAAGATAAATGTTGGTTTAAAACGGTTTTGGCACTAGACTTCCATCGTTTTCAAAGGGAAAAAAATGAGTTTCATCAGAAGCAATGACTGTCCTCTTTGGGTTGGTTTTACATTCTGAAAGATTTGGGTAGAAAACTTGAGATAATATAGTCTTGGACAATAAAACAACGTTCTTGGAGGACAACCGCTGTATAAAATTACAGGACCAATGTTTACTCCATAGTTAGTCATTTCAAAAACCTATTCGTGCCATGACTGATGGAGTTCAATGTTCAGACAAATTTTTTATGTAAGCGATGAGTAAACACAATAACTGAAGCGAGATGTAATTAAATGTTCAATAAAAAGATCACTCTCTCTCTTAAACAAAAGCTGTGGTAAATGAAAGTTTTTATTCCACAGTTGCCACAAACGGTAGAAAGAATGACTATCGAATTAAGAAAATTTAGGAAAAAAAACGAAAATTACAGTATTAAGATATTCTTCTTTTTCGGCGTGTATGAAGAAATTTTGCCTCTTCACATAGCTTAGGACAAAATTCAAATTTTTTCAAATCGATCCATACTCGATTTTGAAACATGAATGTATACAGTTTTAATGCATTGAATCTTGTCTCAATATGAAACCGATAACATGAATTCGAGATGAATTGAACTGGAGCAAAAACCAAGATCAAAAGAAAAAAAAGAAGCGACCACAGCAGGTACCACGCAACAAACCAGCCGATAACACGCGAAACTCTCCTTGCAACCTTTGTTGATTTCAATTTACGTCAAGAGATCAAGCGGGTTAGCCTCCGGCCGACTAAACAACAAAATTCTGTCAGTTGGAGCAAAGCCCACCCCAACCCAAAACAGAAAAAGTAAATAACCGCAGGAGGCTTATTTATTTTGCTACAAGTCTACAGAAAGACTTGCTTCGACGCACCAGTATCATATCCACCCTCTCATTTAATTTGGTTGATTCAGGCTTCTCTACACCAACCAGAATCTTTTAATCCACCAAATTCCCAGAAACACGCGGTGGAAAATATCATTATAACTTTTGCTCGCTTTCATGTTCATTCGATTTCTTAGATCGATCTCAGAAAATAGCAGGAAATGTTGTAAAGAACGAATTCCCTCTGCTGCATAGCTGTTGCCAAGAGGCTGTGGTTTCAAGTTCAAAATAATAGAATTACTTGTTAAAGGTAAAAGCTCTTTGTTTCAATCAGATAACTCTACATTTTAAATCTCCTTTAAAATGAAAATTAGAAATGAGGCGAACTGGAATTTAATCAGGAAAGCCAAATCCATTATTACTGAATATGAATTCTCCTTACAGGAGCTAGGTTTCGTCAAGACAACTACTTAATAAAATCGATGCTCAATACTTGTTCAACTTTTTCCTGCTGCTCACAACCTTACTTAGATCTCAAAGACCCTCGAGACTAAAGCGCAAGTTCACAAGGAGCTGTTAGCTTTTGAGTGTAATGTTCCCGGGGTGGTTAACTCTCTTCCACGTTGAATACGGAAATGCTGCCGGAGGCTGAGGTAACGCATTTCCCAAACCAAAATTTGCATTTTAGGAAAAACTCGATCTAGCTTAAATAAAGAACGACTTAGGAACTAACCTAAATTAAGCTGCCGATGATATTCATCTCGGTAATTAGGTTTTATGGCAGCGCGCACACAAATATAGCACATGTTTATTCAAGTTTTTTTTCAAAAACTTTTTATCTTCTGCCGAAAAAAGTTAGCTGTCTTAACATTAGACGTTATGTTTTGTAAAGCAAAGGAATATTAAACTATAATTTTCTCTCTCCATGGATTGGAGGCGACAGATTTTGGCGCCTTGTGTTCGAACGTTTTTGATAGTTTGAAGTTTTCTGGCTGCATCCAATTTTGAGCGACAATCTCGAGATTGTTTCGATGCAAATTTCTTAGACATTACTTACATTTTCTGAGCCTATAATTTAATTAACAATTTAATCTAAAGAAAAGAGTGTCTTAAAGACAGCGTAGCACTAAGGCTTGATAACTATTTTTTAAAATTCTTTTTACAGGCGCCAGTATTAGCGACGCATATCTTAAAATGACTAACAATGAAAGTATAATAAAATAGTCATAGTCTATTTCATCTGCACATACCACCTACATCCATGAATTGCAGATTCCGAAAAAGTCGGCCGGTTTTGTTGATGTCACAGCTGTTTATGGTCGTTTTGAAGATAAAAATTCCACAATCATACCATACTTTGCCATACTATGTGACTTAAAAGGTTAACCTCTCGACAAATTCAGTGTCGAGACCTGAAACCGGTCGACATAGGTACCTTTACTGACTCAGGACATGAGTTGATGCGACTTCCAGAAGCAACACTCATACAATACGTGAAACGAACTCGTCTGTACTTCTAATATGATGCGATTTTTTCAAACTACTTTGAGGTAGCTCGGAGATGAGTGGTTGTCTTCTGACATTTTTTCTTGGCAAACGTTAATTGCCGTAGTGATTAACTTGTTACAAAGGTTGAAAACTGTTTTACTAGTAAGGTGCATAGCAACTACCTAGCTCAACAATTTATTCCCCGAAGTCGGAGAGAGTTTGATATTGCATCGTTCAATTTTAGGTTGTTGTATTGTTAACAAGGCCAGCTACAAAGTTCCGTTTTCTTGCACTATTTGAACTCGAAGGAAATCTGTTTGGGCGTGGAGCTAATGACCGATTCAAGAGGCTCTGCAACATGGGAGGGCCTCCTAATGCGTGTAGCAATTTGTTTCCTGGTGATTCGGGAAAAAAAAAAGTGGAATAGACTCCTTTTATTCAAAATTTAGACAAGGAAAAGAAATCACACACAGCGGCCGATGTTTTGAAAGTGTACCGGAGTTTACTTGTCTTTCAAATTGTTCAGAATGAGGAATTTTTCTTTGGAAATGGCACTCGCAAAATTACACCTTCATTTGTCGCTGAATTTGTTTGCCTCTTTTTTTCTCCAAAAACTGATATGAATAATCCAAAAATTATCGTAGCATACATCGTCCTGGTGTTTTGGCGGGATTCATCGCAGCGGGACAATGAAAGAAGTTACATAACTGTCGGTAGTTTGCTTAGGAAAAAGAAGAACGCGCTTAGCATGAATCAGTAATGAGGGATTATCATTTGAAGAACACAACAGTTGTTGTGATAGCGATAGAGATCAAATGATATTCAGTTGAAGAGAAAAAAATTTTACTTTGTCTTTGTGGGAGTAACAGGTGCCATTTCCAATTCTGTGATATTAATAGCAGACCGCATCATTGTCCAAGATCAAGGTGTTCGTGTTAGTCACGTACATTCATATTAACAACTTTGCTTTCATAGCAGGTCAGCCACAGAGAAGCATGGGTATTGTAGTTTCTAACTCTCCTATCACGGTTGTTTAGACGTTGTAACTTTGTATGTCTCTTAAAAAGCAAGTTACATCATGATTTATTTGCATTTATTTCACCTAGATTTAAGACTTCAAGTCTTCTGCAACTTATCTTGCTTTGCAATCAGTCGTGATGACCATTTGGTCCTACATAGCTGATGAATATTCAATTAATTTTTGTTTACCACGATATACATCATCAAAATTAGTGTTACTATTTATCAAATACTAGTTCTGTTCCTTTTCTTTTTGAGGCTGAACGTTCGAGTGCCAAAAGTCGTGATTATCTCCTGAGTAAAGCTCCTTGTCAAGTGCAGTCAGAAGAGTTATTGGTTATTGTAGCTACTACCTCCTATATGTTATCGAAATGAGTGATGGTAACAATAGAATGCCGAACTTCACCCGATTTTGGCCCGATTTTGGCCCGATTTTACCTACTGTTTACTTCAGCTTATATTCGAAGCTCGACATTCGCACTAGCGGTTATTAAGCGCAGCATACACTAAAGAAAGAGGAGTGCCTTTGAAACAAATTATTGTGGGCCCAAACGACCTATTGATATTACCGAAGACAGAAAAAATCTCACGACCGTTTCAGGATTACGCGTGATTAAAAACAAAATTTTTTAAGAAATATCTTAATAGGCGTGTTATGCGCATCAGGAAAACTTAGAGGACAATTTTTTCTTTGAAGAAAGAGCATCTTACCATTTGAATCAGCGAATTATTCTCAGTAGATCCGAAGATATAATTTTCCTTGAACACGAAGTGATGGAATATCCTAAAACGCGGAATGTGTTGTTGTACGAAACAAAGTCTCACAAAAATGGAATAGTAACGGAAGAAGAAAATGATTAGTGATTAACAGGCAAAATTGAAAGAAGTATAGTTTGATCATTACTCATTAATGGAGCCTGAGGGAAAGAGGAACAGCAAGGTTCTTGAAAATTATCAACTGTCATTATTATTGTCAATATGATTATTTGTTACCATTATTGGTTAAATATCAATTAGTCACCATAATCTTGAATCATCTATCATCATAATCTTGAATCATCTATCTCTTGTGGAACACGGTATTCATAAACATGTGCGATGCAACAGGTTTTCTGTTTTGTATGTGAATACCAATCTTCTTAAACGCTACCTTAAAGCGTCATTACACAACCTCAAGGTCTTTACAATGCATAAAAACTGTGTTATATCAGTGGCAATATGCAGTTTAAGACTACCTATTTTGGATTTTAAACAGTAGTGTCCAATTTTAGATTTTAGACACCAGTGTCCGATTTTGGATTTTGGACACTAGTGCCCAATTTTGGATTTGGATTTTGGATGCTAGTGTCCGATTTTAAATGTTGGAAAATAGTGTCCGGTTTTTTATTTCTCGTAACTAATTAACAAGTGAATTTGTAGCAGCTAGAGAGGAGAATTAGCAATTAGATCTTGGTAGTTAAAATTCAGTACCATTCGTAATTGTTAAACGTATGAACAAGTCGATGGTAGAGGGTAAGTGAAAATGTGTCAACACTGCTTTAAAAAGTACTCTAAGTCTTAGTATTATGAGGATGCTGCATTTTACTTTCCACCTTTTCCAATTACTCGAAAGGAAAAAGAATTCATGGAAGAGTAATTTCCGCAATGTCAGAGACCGCGCTACCAATAAAGTGAAATTAAAATTAACCCGAATAATGCCCGAGTCTTACTCTTAAAAGAGTAAGAATTCTGATATACACACAATATGCTAGGAAAAATTCCCATGTCATTGAACTTTTATCAAGGTATTCCATTCCAAAGAATAAATTAAAAGTTTGCTCAGTGTTATCGGCAAGGCTCGTGTTTACATCCATTCTTCTCCGACAAATACTGAAACAGTATTAAAAATTGCCAATGTCTCACTCACCTCGTCTGAAAAAAAGTGTTTCGTACTTCATAGACCTTCTTCATCGAGGAAACAAAATAGCGCCACCTTTTTTTCCAAAGTCATTCCTTTTCCTGTGTCTGACAAGCAAAGCGAAACGGGAACATAGCAAAACGAATAAGGATTTCCCGCCTTTTAACGCGGCTGGCAACAGGTTTTTCGCGCGCTTTTTCCAAACACGACGCATATATCGGCTACAGCTCACAATTTCATGTACTACCCTACTCCTATCTAAAACTAATACAAATAATAACAAGTTTTATCCAAGCCTAAAAGTGGAGCTCAAGTTACTTTATTCAACTGCCCTCTACTTTCTTTTAACCCTCCACAGGCTGAATATTTCATTTACAACAATTGTGGGACCAGACGCTTTTGAAACGGGGGACTGTACTCAAATCCAGATCACACGGACGAAGAGACCCTGCTGCTTATTTCAAACTCATAGACGAGAGGTTATTAACTACTCAGTTTATTTTAATTGACAACTGTGAAAAACGTACAGTATTTAACAAAGTATCAAACTATACATATTAATAAATAGCTTTACATTTCCTTTTCAGGATCCAAAATAAAACCTGCATGAATAAATATCGGATCCTGCTATGTACATATAAACTGTGAACAAATCACTCTTGCCTTGTCTTCAATATTAAATATGCAGTGTTTATAAAACCTGAACTTGCTTATTGTCAATGCACTGTACAGTTCCATTAAGCGAACGATATTTCATCACAGGAAAATCGCTGTCTTCTCATTTTGTAACGCAACTTCTGTGGGTGCATCGAAGTCTCGTTCATTTTGAGCTTCAAGAGCTTTCAGATCTAACTGCCATAGAAAAAGGAAGTAGAAGGTCTACTGAGTAGTGATATCCACTATAACTTCTACAAGTTCTTTTCTTGAAACATTTAGGACAGGACCTTCAGTAGCAGCTATAATTAACTTCTGCGCACACCTGCAGCCTGTTTGGAGGGACGCACAGCGATACCACTCACTGATAGTTCGTCGACGGATCTCGTACCAGTATTCGACGGCTTTTTCCTTGGTTTGAGCCTCGGAGTGGATTGGCTCGAATCCGTTCCACTGATCTCAGGAGGAGCACGGTATCTCTTTTGGATAGTATGCCCTTTACCATAAGTAACTCCATGCTGATGGACAGTAGACGGCGGAGTCACATTTGTCCAGAATGTTTGCACCTCTCCTGAGAATCACAATGACAGAAAAAGTTTACAGAGAGCAGCTCTTAATTAAATAATCATAAGGAAATAGAGGAAGAAGGTAAAGTAGAAAGGAAGAAGCGAAGATTATGTAAAGGAGACAAAGCAAACAGGTATTGGGTTCAGTCTCTTTAAAAGCAGTTTCTTGGAGTGCTCGACAAAGGGAAGAAGGACCCTGGTAATAAGAAAACCTGTGGGGTGAACCACAAATGGAAGAATATCATAAAACAGATAAAACATTTACCATCTAATGGATTACTGGCGGCAGAAACAGAAGGTTTCGCCGATGTTTTTCCACTTTCTGTATCTGAGATGGGCTTGGAGAGACTCGTTGCTCTGGCTTGTCGTGTCCTGATGGCTTTGCGTCCTTCTGTGCCATGTCCCCCATACATTCTGCTCCTTGTATTTGACTGCGCCAATGCAGCGGCCACTTTTTGTCTTGCCGCCTCTTGTAACTCTTCTTTACGAGTGCGCCGAGGTTTCACTGAACAAAAGTAAGTCAAAGCACATGGAATTAGCATCCTCAGCCTTTCTATTTTTTGGTATGAAAATTTTTTTGACTCTAGGTAGAAATCTGCTGTGTGGTGGTTACTAGCATCGCATCACACGGCGGGCCGAATAAATGACAGGTAGAAAATTGCTAATACAAAAGGAACATTTCAATAAAACTTTCTAAAAATAATTCAACACAAAGCGAAACTATTTCAGTCTTTAAAGACGCTATGTCCATTTGCCACTGACATTGAATGAATTTAATGTAACAAAGCCCATTGAGAAATCCAACCAGTGACCCTCCGTATTAACGTTGGAATACTCAACCACTAAGTCACAACGAATTCTTGAAAAGATAGTCCTAATGTTGCAAACGTTCTGTATAGTGTTGGGGTTAGTTATGTCGATAGGGCATAGCCCAAACATATAGAAACATAAATACGTCACTATCTGCTTCGTCCTTTACAGGAGTGAGTGGGTAGAGACGCCATAAAACTCACCTCTCAAAACTTTAGACTCATCTAACGATGCGGAACGTAACCTCTTGGGCTTCCTTTGAGGGGCATTTTTTATTTTGCTCCTCCCAGCCCCCTTCGGTTTGTCCGCTGGTGGCGCCTCTTCAGATGAAACGTCTCCTGTTCTTTTGTCAATTACAGACAAATCACTCATACTTCGCGAAGCCTTGACCGAGAGTCTTTTGTCCCTCTGTACACTTTGACTTTCGGGAGCTTGATCAGGCACGCGCATGTCCGTGACAGAACTAGACTTTGTAGGGAGCTCTCTACCAGTTCCTAGTCTGTTATTGCTAGTTTTAGGACTCTTATCCGGGCCACCTCGACGGCGTGCAGCGATCTGAGCGATTTTTCGCGTTCGGGCAAACACAGGGCTGGCTGGGGTAGCGAGCTCCACCTCTTCGTGCAAGTCTTCCATTACGGAGGACACGGTAGGTGAACTGCGTATGCTTTCACCGTCGTCAGTATGGCTCAGAAGCTTTTTCGTTTTCTTGGGTGTGGGCAACGATAGAGGAGAACTAAAAAAAATCAAATGTAAGCATATATTTGCAATTACATTTTCTGGAACGCTTCCTCAGCAGAACTCTTAATCCTTTCACTCCCAAGATCTCATTGGTAATTCTCTTTACTGTCTGACATAAAATTCTTATGTTGTCAATTTGGAAAATTTGATACTGGATTAACTAATAATCCCCTGATTGATATTTTTCTTTATTCTCATTACTTCTATGCTTGATATTGTACTGATATTGTAAGGAGAAATTCTCTCCTGGTCACTCATGGAAGATAAAGGGTTAAACACAAGAAGATATGTTACCTGATTTCCCGTGTGAACACGTCATCCGAAATCTGTGTGCAAGCAGAAGGTGTGGTACGTGACATCTTAACGGGTGAGTTTTGAAGTGACACCAGACGAGAAGGTGTCTCCTCACTCAGCGGCGACAACTTGCTGAATGTGACTGTAAAAGACAAGATGAAGGTCACTTAGTTCATCCTGACCTAACAATGGAAACTTTGTGAGAAAATGCCACTGCTCCTTCTAGAGAACCTTGGACCTTCGTTGCGACACCGCAAGAGTTTCGTTGAAGAGTTCGCGACAATCATTGGTTTAGAGAAATAAAAATCGCCGAAAATTAAAACACTAGATTTACAGGAGCTGGACCAGCACGATTCAACCAATCAAACTTTTACGAGAAAATGTTCTAAATAGTTCCTATTCACAGAAATCTTTACAGTCCAGTACAACGGCTACTAGAATACTGCATATAGTACTTACATAACTTCTCTCGTGCTAAGGGCATCATTCGGCGATTTATTCCGGCAAGAAGTGAAGCCTGATGTAAACAACAACATAAAAAAATTAAATGCATCATTCAGGTAGACTCAAATGCGGACAAAAAAATATTCTTCAGATGTGGATGACAAGATCTCACGCGTCTTTGCTTGCGACCTGCGATTTTCATAGGAACAGACCACATGCTGCCTGCAGTCGATCGATCTTTTCATATAAATTTTTTATGTGAGTTTTGTAACCTGTAGATTTTTCATTTCCACCCTTCTCACTGAAAAGGGTAAAAAAGAAAAAAGGGCTTGTCCTTGAAGGTCATCATTGGGCCAGGTAGGTCAAGGTTTAGTCTGTTGGTGCGGGAGTGGTTTCTACCTGTGGGTTGCTATGGATACCTATGGATTGTCTCGTGCCTACCATGCTAGGCTTTCAGGTACGAGTTCCCAAGCCCACAAGTAGCCGATTTTTTAACGAATGCCTGAAGTACTGTCGATCAAGCGCGGTTTACCTTTTGTAACGTGTTCAAAGAGCCTTCCCCGTTCTTCTGCTCGCTTGAATTGCTCTCGCGTTGCTCAAAGTCAGCTGATTGCTCCATGTACACATCATAAAGTGCTTCAAGCTCTGCAGAACACTGCGCTCCAGAATCTAACGGGCATAAGGAAAGGAATTTGCATTTAATTGTAAATTGCTGAATTATAATTTTCCTTTTTTCCGATAAGTTGCTGTGATTTTAGGCTGCACGATTAAAAAGCCCTATGTTACCATATTTCTGTAAGCTTACCGTTGATAACAGATCTCTGCATTTGAATAATTTCATCACACAACCGTTGCCGTGAATCATACTTGTTCATCTCCAAGTCCTTTTGTCGTAGCAAGTTCTCCCTGAGTAACGAGTTCGACTGGAGCTCAGCATTGGTAATTTCGAGCTCGTGAACCTTGCACAGAAGACCCAAGATTTCTCGATTCTCTTCGCTGCTTATCTTCTTGGGTAAGAGCTCTTCCAAAGCTTCAACCTCCTTTCGTGTCTGCTGAAGCTTTTCCTGAAGATCTACTTTGAGATTAGACGTGCGTTTTTCCTCTGCAATCAGTGTTGTGATTTCCTCTCGCGCAAAAGATACTTCTTCAGGCTCTGCGATTTTTGCACCTTGGCGTGCTTCTGACTTTTTATCCTTTTCGGTGTCCATGTCTTTGCTTTCAACATCTTCCACAGTGTCCATATTGGACAGTGTTGTCCCTTCGCGGAGGTTTTCGCCGAGGATGTTTTTGTCTTCTGCTAATGACCCATCGCCTTTCACTCTGTTTTCATTTTCGGAAGAAGCCGCAGTTCCCAAGTCGTTCCTCATCTCAGAAACGTTAGGTTTCCCAGATGAGTTTCTGGTAGTTTTACGCACACCTCTCCTGGCTTTCTCTTGTTCCCATCTACACCGAAATCGTGAAATTAGTGATAACGAATTCTAACACCCATCCTTTTTTCAGGTATATTCAGTATTTAAGGGGTTTCTTACTTAACAAATTCAAAAATTAGAGTCCCTTCCTCCTTCTTTATTAAGCCTCGCACAGAATTCTTCGAAATAACATAAAAAATATTGCATTTTTGTTCCCTTCTCAGCTACCCCCCCCATCTTTTTAATTTTATGCACACTTACTCATCTATCACCAGCATGTACCGGTTCATGTCAAGTGAGATCTGCATGGCAGTGTCCTCAAGTTCTATCAATCTGCGCCTGAAATGTGACCAGCAAAGATACTTTCAGACAAGAACAGCACACACCAAACGTTAAATGGAAGATATTTCCGTTCCAATTTTTCTAACTTATCAGCTCAGTTGTACAGGAAGAGCTTAGCAGGTTCATTATGTCAATGGCATTTGAAGATCAATCAGAATTTCTGGCCGAAGTGTAAGAACAAATAGTCTTTCAACTTATCGTCTCAACGTCGATGATTTATTAGCTTGTTATCACAATAAGTCAAAACACAGTCAACCTTGAAGTGGTAGGAACGCACGAAAATGTACGAACTGATACGCAAATTTTACTACCGACAGGAAATTGGGACAACGGAACTAACATTGCACAAGAGGTATCCCTCCAAATGTCAAGTAAATATGTCCATAATTCGTATGTGTTTTGAAGTTTGCTCCAAATCGTCTTTACTAACCTGATATCCATCTGCTCTTTAAACGTACTGACGAGTTGGTCCCGCAACTTATTCATCGCTTCCGGATTCTTGCCTTTTTGTTGCTCTGTCAAATTACCACAAAGGGAATGAGGTCACTTTGTTTTTACCTTAGATCAGTAACTTGAAAATTATAGTTTCTTTGTCAAAGGAGAAGTTAAAAAGTCCTGAAATTTTCCTTAAAAATATTTAAAAACTTGGGAGCCGAGCACACTTTGGAGTCCCTCGATCTTGTGGACAGTAGGAAAAGGAAGGAGGCCATTGTGCAAAAGACACAGAACAGCTAGCTCCAGGCTTTCCAAATGGTTTTTTGGCAAATAAATAGGCATCAAATTCAAAAATTTTCAATAAAAATGGAAGCCAACTTACTTGAACTTTCATTACTTTTGTCCGCATCATGTTCAGAGATTTTGAGTTTGAGACGAAATATTTCTTTTCTTAAATCAGCAATAATGTTGGTGTACTGTGCAATGTGGTAGGACACGCTGAACTGATTTGGCTTCACCTGTCAATTAAATCAAAATGTTGTAATGAGTTTATGAGATATTTGAACCCGTGATAGAGCGTTTTCAAGAAAAACACAGTATTGTATTAACATGCCTCTGACGTTTGCTTCAAACTTGGCTCGGGAGACTTGGCGCCTGTACAAAGTAATTGCGTTTCGAAAAAAAGTTACACTTACATTAGTTTTTATGTTCTTGGCCCTATCTGCATACAGGAGTGTGTTGCGAGTTTCCTCATATGATCCACTTGCTGGACTTGCATGGGCAATCATGACTGTGCGACAGTTACCACCCAAAGAATCCTAAATGTAAAGATAAGATAAAAATGTTTTAGGAGTGTCAGACTACTTGAAAGAAGCCATATTTAAATCTACTGAAAGCAGAAGCATTCTAGTGCATTTTGTTCCACACGAAAGAGCACCGAACAGCAGGCTAACAGCTTTTATTATTCTCCATGGAATGAGAAGCTTATCCTTGCAAAGGGACCAACAACTCTCAGTATGTTAACAATCCAGCCTAACTTTTTGGGAAATACTGCAATAAACAAGTCTGTTATTCTTCTCCTTCATTTTAAGGCTAAATTAATTGGAGCTAACCTTCTTACTCTCAAGAACGACCACACTGGCTTTTTTCTAAATAACAACAACGCAATTCTAAGCAGAAAGGGAATGGGATGAAAAAAAATTGCCACAGGGGAATATTGTTTAATTTAACACCAAATTATCAGAGCTAAATTTATAAGAGTTGTATGACAAATAATGAGGAGAACTCTTAATTGGGCTCTGGCAGCAAAAAGGTTACATACTATATGAACTGTACCTTTAAAAGTCTTGTCAGTTTGCTATCTCTATAGTTGACATAATGCCCTCGATTTTCACCTGAGGAGAGTCAAAGAAAGGCAAGACAACATTCAGTATTCTAAAAATTATTTTCTGAACAATTATCAACTTCCTGGTTGCTCAACCAGAAAACCTGTGTAGATCTTAAAATTGATAATATTAATTTTTGAAGAATACAATGCAAAAATCAATTATCAAAGAAATACTGAAAAACAATATTTGCATCCAAGAAACTTCAGTCAAGGGTGCATATGTATCATTATCATCATCATATTTAATTTGCCTTATTTACACAATACAAAAAATTTATTTACAGTGGTTATGGCTAGAAGGCAAAGAGACCCAGGAAGCCACTGGGCTTATGGGAGAGCCACCTGACTTACATTAATAAATAAAGTAAAGAAAAAGTGCTATGAATGTGTGGCTAAGCCAATTCAGTGATTATTTAAGTAAAAACTCTTGCATTTTTGTCTTAAAATGTAAAAATGTATAATGTATATAGCTTGTGTAGCAGGTAAGCAAGAACAAAGAACAAGTGGTAAGGAGGGACCGATGCAAAAGAAGAGAAATAAAGTCAATATACAGCTCTGTCCTCCTCTGATCAGCAAACTGTCATCTTTGTCAAGGAACAGCTACACAAGCTTACAAATGCACCAGCTTATCTTCCATTACTGCATTACTTACTCAGAGCATTGATGCAGTTTCCCAAAGCAAGTAAGGAACGGTTAATATGTGCCCCTTCTATCATTCTCTTACCACGATTCTGGAATCAAAATAATTTCTATTATTAGAATTTAAAACAAAAATTTTCAAAAAAATCTAAACCACAAGATATTCTCCACACTACTAAAAAAAGAAGCAATGAATGCATTTGCATTGGCATCATCAACAAAGAAAGCCTGAGTACCTTAGTCTGCGCAGCCCTCTCAGATCCAGCCAAATCAATCATAAAAAGTTTCCCCACTTTGAATTCATCAATAGTGTTCTTCACACGACTCTTCTGAGTGACTGTTACCTAAAAAATATTGATAAAAATTGACACTGTGTAAAAAAATAACATCTCAACCAGAATGAAGCATAAAATGGATTCATGCTGGACACATGACAACACTCCTATTTGCAAACTTGGTATAAATGTGCAAGTCTACATGAGCCCTTTAATAAAGAAAAACAATTTAAATTTAGTATGGTACAACATATAACATCTTAGTCCCTACCTGAAGGATAGCATGAGATCTTGAAGAGGTTTTGTTGGCAGCAGTAGGTTCACTTGTTCTTTGTTTGTTTCCCATCATAAGCAAATCCATAACCTAAATTTGAGTGATAAAAACAATATAAAGATAATGACAAAGGACAATACAGACTCAGGGAGAAAATATTGACAAAATCTACACAACTCTGGTCAAGTACAATCCAAAGGTAGATATGGTCACAAATAAAGCACACCATCAGATAACCACTTTTAGCCACAGTCAACCTTTTGACTCCCAAGATTTTATTAGTAATTCTCCTTACTGTTTGCCATATAGTTCTTGTGATGTTAGTTTGGAGAATTTGGTACTGAATCAACTTATAGTCCCCTAATTACGATTTTTTCTTTATTCTCATTACTCATCTGCTTGACATTGTATTGATATTGTAAGGAGAAATTCTGTCTTGGTCACACATGGGAGTTACATGTTAAGGGTTAAGTGTCTGTGAGGTGACGTTACAACATTGCTTACAGGGAAACAATGGTACTACATTTACCTCGCTTGTTTTCTTGGCTTGAACTTCTGAGATACCAGCCACTACGACTCCTCTACTGTCTTCCCGCAGTTCAAGATAACCAGATGATGGGTTCAACAAATCGCGAATCATTTCATTATAGATCTAATGGACAAAGAGTGTAAGATCAGCTTTTAATCCTAACAGTAAAGATAAAGCAACAAGTATCAATCACAACTGCAGATGTGAATAAAATGTCATAATACTGATTGTTAACAATGGAAATATCACCACAAGGCACTGGTCAATAAGACAATAACTTAAGGAAAGAACATTTTATTTATGTCCCTTCTCAGCCAAACCTTCTACCCTTGCTTAATAACTTATTCTCAAAGCTATGTTCATGTAGGGTTCCCTAATATAAATTTTTGGTCCATCATAAAACAAAAAATAAACTAGGAAAAAACAAAATGAAGATTTATAATATTATATATTTCATCCTTACTTCCAAGTATGACATTGACACTTTGTATTTCATATCTTCTTTAGTCCTGTCCATTGCATTGAAAAGATCATTCAAGGCACGTGCCATAATACCAGGCTCTCTGTCAGTACCCAACATGGTGAATGTTTTCCCTGCACCTAAACAGGAAAAATCAAAACATTTCACCTTAAATTAAATATCTTAAGAAGTGTTAACCATCAGTTCAGTTTCTAATTCACAGTGATTTAAAAGCTTTTTTTATTACTTTTTATTGAACTATAAAAAAGTTGGTAAATTTACAGAATATCTGTAATTAAAAAAACTTTGTGTTCTAAAAAGTCTTAAGTTTTCCTTTTTCCTCTCTTTGTATCCTTTACAGATTCCCAAACATTTCACTTTTAATAAATTTAGGAGATGATGATTGTTGTAATTTTTCTCTTAGCACAGCAAAATCAATCCACTAGCTCAAGCCAAAATTTTTGCTGCTATGTTATCATTAGACCATTTCTAACACTAATAAAGGGGATAAGTTTCTACAGAAACTGTGGTGCTGTGTCAGTGGGAGAGTATAGCTGGTAATTTAGTGTTAACAACTGAGTTGAAAATGTAAATTGGCCACCGTAAAGAGTAAAACAGCTAGTAACTAACACTAGTTAAGTGCATGTTACAGTTTACCTGTTGCACCATAAGCAAACACTGTAGCATTATATCCTGAGATGACGTTTTCAATCAGAGGTTTTGCTACTTCCTTGTATACATCAGCCTAGGAAGAAATATGTCATTAAATGTTATAAACAAACAAATTATCCTTGTAAGTACTATGGTAGATGTCTCAATATTTAGAGGAAAGAAAAAACTACCAAAGAATGACATTGACTACTACTTGGCTCCCCTCTGGCTTTGTACTTAACTAAAAATGTGTAAATCCACTTTGTCTTTGGACTCCCAGAAAGATGGTTTGAAATAATTCTGTTAATTAGAGCTGATCATGAAACTCTAACTAACCTGATTTGAATTTTGGCCAAATGCACAATCAAAAATATACTGCTTTTCTCTTGATCTGTTTGCTCTGAGAATGTCATCTTGGTCTTCATTGGGATCTTTCAACACCACCAGCTATATCAGTACAGAAAAAGAAAAATGTCATTAAAATTTGGAAAGCTTGGTAACCTATCTGACCACCTAACTCAAAGAAAAACAATCTTGCAATTTGCACTGATCATAATCAAAAGGTAAAAATCACACATAAGTTTGTAACTGTAATACCTATAACAACAATACTAATAATGAAATGATAATAAAAATAAAAGCAAGAAGAGGCCAAAGAAGATGGCCTTCACTTGGGCTTCCAAAATGGAAATGGAGAGATAGTCAAGAATGTTTGTATGTGACTCTAGCATACTGGCCATAACAGTGTTTGCCATATCTGTGACCATGTCAAGCTTTTGATTAGAATACTTTCCATAATGGCTTTGACCATTGCAGAAGGACATAAGATTGTGTATTGTTTGCTTTTAAGGGCCATAAAAAAATTATTCTTGTCCTTAGAGGCAACTCTGTTTTTTAGATTGTTGGAGCCTGACAATCAGCCCCTATGCAGAGATGCCATGGAAGACACTCAATGACCACAGGATAATTTTACACTTGGGTTCTTCAACAGGAAGCCAAAGTAATAATATTTATAACAACAGTAATAATAGCTACATGTCCTGGGAAATAAGGATACCACTGATCAGCTTACATTTTGAAACACAAGTAAATAATAACAACAACAATAATAATAATAATAACAATAGTAATGATAATAATAACAAAAGCTATGATAATGTTGAGGACATTTTAATTGTTCAACCTTTCTTTCTTCCTTCCTTTTAGCTTAAGATATAGTAGGCAGAGTACAAAACCTTTCATTGTAACTCACACATACTTCAAGTATGTAGGACATATATGTTATCGATTGAACAAAACTGTTGAGTAGCACCCACAGAAAAAACGCGCTTTCAATTCAACTCTTCTTCAATGCTTTTCTAACACAAACGTGACTTTCACAATAACAGAATGGTTTAATTGTGATGAGAAATCACTAGTGTTGTCACAGCTCAATTCAAGAAACACGTACGTTTTCGTCCAAAACATGCACAATTTCGGTGCAGCTTGAATCTTCGACTTCGGCTCCATTCAAAGGCCTTACTCTAACAGCAACCTTTAAAAACAAAAAAAAACATACAGAAGTTGAGTAAGCTACCGACAAGAACATCTGCAAAAGTTTTGATAAGATCGACCCAAAGGCAAAGGCTTTCTACTTTCACATAGATAAAGCTGAACGTATTGCACATTGCATTAAAAGCTATAAGACAGCAAAACAGCGTATTTTCGCACGCGAGCAAACATTTACTTACCATCAAGTTATGAGAGCTTTCCTTCCCTTTTTCCTTATCTGTCATGATGACTTTTCAGGTTACTTAATAGATATTTGACGTAAAATATGAAGAGCGAGACAGCTTCAAGCAAGCCACAACCGCTCGAACGTTCCCTCCGTCTTTGAAACAGTTCAACATCCTGGAATTCGATTCTTTTTTCGCCAAGTGCACGAGCTTTCGAACAAGATAAGTTAATCTATTACATTTTGAACGAGATCGGAGCGAACAAAGCACGCTTGTGTCACAAGGTTCACTTCGCAAATTACTTCCCTCTTCACCTTTGTTGTCTGAAATCCACTTCACAAGTTCGCCTCTGCGCATCAATCAACCAATCACAGGGTAGATATTTGTTATTTATTGACCGCTTTGTGACATCATGTATTGACGCGTTGTCAAGGTGACAAAGCAATAACAGCATTATATACGACCAGATGGGATCAATCAAGAATTGTGGATAAGAAGGAAAGAGTTTTCGCGGGAAGAACATTTATTTATTGAAAGAAACCAGCTGGTACGCGAATCCTTTAGGTAGAAAGGACCTGAAAAATACATATGAACCTCTAGAACATACGCAGTTCATTCGTCGAGTAGTATTGCAATTTGAGTGCTAAGCTTTCTGCTTCCCAGACTTGAGCTTTTTCATTAACCGCAAAATTTTATCTTATGACGCGTAAGACAATAAAGCTGCAAAAACAACGATGAAATAATTATTATGATAATTTTTAAAACGTTTTCCAAGAAACCGGGAAATTGTGCTCTGCTGCCTTTCTGCGATTAGATTTCAAAGAAAAAAAAGGAAAAGTGCCAGTGATCTTACTTATCGCTGTGACTATAATCGAGACATAATTTTAACGTTTCCTTTTATCGATGACTTTTACAATCTCTTTATGAATGTGTAATGTCTGTTTCTTGGGCGGCCGATTTGCTCCCTTAGGCGTCGTTTACTTCCTCGTTTTACGCTGTAGGAGGTAAACCAAATGAGTTCTCCAAGCAGAAATCCTTTTTTTTTGATAAGTATCGTAATCAACTGACGTTTACGTAGATGGTCTTTCAGACAAATGATGGCGTGTTTTCAACACTATCTCATCCTTTTATAAACATCATTGCTCACAATTTCAATGTGGGACGATGACGTTTTTTATTTGTTCAGTCTATCACCTGACAGGTTACTCTGCGATACTAAGAGCGGACTGAGTAAGATGAAAGTGAGAGCGATAGCAAATTCCGTGCAATATTACTTACGGCACCCGGTTGGCGGTACATGTTGAGGCATGACTAGAGCACTCAACAGAGAGTTGTCACAAAAGGGCAATATTTAGCACATTGTTGTCAGCGAGAAAAAGTCGAGTCAGTTCAACTCAGGCATCGTCTCAGTCATACTCATTCATTCGTAAACTTAACTATTCGTAGGATTGATTCTAACTCCAATTATGTACTTCCCTAGATATGCACAAGCACAAAATGAACCACGGTCTTAGAGAGTGGAATTATCTCTCGGAGCCATCAGAGTGTTACGACATAACATGATGTTCAATTAAAAAAGAAAAATCATTTCCAAAATTGGACAGTGGTGTCAACATACAGATAATAAATTCCAACACCAGACACTTTTGTCCAAATCTTGAAACTAGTGTCCAGAATCGGACACAAGTGTCCAAGTGTCTAAATAAGACATAAGTGTCCAAATAGGACACTAGTGGCCGAAATCAGACGCTAGTTTTAAAAAAGGGGACACTAATGTCTAAAATCAAACAGTACTGTCTACAATAAGACGCGCGTCTAAAATCAGGAACTAGCGTCCTTATTTAGTCACCAGTGTCCAAAATAGGACACTAATGCCCAAAATCGGATTACAAACTCTAAGGAGGGTTCCTAAGCAAAACTCAGAGAGGCCACTGCCCAATTAGGTTGAAGGGCTTTGGAAAAGATGTGTAGACTTACGACATTTTTATGGATTCAGCTGTTTCGGGGCGGTATTGGGATTGAGACTTAAGCTCCTTCTTGTATTTTTTTTATAGTCAGGTATTGAGTTTTCAAGGTTTTCCGGCTACCTTGTCTCGGAGAGTTTGATCGAGGTATCGATTATTTCGACACTGCATGTGACCTCCCTATGATTTGTTTCCTCCTGAACCTACGTTATTCTGGTCACCAAAGGCCAAATGCGCAATCGTACGCAGCGGATCATACAGTCACTGCGGTGTTACCAAAGTAACTTTACAAGTTGTGTGTGAGTGCCATGAAAGTAAAGGGAATTACGATCAGTTTCAATTTAAATATCCTTAGTAACTTTGTAACCGACCATACAATTAGAGTGACCACTAAAAATGACGTAACAACATCCCTATCAATGTTGAGGAAAAAAGTTAGTACCGTACTCGGTATAGGTAAATCTCTAGTAATAATCGACACCTGGGGCAGAATCTCTCTCCTAGTGCGCAAGTTAATGTTCCACCGAACTAACAGCGAGGAAATACATACATGTTTCAGATTGGCTGTATTTGATTTTAGCGTATTATCCTTAATACTTTAAGGCTTAAAGTTTACTAACACGAATTCGGTACGCCTACAAACAGAAAACAGACATCCGAATAGTTTGCATGAAGAACTTAAGCTTACAGTGGTAACTTCCATCCCTGCACTTCATGTACCTTAAAATTCATAGACTTAAAAATGTGCTCAGCATGCGTAATTCAAGGTCTACTCATTTCTCGCCTAACGTATCGTTCGACTGTTCTTTGTCAACAAAACAACGTTTATTTAGGGGAAATTTAACTGGCAATGTTCACTGCTTCTGAATCAGTTTAATATGGCAATCAATTCGCGGTGGAAGGAATCCCTGGAAACCAGCTTCGGATAGTGCTTGAATTCCAGATTGACCAATATTGTTTTCTCCTATGTCTAAATGAAGCAATGTGCTATTTGTTTCTCGAGCCTCAGCGAACGCCCTTGCACCAGAGGATTGAATACCGTTTGCTGCGATGGACAGATTAATCAGGGTTTTATTTTCTTTAAGGGCCTGGCAGAGTGATTTAGCTCCAGAATCTTCAATACCATTGCTTGACAAGTTAAGAGTAGCCAGTCCCTTATTCATTTTAAGGGCCTCGGCGATTGACTGAGTACCTACAGGACCAATACCATTCATCGATAGATCAAGACAAGTCAGAGCAGAGTTCACTCCAAGACCATCTGAAAGAAGCTGAGCACCTCGAGCTCTAAGCTCGTTCTGAGGCAAATTAAAAAACACCAGTGTTTCGTTGACTTTAAGAGCTTCAGATAGAAAATGGGCCCCTGGCGCTCTGATATTGTTTCTTGAGAGAAATAAAAGTTTCAAAGTTTTGTTAACCTTGAGGCTTTCAGCGATTAATCGGGCACCACCCACACTAACTTTGTTTCCCTCAAAACCAAGTGATATCAGGGATGAATCCACTCTCAGAAATTCAGCGATAGAACGGATGCTCTTCTTGGTTATCATCTTCATTTCAGATAAGTTCAGCCAGGTTAGGGTGGTACGATCCCTAACGGCTTTAAGGAGCGACATAATACCAACATCATCTATGCTTGTCCCTGACAGATCTACCGTATCGAGCGTATTGTTTATTTTGAGAGTTTCACAAAGAGACAAAACCCCACGGTTACCAAAACTTAAGTTTCCTGCCAGGACCAGAATCTCCAATGTGGTATTATGGCGTAGACTCTCTGCCAGACATATGGCACCACGGTCAGTAATTCCATTTGCCATCAGGTTTAAACAAACCAGGGCTTTATTGGCCTTTAAGTACTCCGCCAAAATCCCGGCGCTATCATCTTTCAACATATTGCCAGCAAGGATTAGATCACGGAGGGTGGAGTTTACCATAAGCGCGTCTACCAATTGCTGGACCCCAACTGCGCTGGTAAGTTTGTTTGTTAAGTTGATTTGTACCAGGGTTTGGTTGACTTGAAGGGTTCTAGCCAAGGAAACCGCACATATGTCTCCAGGAAAATACAATGGCAATGGCATACTGAATTCCTTCAGAATGGTATTTACTCTAAGGGCCTCAGCAAGCAATGGGATGTCACATCTGTTGTCTAAAATAACCAATGTGTGGCACTGCAGTTTTGTTCCTAACAAGTGCAACAACTTACTTGAGAGAGTAGAACTTACTACTAAACAGTCCCTCATGCATTTTAAGGCAAAATACAATAAGTAATTTGCATGAAAGTCCAGGCTTTGATTAATGTTTGTGACTATGGTGTTCATGAAACATGTAGCTCTCTCTTCACTCTTGAGGCTGATAATTCCAAATGCAAAGAAATGGGCGAGCTCATACTTAAAGTATGATCCATCTTCTGGAAATAGCATTTCAGGGCTTATTTCACCACTTAAAATCTGGCTCGCCAAAAAATAACCTGCGAAGAAATCTTGAAAACTCCTGTGAATAAATGCATAATCCAGGGAAGGATGTCTTTTGCTGCGATTGGTGTGGACTGACAGGAATTCAAATACCGGTATTTCGTTTGCTGAACCTCCAAGTTCATTTCTTTTGAAGTACATCTGATCTTCTGTCAAACCTTTCCAGGCTAGTCGTCCCAGTCGCTCTACGTCATCTTTGTGGAAGTCAATCAAGTCTCCTTCTACGTTAGAGAATCCTTTCTTTTGCCGAAATCGCCTTAAAACGCAACTAGTTATTTCAAGATAGAGCTCAGTTTTGCTTGAGGGTAGATCGCCTTCATAGTCTTCACACAAGAGACATAGCAGAGCTGTCGTCAAAGGATGCATTGTCAGTTCCAAAAGTTCTTTCTTGCGTCTTGTCTCGCTTAAGAGCCTCTGACCTAATGCTTCCCGACCATCGAAGTAACGAGTGATGAAGCTTTGAGAATGCTCTGGAGAAAATCCTGTCATATGTAGTAGGGTGTCACAATACTTGCTCACACTCATCCCTGCCTCCTGCCTGGATGTAAGAATGATGTGACATTTTGGAAGCTCTCTACCCTGAACAAGGTCAGTAAACATCTTCGAAAGATTTGATGGAGCTTCATCCAATCCATCAAGTACAAATAAAACCTGGGATTGATTGGCTCGGATGAACTTGAAGAAGTTCTCTTTTGCGTCTTTCTCGATATCTTTAGGGAGAAGTTGATCATCAATAGCTTCCCATATGCTGCCTGACACGTCACAACATCTAAGGAAGAGAAGCAATTTAAAATTGGGGAAAGATACATCAGTTTCCACACCATTGGCCCAGTCACATGCTATCTTTTGACAATAAGTTGTCTTGCCCATTCCTGGTTCACCCTCAATCAGGACAGTCCTGGGCTTGGAACGATCCTTTTGAGGTTTGAAGACTCCTGTTGTACTATCTATTTGCTCTGACACCGATCTTCCAGCCTTGTCGCGTGTGACAATGGTCGGCTTGGTAAATATGTCGTTTAGGTTAAAGTTGAACTCTTCACACCAGGGAAACGGCGAGAGCCGACCTTCACGAGTTTTGTAGAGGTTGCGAATCGTTTCTATGAGGTCATGTGACACTTCAAATTCTGAAAAGGAGGTAATTTCTGTCAACATAATATAAGGGTATGACTGCTTGAGACACAGCTATGAGCATGAATTATACACGAAGCTTAGAGAAACTTCTATTGAGCACAAAGGAGCGAAGGTTTGGGAAAGCAGGATTAAATAAAATGAAGGGGAAAAAAGCAAAACAAAAGGATGGACAGCAAAGAAAGGGGAAGATAAAAGAAGAGAACAAAAGTCAGGAGGATTAGTCAGAAGAGAAGAAAGGAAGGAAATAACAGGAGGGGGAATGAATGAAACAGAATGAAAATATGGAATGAAAGGTAAACTAGGGAAGTAGAATGGGAATGCCAAGAGAGGAGAGAGAGTGAAAGGCTCCAACTGCAAGTAAAAGGCAGATATGTAAAACAAATGAAACATAAACCAAAGAGAACATGTAATAATACTCAAATTTCTTCAAAAGCAAATGTAAGACAATGTGTATTAATTTCAAATGCAGAACCTTACATATTTCCCAAAGGAGAGCAGAAAAAAAAGGAGAGAAGTGAGGTAAGGAAACAGGAAGAGAAAAAAGTATAAGGCTGAGGAGGAGTTGAGGGGAAGAGAGAAGAAAGGAGAGGGGACTAAAGGAAAGAAGGTAAGCTAAGCTGAGGGAAGAGGGGAGGAAAGAAAAAGGGAAGAGATGGAAAAACAAGAAAGGGAAATCAAAGTCAAAAGTGGGTTGGAGATAAGAGGGGAAGGGTAGAGGTAGGAGTTAGTTGAATAGAAATGTGAAATGGAGGAGAGAGAGCAAGAAGAAAAAGGCAAAGAGGAGTAGGTGGGACTGGAATGGGAATGGGCTTGAGGAGGAGCAAAGGGGAGGAGTTGGAATTACAAGAGAGGAAAATGAAACTTAACCCATTAACTCCCAGAAGTGATTAACGAGTAACTTCTCCCTACAGTATCCATGCACTTTTCAGTAAACAGGTATTGAGAATACTCAAATGTATCAGGTAGAAGTTGTTACCTTGATCTAACACCAAATTCTCATAACCTATTTACAAGGAAATGTGTAGCAGCTAGAGAGGAGAATTAACAATCAGATCTTGGGAATTTTAGGGTTAAGAGATGGTTGGATAGAAATGGGGAAAGATGGAGAGAGGAAAAAGGGCAAATAAGATGAGAGTGGAGGGGAAAAAAAGTTAGAAGAGGGGTGGGTACAATGTAGAAGAGTGAAATGGAAGAGAGGGGAGGAAAAAAAGGGAGATGGGATGAGAGGAGTTGGGAGGAAAAGAGAGTAAAGGGGAAAAGATAAGATGAGAGGAAAAGGGATAAGAAAGGGGAGAAGGACAAGAGAGGAGGAAAGGAGTAGAATGGGACTAGGGGAGATGGGAGAGTAAAGGGGAGTAGATTGAATGAGGGGGAATGAGAGTTAGGAGAGAGGTGGATAGAAGTAGGGAAGGGAGGAGAGGGAATGAGAGGAGAGAGAAGAGGAGGAGAAGATATGTGAGAGCTTACTGGAAATGAAAGGTGAAAATAACAGAGGAGAATAGAGGGAAGGAAAGTGGAGGAAAGGAGAATGCAGGTAAAGAGGAGAAAGGACAGAGGAGAAGGGAGAAGAGGAAAGGTGAGAACAGGGATCTGAAAGAAAAGGGAGAAGAACAGAGAGAAGGGGAGGAAAGGAAAGGAGAGGAGAGGGAGGGAAAAAGGAGAAGCAAAATCTGACTCACACAAAAATTCAAAACTACAGGGAAAGCTTGACTATCAATTAGCATATCAGAAACATACCTTTTGGTTGAGATTTACTTGTTGATGTCTTTAATTCTTCAAGTTTCCTTTTGATTTCTTTCAGCACATCCTTGATGTTGTCTTCATCCTTTTTCCACTGTTTTAACATTTCTTCATAATGATCAGCAATTTCAGGGTCCATGCATTCATTTTTTAAATCATCAATTGCAGATTCATATTTAGCTCCTCCAAGACTCACAAGAGCATCTCGTATGTCCTTCCAATAGGCATTAAATGTTGCATCATCCACAGAAGCCTGGTCAGCATGGCCATACACAGTGTTTCTAAAATATTTCACCCTTGCAATGTTGGCCTCGGTGCTCACATCTGTTGCAGGTGGAAGTGCATCCCAGCCTGTTGCTGGGGGACTCAACCCACAAATGTTCCTCAGAAGGACTGTCAAAAGTGTGATATCAAAGTCTCTTGAGGATACAGAGGTGCATTTTAGAGGATATAGCTTTCCCCATTGAGTGGGATTTAAAACTCTTTTCCTGCGAAGTGCTTGCAGTGTGGAATGATATGTTGTTGTCAGGTTGGTATGAAGACTGGTGGGTGGATGTATTTTGTCAAATATGTCCCTAAGCACTGAGGATCCCACATCAACCAGAAGCCGACAAAGTCGTGCATAATTTGTGCTCTCTTTAGTGGAGGAAAATGATGCTGGAGTGCCAGCTGTGGCCATTAGTCCTTCCTGAGATAATAATTTAGCCATGTTAAAAGATTATTAAATTTGTTTTAAAGGTAACAAACCTTCACTGATCTTAATGAGAGTGAATGGATAGACTAGGGTAGTCCCTCCTTTTGCAAAGTTCATCACATGCAACAAAAAAAATTTGCAAAAATGAAAAGAAACAATTGATATTAGCGCACCTGGCAGACTTCTGGAA